CACGAAGTAGTCCGGTCTCATTTCGTGAAATAGTTGAAACAAGCCGAAAAGTCACGAACTTGCACGCCCAATCTTGTCCTGAGACTAGTGCATCATTTCATAACTATTTCTCACATCTCAAACTACCTTGGGTCGCAGTAGCGCCATCGGCTAATTCTTCAACTTAGAGTCTCCTCTGATCTGATGGGTCACACGGGTGAGTCGGTTCAAACCCCGGGAAAGCCAAATAATTAAAGAATAAATCAAAGAAATCGAAGTGATCTCGAGATATCTCGAACTAATTCGGCTCTCACTTCGTCAAATAGCCGAATAGAACCGAAAACCTACAGACTTTGCTTGCCCAATCTTGTCAAAAAATTGCAACTTTGATACATTCCTGAGCGTCCCGAATCCTTTACTTCGCGCTCCGCCGAAGTAACAATATACTTTTTACTTCAAAATTAATTGTGGGATGATGCAGTGTGGTCCTTTGTGGAATTAGTAAAAAGCTCCAAAGCATTGCACAAGTGAGTTAACCAGTAAAGTAAAGTAACTAAAGAGCTTGATTTTTCAATATTAATTAGCTTTTATTTACCCGCTGTCGAGGGCCGGGACTGGGTTGTTCGTGATAAAACTTATGATATGCAGCCAACTGTCAAGTAAACTTGAAGACGTCGCAGGAGTATATCACCTTTTTCTTTTTGTTATTAGGCTTTAAGCTAGCCTGCGTAGCAGGCGCTTGGAAGTAGTGGGCACCCCTTGCGTGTCTCCCTCGCGCGCGCCCGTTCTCTCTTTCGCCCGCTACTTCCAAGCGCCTGCTACGCAGGCTAGCTTTAAGTGGGTATTTTTAACCCGATAGAAGATCAGAACTATCATCAGATAACTCTTCCACGCTGGCTACCGCCATTGTTGGCAGCAATTCAAATCTCGCTTCTGTGACTCAGCGTGTGACGTATGATCATAGCTCTGCTCTGATTGGATATTACTGAGAAGGCGTGAAAAATATTCCGGGAAAGCTATTTCTATAAATAATTTTTCGTCGGAAAGGGTTGACTCCAAAGGCTTATATGGGAGATGGAGGCTCCAAGTAATCGGCTCCTGTGTTTGTGAGTCTTGTTGTGTCAGTGGGACCAAAACTATTACTACTAAGCTCACTACCTAACTCTCCTTTAGGTTCAGAAACAACTACATTAACTTTTACAGGTTGTAAAACTAGATTACTGTTACTATGGTGTTGGTGGTTGTGGTAGTTTTTGGTGGTGATGATGATTTTGAGATGGTGGAGGTGGTGGTGGTGGTGATGACGATGATGGGCGGTGGTGGTGATGATGATAATGAGTGGTGGTGGTGGTGGTGGTGATGATGATGATGATGATGGGTGGTGGTGGTGGTGGTGGTGGTGATGATGGGCGGTGGTGGTGGTGACGATGGGTGGTGGTGGTCGTGGTGGTGATGATGATGATGATGATGATGATGGGTGGTGGTGGTGGAGGTGATGATGATGATGATGGGTAGTGGTGGTGGTCATGATGATGATGATGGGTGGTGGTGGTGGCAGTGATGATGATGGGTGGTGGTAGGGGGGTGGTGATGGTGATGATGATGGGGGGTGGTGGTGGTGATCGTTTCCCAAATTTCTGTTCCCTCTGAATTTTTGAATTTTAAATCTCACGTTGAGCGTTGTCAACCTGTTTAGAGAGCGATCTTTTTGGACAGAGATGATGGGCCAAATACTTTACAGTGCATTTACTTTTCTTAGAGTGTACTTGTTGAATATAAGGTGATTAATGTGATCGATATCCTTGAAACTCGGAAAAGAAGAAAAAAGGTCCAAAACATTCTCTCTTGACAAAACCTCCCCTATTCTAAAGGGAACTTTTAGAAAACAGACAAATCCGTCAATGCCGCCCAATTTAGAGAAAAAGCATTTCTGCCGAGCAGCATACCTCTACAAAGAGAATACATGGATATGATACATATAAGATACTTTGAATCAAGAAAGGAAGTGTTAAGTCATTTATATTCTAAACATCCCTGAAATTTGTAAAATCCGCCGAACGTTAGAAAAAGATGCTAGCCACAACTTAAAACTGGAAGTTTAAAGCGACTAAGAAAATTGTGGTTGCGGTGGATATCACGGATTGTGCGGAAATTGTTGCCAGATCAGTTCAAGGCCAGCAAGAATAATTGTGTGAGGGTGGATTACACGGATTTGACGGAAACTTGTGTCGTTTCATACTCCTTTTTTAAAATATTAACTATTGAAGAGAAGAATAAGTCAATATATTATGTATTAGATACTTACAGTTAAAAAAAGAAGTATTTTAAAATCATGTCTATTCTTAATCAATATCTGTGAAATCCGTCGAATCCGCCGTATTTTAGAAAAAGATATCAGCCGGTCAGCTGCAACTTTAAACTGGAAGTTCAAAGCAGATAAAAAAGATTGCAAGAAATTTTTGGTTAGGGTGGATTTCCCGGATTTTACAAAACCTTGTGTCATTTAATACTCATTTTTTCAAACTTTAACTATTGAACAGAAGAATATGTTAATATATCATGTATTAGAAACTTACAGTTTAAAAAGGAAGTATTTTAACATCATGTCTATTCTTCATCGATATCCGCGAGATCCGTCGAATCCGCCGTATTTTAGAAAAAAGATATTAACTAGTCAACTGCAACTTAGAACTGGAAGTTCAAAGATCAGCCAAAAAATCTGTGCTACGAGTGGATTTCACGGATTTTGCGTATAAATGTTCTATAACAACTTGACTTAACCCTATCACTCTTAAGATTGAAAAGCTCATTTCTTTTTTGACAGTTTGGAAGTGTAATTAAGATGTTATATGAAGACCACATATCCTCGTCGATTGTTTTCTTAATTCTCATAACCTGTCTCCTTGAGATTGTGTTAAAACGATGAAGAGAATTCAAATCAATGCTGGTCCCCCTTAGGAAAGGCAGGGTTAAAACGGTTCTTTTACAGAGCAGATGTATAAAAATGTAAACAACATTTATCTATCACTTCAAAGTTAAAATTCAGTTGGTGAACTAGCGCATTGTCAGAGAGTAGACGTTCTTGCTGCACCACAAAACAGGTACATAAGGCAGATTTAATGGCATTTGCGGACAAAACAACCCTCCATTTAGCGATTTACATAAGTGAACAAATTGTCATTGTCAACCTTTTTCTCATGAAATAGCACAATTAACAAATTTCGCACAAAGCAATCAATGCATTTGTTTCTTGAATTGATGCTCAATGACATCAATAAACAAGTTGAAATAAATATGAAATTCAACTTGGCCCGCTTCAAAAGTCATCGGCTGCTAATTGCTACCCATTATCACGGGAAAATAATGGAACCAATGTCTCATGGAGGCTACTAAACAACATCATCACCACTTGGTTCAATAGTTTGTGTTTCCCATTGTGATATACTTCACAGCTATGAAAAACAAGCTTAAACTTGACCTTGGATACTTCAAACCCTTTTCTGCAGTAATTAGGCTTCTTTGTTGCGATCAGAAAGCGACACCGGAAAATGCTCCGCACTAATGTAGCATGGACATGTCAATTTGTTATCAAATCCTTTCATACTCTACTTGTATATCCCTTGGGGTAGTGGCAACACTGGAACTTGATTAAGAAGGTTACAACTGCGAACCCCCAATTAAACACTTCTGTATGTTTCCATTGACTTTGAAATTTATTCCTCGTGACTATCACAAATTGATTTCGTATAAGACCGGAGCCTGTTCTGGACAGAAATCATTCCCAACATGAACAAGACGAAGTATCCTTGTCGTCAGTTAAACAGCAAGGCCATACAAAGTGCAGCATTATGCTTTGTGAGCCCGATAATCGTTGGAAAGTGTAGTATTGTAAAAGCGCAATGCGTATGCAAAATCGACGAAGGAGGACTACAGAAAGCCTGGAATGACGTCTGTAGAACTAGAGACGCTTGTGATAAGGCCATTTGTGGTAAGAATCTTCTCTTTTCAATGTACTATGTTGCTTTTCGCGATTATAGAAGTTCTTTTTGCTTAAGAACGATGTTTATATCTCTTTCACAGGGGTGAGAAATGTAGCATTTTTCTTTGGAGCAATCAGTGCGCAAGGCCCCAAAAAAAGCCGCGGAAAAAAAGCAGCAACTTTGGAAGGGTACGAAAGCGAGGAAAGCAACGATGAAACATTGACATCAAGTCAAGTTGCAAGTATGGCCAGTCAAAACTGGATTACTGATTATCCGACCATCGTCAATGAAAAGTTATGCCCATGCATCAATTACTGGATAGCCTTAACGACGCCAAATGGTGCCCCGGCCAACCCCCTTGTAATCCACCGAGCGCTCTTGGAATGCGACGTGGAGACTGTGGCACAACAGGTATTAATCGTAAATGTTCAATTACACATCTTTTTCTTCAGTGTATTTCATGAACCAATTTATACCATCATATTTGAGACTTGAGCTTTTTTTTCTGTCCGTTTTAATAACTTATCACTAAAACCATTTGAAAACCAACGTAACAACATACACGGAGAAAACATCTTGAGAAAAGGGATATCCATCTCATGATAAAGTTGGAAAATTCGTAGTCATTATTCAATATTTACACACATTCAAAAATACAAAATAAGCAGACTCAAGTTTTTTAACAGTGCCACTGTTCTGTTCTGTTCTCAGGTGCCCTGTTATGAAGGAAAAGAATCGGCGGCTATGAAAGAACTGTTCAGGGTATTGAAAGATCATAAAAACCAAATGATCCAGGAACTAGTGAACGCTTCGTACGGAAATTGCTTCCGGAATGAAATGGACAGCTTGCTGAGCGAAGACGATTTTATGGACACACAAGACTGTGGGACAGAGAAGGTGGCTAGAGTTTGGCTCACAAATTCGTGCTTCGGGTCTACTTTGAAACGTTCAATCACCAAACTTCAAGATGCAAAGTTGCAGATCGATATGTTTGGCTTTCACGCGGACAATCCACAGAGTGGAGATGAAGAGACACGACTTTCGGATAAACTGACTGTGCTCGTGAACGACATAGGACTGGCAATGAAAAAGATGGAGTACGCCCTCTTTCGCGGAAAAATGTACAAGAAAGTTCCATCGGCCAAGTACACTTTCGCTTACAAATGCGAAGTTCGCGTTTTCATCAATAGCCTTGCAGCGAACGAGTTCTTTAAAGCACGACTGCTAAAGGACATGAGAAAGATAATCGACATCCTTTCCGACCCAGACTGCGAGGTGATACGTCCGATCTCCATCGACTACAATCTCATCGAGGTAGATGGTGGACACTGCTGGTCCATCAAAGAAAGGCGCTTCGTTAATAACCCTATTGCAGATGAGAAGATGGGCGTCATTTCACCGCGGGCGTTTACCAGGTACGATCCAGACAAAGAGCCCGACCCAAAATACTTCAAGGAGATTTTGGAGAACAGCCTCTCACAAGTGCAAATACGTGAATTTTGCGAGGATTTCCTCAAGCTGCTCAACTTCAACAAGAAATGCCACAAGGATAAAGTTCCCTGTCTCATTGGTGATGCAAACAGTGGCAAAACGAGCCTTTTCCATCCCATTCTCGGGATCGTACACCACACAAATATTGCAACAATCACCAAGCAGAGGGTATTCAACAAGGCCATGATCTCGAAATCCACCGAAGTGATCTTTATTGACGAGGCTTCCACGTCAACTATGGACATTGACGATTGGAAGATCTTGACCCAGGAGGCTACACCGCATGCGATGTGAAGTATCAAACAGCAAAGTCCTTCATCAATCGCTGCCCCATGCTCTTGACAGCACAAACCAAATTGCAGTTCAAACCTGAAGACCAGCCCGCGATGGATCGTAGACTTCGAAACTACAGCTTCAAAAGTCTCCCGGCTCCCAAGAAAAGCGCCACGGCATGGCTGCGAAGACATCCGATGGAGTGCATCGTGTGGGCTGCAGCGCAAGCCAGGGCATGCATGACATCAGATTCAGAGGACGAGCTAAGTGATGAGGAAAGCGCAGATGACGGAGTATTGGCAGCGACAGACAAAGAACAGATTCGCGCGTTGTGCATGGACGAGGTACTGGACGAACGTGATGGTTCACCTGTCGAAGTGAGTGTGCAGGGTGCAACGGACGAGACTGAGGATGATTCGGACGCGAGTAGTCAGAATGACCAGACCATCAGTGCATTGAGACGAGTTATGGAGCAGTGCTCTCAGACGTCCCTCCGACACCGCCAAGTTTCAGCCATGTTGCAAGCGCGACTCAGCGAGCGAGACAGACAGAGGCAGGCAGAGGAAGCGGTGTACCGACGCAGACAGGAAAATCTCTTGTCGAAAGGAGTCGCACGCGAACATGTGGCCCTACTTCCAAGGGATACATCGGAACCCATGCCGACACAAATTGAAAATGATCTGACAGCCTTCAGGCAGCAGACTCTCCAAGAAGACTTGAAGAGAAAGCGAGAAAGAGCACTTGCCGCCTTCCAAACACCCTGGCTACTAGAAATGGAGCAAGAACTACACAAGCTGACCAGGACCCTAGAGATGTCAGACATGAATCAGGAGAGAAGGACGTCTATGGAGGCCTATCGCGAGGTCTTGCAAGATAAGCTGAGGCAGTTTCACGAGAACTATGGTACGGCCGGTTGCCATTTCGCCCTGGAGCAACGAAAGCGATCATGCGTCACCCTGGGTCTCCTGAAGAAAGAGCAAAGGTTTCTTGTCACCAGCCTCTTCCAAGTCCTGCCGACCGAAGACGAGTCGGGCGAATCTTTCAGATCGGATGGTCACAGAGATGGAAGCACCACCCACAAAGAATCCTTGGATGCGGCACCTTCAATTACAGGCACACTTGCAGTCACCTCAGTGCAAGGCACCACCTCAGAGAACGAGATTAGCAGTGACGAAGACGTCTTCATAACGCCATTGCCGCGCTCGCAAACGTCCAGTACAGCCCCTCCCAGGTGTCACCGACGAGCCACTACCACTGACTCCAGGAAGCGAAGGGGTGCCTCCTCGAGCCAGCAAAGCAAGAGAATCAAAACATTTCGTCAAACAAACAAAATAGATAACTATTTCTCAAGTCAAAATTAGGTTATTTTGTGTAATACAACAATAAAACGATGCTTGTGATGGTCTGAGTCATATTGTTGCTTGCCTTTGTAGTTGTATTTCAAGGATGTCTTTTTACTGTGGCGTAAATGTAAAGTGCTAGGGTAACTAAGAAAGTGATCCGAATCTTCGCGCTGCACGGCTCAGCAGTGAGTTGGCTGTCCTTCCCTTTTGAAAACGAAATTCGCTATCTCTGAGAATCGCTTTCCATTGACCGTAGCCGTATCGCTCAATGCCCGCTTTAAGATAATTGTCTTCTTCGGGGGTGAACATCAGACTCTTTTTTCTCGCCGGGAAACGTGACACTATAAACGCATTTTCCCGCTTTAGTCTCGGGACACCTGAAAGACGCTCGGGTGGTGTTTCTGCGATCGTTTCTCCCTCGTCGTTTGAGGAAGTATCGGTTTTGCTACCATTTCGATCTTCGAAAGACGCAGAATCGCCTGAAAGCCTCGAGCGCACGTCTATTTCAAGCTCTGACCCTTTGTCTCCATGCAATCTTTCCAAATATTCATGTGCTTTACTTGCCACCTCGCGCGATCGCTGCTTCTGATAGTGAACCCTTGCAACAACAGAGCTATGTTTCTGGTCCTCGGAGATTGTGCTCTGCGCGCTGCTGCTCAGCTGTCTAGAACTCGCGGTCTCCACTATCTGTCGATAGCGAGTCGGGTGAACGTACTTTCCCGTTGCATCAAAGACCAGTTTACTCATTAGCCCTCCCAGTTTTTGGTGCTGCCCTCCATTTCTTGTGACCAATACAAAGTCGCAGGTCGGTCTGAGTAGGGGGCGAATGTGGTTGATGTAGCCATCCAACACTTGCATGCTCGTCTCAGTCAGGTAAAGAGAATCGAAGCCATATTTGCCAGCCGTTTTGAACATTTTCTGGTCTACAAATCCACCGTTAGTCTTGGCTTTGTTCACCATTTCCACTGTTAAGTACTGATATGTCATGGGGCGCGAGCCCTTGACCTTGATAAATAAATAGACGGCCACAAATTTGGTAGCAAAAGATAAATCTATTGGCAAAACAGCACCAGGTTTCTCTTTGCATGATTTCAGCACGCTCTCGTAGCGCGGCAGGTAGCGACCCACGACTTCCAACAGTTCTTCTAGTGTGGCCCAGTGCCCTTTGGCTTCTAAGGCATCGATGTCGAGCTCACTGGTCCACTGCAACCGCATCATTTTGGAAACGGTTTTGCGCACTTTTTTCAAGTAAATTTCTGTTGAAGTCAGCCCCCTCAATACCGATTCCGATGCTCCATTCACTTTTCGATAATCCACCAATTCTGCAATGGCATCCAAGTAGCCTATGCGTCCGGCGTGTCCGAGGTTCCAATCATCCTGCATCGTATCAACAAACTTAAAAAGGAGATTAGGTGAACATAAACTAAAGTCCACAATGTCAAATGTGACCTCCTCTTCGTCCTCGCAACAAAATTTGAGAAACTTCAAGCACTTGCTAACGATCTGTTGTGCTTGTCGATCACTTTTACAGCCCCCACCACTGCCAGTGAGCCACGAAAAAAAGTTCTTGGCAATTTTGTTCTTAGGATCAAAAGAGGCAATTGTCCTGCTTTTACGCGGTGTAATCTTCTGATCACTGGCTTCACATTTGCTGGTTTCATCGACATTAAGCTTTTCGATTTGAGCACTGTCTGGCTTCTCGTCGAAGTAATAGTACCAACTGTGTTTGTTCTTTACGTGTTTTCTACAGCCTCTTTGCGTAGCGAATCCCTCGTGGTTACAAATTTGCACTGGGCAGTGAAAAAGACCATCACAGTCATCCTCTTCTAAGTGAAGTCTCTTTGGTTTAGGCGATGCATTTGCAAACTTTGACCAGTTCACATCCTTGCCTCGTTTGTTCATCTTAAGCATTAGCTTGAAATCGATATCTTTCTAAAGTATGCATGTACTTATACTAGCAAAAGGGTCCCCAAGAGATCATCCTATTCGCCAATGAGATAATTGTTAGCCCATCTCTGCCCACACTTGGTCATTCTTGCCCTTGCCCCATTGTTTTCTTGTCCGTATTTGGTACACAATTAATCAAAAGGAACAAAGACAGAAGCCTGAACTTGCGAGGGCAAGCCCGAACGAGATTAAAGAAGTAGCGGGAAAGTCTCGAACTTAAATTAATTGTTGAAGGATATATGTTTTGATAAATTTGTATAGCGGAGGTGATGTACAGTAGTTTCAGACAGCCTACGATAAATAGGAACTATTGTTCTATATTCCTTTTTACACTTTGCGCAAAATGGAACGCTAGTTCCTTTATCACAAATTCGGAACCTGTTCCCATTTATAAGCGGAACATAACACTCATCTTGAGGAACAAAAAGCCACCTCGATTAGGAACAATTCCGTTCCTGTTGGGCATGAATAGGAACAATTTGAACCGAAAGGGAACAAGGCGTTCCGAACAGCAGTGGATATGCCAGTAAACTGGAACAATTTGTTCCTTACTGTGTAGAGCGAGAAATTAGATTGGGAACATTTGTTCCCCAATCACTTCGAAAGGAACATGAAGGGAAATCGGAACTGTTGAAAGAGGACCTTTTGTTCCTGAAAGGATAAAAGAGGAACCAGTTGTTCCTTTTGACTAAAACGAAAAGGAACTTTGTGTTCCAATTTGCTGCTAACGGACCAGATTGTTCCGAAATTTGCCGACCATTGTTCCTGTTGTGCAAATAAAGTTCCTTTATTGTGCGTTCCTAGGTTGTTCCTAAAGCAATTAAAGGAACAAAAAGCAAAAACGCGCGGAACACTACGTTTTTGAAAAAGAGATGTTTCCTCGTGTCGCGTCACTTAAAATCAAACTTTGAAAGTTTCCTCATGTAAAAAACGGCCTGACAATACTGAGGACAAAAATGCAATTGAAAACTGCGGTGTTTTAACCTGAAATATAGCTATCATTACTTTTGGGGAATGTATATGATGATGATGATGATGGGTGGTGGTGGTGGCAGTGATGATGATGGGGGGTGGTGGTGATGATGATGATAATGATGGGTAGTGGTGGTGGTGATGATGTTGTTTTTGTTGAGGTGGTGCTGGTGGTGGTGATCCATGACCAGCTTTGGCGTTACTCCGATGAAGAAAGCTCGCAGTTCATGAAGTGGCCATGATATAGCGTCTTCACCCGGTGAGTTCTCCGGCAGACACTGATCTGTTTCCTTCTAAAAAGAAGAGTAAGGGAGTAAGAGAGAACTCAACTTTTTTAAACTCGTTGTCTTGACTTCGTTTCAGTCGTAAGCCTTCCGAGTTTTGCTTAAAGCTGTAAACTGCAAAGCAGCAAGCGTTCACACAATACGTAAAGGAAAAATGAGTGACCAGAGGAAAATAATTGAGACCTCAATTAATATGGACATAACAAAACAAAATAAAGTCTACATTACATGCCAAGTCACTATTCTTGTCAATGACTTTTTAACAGAATGGTGTTCTAGTGAACTTCAAAACAGCCGTGGAGACTCCCCGTTTGGCATCTTATAGCACTTTTCATTTGAGGAAGTCCTCCCTGCCAACAGGTAAGACTAGCTACCTTCCACAATAACAATACTTGCTAAAAGCTGAGAGGGTTGATATCGGACACTACTTTCTTTGCACACTAGCACATTCTCCTCAGTTATACATTAGGAACCTATTGTTTCAGGCTAGAGTTGAATCTGGGCCCAGTACTGTAAAGTCTGGTGCCCAAGCAGATGCAACCAAACTCAATCAAATACACTTCGATTTGACTTAAGTTTGTTCTTCTCTTAAGTGAGAGAAATCAACTTGGCTTTACTACATGGACATCTGCTACATTTATATTTCAGCTGTATATCTGTGTTATGCAGGTTTTCAACGAATGACCCATGAAGCTTTCTTTCACAATGAATTTAAGCTTGCGGACCTTATGTATATGTTCATGAAAGTTCTCTAAGAAACGTTGAATGAAATATTTCCCACTGGCTGCGGGGACTCTTCCTTCTATTTCTTTCTTCTCTGTGATACTTTCGCTTGATTAGATTGATTAGGAAACAAGGTCAGCCAACCACAGTTTTGGTCGAAGTCGCCCTAAGTAATATTTAAATTGACCTACAAATGCATCTCTTCATGTCAGAACACAGGCTAAACGAAACATTAAAAAACACAACTTTTCTCTAAGAATCCCTTCTTACCATATAAAGCTATACAAGTGTTAAGGTGTTATTAAATGGTAAGCATAAAAGCTAATGTTTTTTTTTTAAAGAAAACATCACCTTCTACGTTTGTTTCCACGGAAGATAAGACGTTAGATGTTAACAAAAATTTGTTAGTTCGGCACGACCTTGCACAGTTGTTCAGAAAGGTATGCGAAAAAAGCCAAAAAATGTCAAAGCTCTATTAATTAACAAATGATAACCTGCTTCAAAACTGACATCTGTCAGTTACTCTACATAGAAAAGATGACTGACTACTGAATGTTCTGGAACATTCAATGATTGCATTTTTTGTTTATCAAAACATTTCTTTTGGAAACAACGCAGTAAGCGAATCCTTTTCAATCGGAACGAGGAGTAGATCCAGGCCTTTCCAGAAAGGGGGGACAGGACACTTGCCAGTTAAATCGATACTATTTATTTTACTGAGAATGTTTTAGAAACAACAGAAAATTTTACAGATAAACGGGGGGAAGCCTCCCCCCAGGCCCAACCCTAAATTCGCCCATGGGAACGAAAGCCTTAAATATGAATTTTAATGCCGGAAATATTTTTGTATTCTACACTTGGAAGAAAGTTTCTTAGTATGAGTGTATCTAAAAGAAATGGTTAACCACCGAGAAATTAGAGGGTATTTACTTTCATATCCATGTATTTTTTATGCGAATCATACGACAGGAAGTCTTCATTTTCCTAGAATTGTAACTTATTAAACGTTTTTGTCGAATGCACTGTGACCTAAAAATTATTCCTAGCAAAAGAACCATCAGATGACTCTTGGTTTTGTCTTCCTTTCTTCTGATAGTTTTATCTGCAATAGTGAAATATTGCCTTTAATTTTGAATAAATACTTTCAGCAATAATAAAAAATTAAAATAGTAATAAGAGTTTTCTAGGAAAAGTCGAGTTTAAGAGAAAGTAAACCCGCCCCAGTTTGACATCTGTCATTTAGTTGCTCAGATCAGACAAGCTAAATACTGGGAAAGTGTTTTTGCCACGGCACACCTTGTTGAATTCTCCTCTGACGCTGGAAAGAAGTTTTAATCCTGGTGAACCGATCAACGATGTCTGATTCAGGCAAGGTATGTCATATTTAGTCCGTGAAGTTTTCTGTTAGTGGCTTCAACTGGTTTTCGTTGCCGTGCTTTCTCAGTTAATTCAGACACCGTTCTAGGCCATACAGATTATACTTTCAGTGGCAGTGGAAAACAATCACCAGTTTACTCTTCCAAATATTCTGTTAATTAGCAACAATTCCTTGCCCGATAAAGACCTCCATGTGCCACTACAGCGAGTGTTGGTTGAAATGCCTATTAACGAAGAGTTGTTTTACGTCACAGAATCTTCGGTCAGGAAGGGCCGAAATCATTTTCATTTGAGTTTGACTACGGAGATTAAGTATTCTTGGGCTCGTTTCAAAAGTCAGACTTCACAGGAGTCGAATTTGACAAGGAAAATTTGACTATTTTTCTTCTCTCTATTTGGATTAGATTTGGCACAAGGGAAGTTCCATGTTTGAAACAGACCTTAAATCTCCAAGTATAATTAGGGAGTCTTCATTTTCTTGGAATCGTAACAAAGTCAGCAGATACAATGACTTATCTCGTCCCTTCTGGAAAAGGAAAAAAAAACACAACACAGGTTTTCTGCCTTCAGTAATAATTCAAGGACGACCGAGAGCTATAAGTAATAAATCGAGAAAAGAAACGGCTTTGATACGTGACTGTTCATGCAGTCCGAGATAACGAAATTCAGTCAATAGATCGTTCTTTCGCGTGGCCCATGCATTTCGGGTCACGTGATCCAAGCAAGCTCGTCTGGTCTCGAATACGTCAGCGAAAAATGCATTGAGATGCCGTACAGCCGAATGCCAAATGAATCATATGTCCGGAAGCTTTTTACAGTTTTCTAAAAAAAATTTCATTCCATGTTTTCAGGTAGTGACAGTAGCCTGTTGCGGGGATGTGTCTTGTCGATTTCTATGCGTTGTTTAAAGGACAAGTTCTCTTGAATATTGTAGTTTTTTTTAGTATCAAGGTCAGCTACAGAGTTTGCCGCCATGCCCTAAAAATCTCCTGCTGTATATTGATTAGGGGGCTTGTCCACAGCAGAATTCCTTGAAAAAACTTCCTTTCAATTAGTTTTCCAACCTGAAGACGATAATTAGTCAAAATGGGTTCTTTAATAGCTCAGAGTTAGCTGAGGTTTCTTGTGAAACGTTGCAGCATTTCCGATGCTTTAAAAAGGGCATTGCATTGGAGTCATTGGAATTATAACAAAACATTGACAAGGATCTAACTGAATGAGCAATGATAACATGGATAATGACTTGTGTGAAAGATAGAGCAATAATAATGTAACAAAAACTCCCAAAAAACTCCTTTCAGGGTGGCTGACGTGGTCTTAGTTCTTATGAAAATTATATGCACCATGATGAAGCGTGAAATCCCCCTGAAACATCCCTGTTTCAAAGTTGTCTCGGTGTCCAAAACTGCAATCAACAATGACTTTTGTCTATTACTATCAGGAAATTAGGTCTTTAAGTGCTACAAAATATCTCATATATAATGTAGATTTCTTCTTTTAGCCTTTTTCATATTTTCGGTTGCCCTGATTCTAAAGTCAGTTGTTCACTAAATAAGGTAATTCTTTCTACACTGTATCGCCGCAGATTTTGCTTCCAAAGGCAGTTGAAGGCAACCACCAACTGGCTGAGAAACGTCCGAGAGATAATTATAAAGGTAACTATCTTGAAAGGCTAAGTAAACACAACACTGGAGCAAATAAAGAGAGGGGGTGGCTCTTTTTTTCATATCTGACTTTTTAATTAATGTATTTCCAAATTAAATGCTTTCAGGTCGGTTATGCACTGTGACAAATTTTAATTGTGTTAAAAAACACGAGGGCCTCAAAATAAACACGGGTGTTTGCCATGAGGAAAATTTTGTCATGAGTCTTTTCCGACCACACTGAGAAGTTCGCAGAGCTACTACATTACTACTTTGGCTTGATTGTGAATGGTATAGGGCATTTAAAGGGGTCTTAAAGAGTAACCAAATTTGACTGGAACAGGCGGGAACGAAGTACATAGTACCACATACCCAGTCAGTTTTCGGAAGGGCATCAAACGTCTGTTTAATCGTGTGTAACTAAGAAGACTCCTGCAACAGATTAAGGGAAACGTTAAGTTTTACCTTATCTTCGTTTTTGCTTTTCAGCCATGCTGTCATGCGGAGCTGAACTGCGCACATTGCCTGCTGCCTTCTCATTAGTGGAAACTATGAAGGAGCCAGGCAATCAGATGGCAACAGGAACCTGTACTTACACCTGTGGGATGGCCCCGGTTTCCTTGGGAGATAATGACTCGGACGCTTAAGCCCCGGCAATAAAACCTGCAGTTTATAGATTCGTATTACGCTTTAAAAGCCAAACGCTGATTGAGACGCGGTTTGAATGAATTTTTTTAGTTTGCTGTTCCCATGGCCTATACCCCATCATCAACAATGATTCAAAGATGCAAAAACGTTATATTTAGCCATTGCCTATGGATAAAAAGGGTATCAAAACCTTAGTAATGCACTAAAAGAAAAGAAAATTGTCATTACCGCTTGGCGTCTGCACCTTTTTCTGCTACAGTTAGCTATTAAGCAGGATAAGTTGAAATAAAGGCAATAAAGTTCTGCTGCATTGATTCTACTGTCCTGATAAATGTAGTACCGTAAGGGCGTTTATTTTTGCAGAGATTTTTTGTATTTTACTCGCAGGAACTAATGAGGTCCAGTCTGAGTCTGGTTTTCTTTCTGGGAAAAAAATTTCTGTTATTCACAGAATATGTGCATGGTTTGTGTGCGTTCTTTTCGAGGCTCGATTTCCGCCGCTCTTCCGAATCTGGTCTTTATTCCTCGTGAGATCAAGGTTACCCAGGTCAGGAATGCGGGTAAAAGGGATAGCAATCATCTCTCTACGGCGATCATGTTTTCTTTCTCGACTTGTTAGTCATTACCTCAAATCCTTTATTTACAAATGTTTCCTACACTGGCCGATTTTCTTGTACCAACTTCTTTCGTATTCACACAAACCATTAATTTGGGGTGTGTACAAAAGCAAAGTGTTCTTGAACCAACTACTTATTTCGTTAGTACAGCCCTCTCTAAACTCATCCAAAAACGCTGTCCAATGAAAGCTACTTAGCTGTAACCTTCCTGTGGCAATCTGCTGTTCTAGCTAGTCCTAAATAGTGGGTCTGCGAAAGAAACCCTTAAGAGTGACTATTTGGCTGAAAGCGACTGAGCAGTTTCCTGTGGTACTATTTATTATGCTCCAAAAGTTTGAAATCCTTACTTTGGAATCTTTGGAAGAAATTTAAAAGTGTTATCATCACTATGAAAGCTTTTGGATTCTTTCTTAAAGAGCCACAAGTTTTTTCAGATGAATTCTGTGTAAGGGAATTTAAGATAGTTTTAATTTTCTTGAAGTCTTTCTTTGACACACCATATTACAAAGATTATAATGTCCAATTCATAATCAGTGATAGACTTTGCTTTGCCCAGTTCCAGTCCACAGTTCCTGCAGCTCCACTTCACACAAAAGATCTCGTAAAGCACCTTTGGCTAAATCTTCACAATCAGGCATCTGTGTATAAGCCTTTCTGATCAAACTCTCACCTCCTGCCTCAAGTATGATGTCACGGTGCTCTGGGTTACGAGCAACTAAGTTACGAATGGCTAAACAGGCTTGTTTCTACAAAAACAAACAAACACACCAAAACATGAGCAGCTTTAACGTACTCTCAGAAAATGAAAAATTACATATAATTGGTAAAGTTCAAGCAGATGTGAGTATTTTACTATAAACAGTTAGTATAATAACTACACTACAAAGTAGGCGAACGATAGCACGCCTATCTATGCTGTATAAAATGCGACACAGGCTAGTGTCTCACAAAGATGCCAATCTACAATCCGCAGGCCATTCGTACTCAACTCGTTCCATGGAGTACTCTTTCACACAGCCAACAGCCATTAGGGATTACTACAAGTACTCCTTCTACCCACGGACAATTACAGAGTGGAACAAACTCCCAAGGGATATAGCATTGTCCAATTCGCTGGCTGCTTTTAGAATAATGCAATTTCAAACATTTATTGACACTTATATTACTTTGCGCTCATAAGCGCCATTTCTGTCACTATTGTTTTCCTTTGTTTGTTTGTTTTTTTTTCCTAGAGCGGTCTAAAATGCTCAGTATTGAGTGAAAGAACTAAATGGTAAATAAATAAATAGATGCCTCTTGCTAAACTACGTTTATAAGGTAATGTGGGTGAAATTTACTGGCCAAGCTTTTTCGTCATGGACCAGAAGGAAAAAAAAAAAGAAAAAAAAACACAAGATGTGATAACATACAGAAGCTACCAGTAAACAATTTTGGCATAACAACAATACCAGATCAGTAAGATACATACTAGTATCATTTCTTAGGGTAGTTTAAATTGTAGCCTGCAGAAACATCCGTTTCTCTACGCTCTTCGCCGCTGGGGACGTTTTGCACGGAGGAACGTCGTTCCTCCACGTGAAACGTCCCCAGCGGCGAAGAGCGAGGAGAAACGGATGCTTTTGCAGGCTATTTAAAATTACCCAAAAGAACACGTGTGCATATATTACTTTGTACCCCCAAAACTGACCAATCACAGAGCATGTGCAAACTGAGAGATGAAATAAGACACTTGCCCTTCGCCTTACATTGTATTTTTTAAGACCTGAAAATGTGTTTTATGTCAGGATTATACAGAAAGATGCTTGATCTTAAGCTCAAAAACTGAACAGGTGCTTCAGCCACTGAGCTGCAGGGAGAGTAAGAGCTGGCAAGCTTCAATTGTCCGTGACAGTGGTCCAGCATAAGCATAGTTAATTAAAGTGGAACGGTTAGGAAACCCTTTGTTATATGTCTTTGTTCGCTTTTTTGAACCTGACCGTGCACAACGTTCAATAGCATTCCTATCATTTTGAAGTTATTGACCAATAAAAACATTGAATTAATTTATTCAGTCATAATTTGTGAACAGAAAACAAAGGATTGTGCACGGTCAGGGAGCTTCCAACATAACCTACAGCACCATTGTTTTCAACTTTGATGTTTTCCTCTACTAACTATGTCATAATCCAGATATTGTCAAACCTCCTGCAAGCGACCACCCCGAATGCAAAGACTTAGTGGTCACTCATGGGAGGTGGTTGCTTGCAGGAGTCAAACCACAATTTAAAGGTTTCTTCTGAGAAGAGGTGCGGACTCATCTACTTTATGGAAGTTTATTTATTGCATGAAATTTCTTAGTTACAATATGTGTTGTTCCATGTTGTCACTAAAAGTTTTTCACATACTCTGAGTAGCATGGTACATACGGGGAACATAGAGATCGGACCATGCGTCAAGAGGTTGCTTACAAGAGGTTAACAACAATAGAAAACTTCTTATAGGAGATGGTCATTTGCAAGAGGTTCCAACTTAAAGAGTTTGCCTGGAAAAAGGTTTGGTGTTTTGCAAAGTTGTGCTCTAAGGAAAATTGAAGGGAGCCCAGTGCCCTGAAGCTGTAAAATCTAGGGTGCCCAGCATATGTTTTGTGTGAAGAAACTAAGATTATTTTTCTAGTCGCCCAAGGGCAAAAGTTAAGCACCCGGGGTCACCGGGCTCTGCTAGAGCAAAGCCCTGTTTTGGATAAGTGGTCGCTTATGGGGGACGGTCACTTACAACTGTCTCCCCAATGCTGAAAGGGTCTTCTACCAAGAGAATCAAACCACCATACCTGTACTCCAGATTTCTCTGGATGAATCTGCATGGCTTTCAAGATGGCCTCAACTCCCCCAGCACCAACAATGGCGGTGCAGTTAGGGGGACTGCGCAGAGCAATGGACCCCAGTGCAGCACAACCCTGCTCTGCCACTGTTGGTTGTTTAGCATGGGTAGCCATAGCAGCCACAATAAGTAAGAGGCCACCAGCATCAACAATAGAAGTCTTGACATCATCATTTCCTGCTATTGCCCTTAGAAGTGTGCACACCTGTTTTGCAATGTTCTGGAATTTTAAGAAGATTACAATCAATTTTCAGTTACTTATTATACCTTATTATAGGAAATTAATGCTTCAAGAAATCAATGTGAATTTCAAAAATTTGCATTAATTTAAGTTGTATTAATTTTTTATAAACATTAACTTCTGCACCATTAATAATACTACTATTATTTTTAAGTCAGTGGAGCGTTACATTTAATGCCACGACCTTAATTTCCACTATTTTTGGTCCCAAATTCCTTGATACACATTTGATATTCTTGACAACTTAGAAAGAGGAGTATTTCATCAGGATGGAGGATTCCGCCAGTATCAGTGAAAAGTTGAAGAACCCTTATAACATTTCTGTTACCTGTGATGATACAAACCTGATTGGAAGTATGTTCTTGTAATAGCTTCAGCACCATTTTTAATCCACCCAGATCAACTATATCCTTGCAGTATTCATTTCGTACAGCCAAACGACTTAATGTGACACACAACTCACTGGCAACATCGATATCTTCACAGGTTTCCATAATGTTCAGGATAATGGAGAGAGCATTCTCTGTCACAATCAACTTGGCGTGCTCATGAGCTTTTCCGAAGGCTACACTCATGTCATCATCGAATGTGAAAACGCGCAAAGCAGAACATATTTCTACAATGATCTCTGAGGACTTTTTGTATTCCATTAAAGCAGATACCAGGCAAGGTATAACACCATTAGCAACAAATGTCTGACGATTTGATTCACTCTTGACACAGGCTATTCTTACAGCTTTTACAATTTTCCCAAATAAAATGTCTTCTTTTAGTTCCTTCAAACTGTTTGCTAAGAATTCAATCATATTAGAGTTTACAAGCTCTCCTTGACCACTCAAAAGTGATGACAAGGCATCCAAACTAGCACCAAGAACATTATTGTCCTTCAATAAATAACCATGATTGCATGAGTTGTAAAGCAAGCTTAACGCATCTTTGCTTGCTGCAAATTTTCTATTATTTTCATTTTTGTTGCACTCGAGAGAAAGACTATTAAGTCCTTCCAAAAGAGGTTCTGCTTCTTCCTCTTGCAAGGATGTCTTTATCTTTTCCAAAGCATCTATAATAAATTGTAGAAAAAAATATCATTATTAACACAAAATTTTGAGAACTGTCATTGTGGATGCTGGATATGGGCAAACTTTGAGAGCACGAAATTCACAAACATGTTATTTTTCATCAGAGACAATCCCTAGAAAAGCAGGGCTAGAAAAAATATTGAATTCCAGCTCTCACATTCTGCTCACCCAGGGCCACTCGTTGCTTGTCTGACTTAGTAAATGATTTTATTTGAGGATGAAAGTTACTTGCCCTGAAGGAAAATCTACTTGCCCCATAGTCAGGGTCCAAACAAAAAATTGCAACCATTTTCCAAGGACTTTTCAAGGTCCACATTCGGTTTTCAAAGACCACCTACCGGGAATATAAGTCACAGATTGTACAAAAATGCACATCCCCAGTCTATTCTTACAAGACTTAAAGGGTTGAACTGTTTGCTCCACTAACTTCTCTTGTCTTAAGTTGACAGTTAATTATTCCATAAACAAAGAGCGCTTTATGTAAATAACCTTTAAATTTTCTGTGCTATGATTTATATTCTGTCTTGGATAACTAAAAGGCATTTACAAAGCACTTTCCAGGCCACTACATTCAAAGTTGAAGAAAATTCAGGGACTTTTCAAGGACTTCCCCTAAAATTCAAGGACTTTTCAACACCGTGCGAACCCTGGGACTCTCGGACAGGACTTTATTTTACCCATAAGCAGTGAGCAGGGGAGAATACACAATATAAAACCTTCACAGAACAGACACTACATGTTGGGCACTGCTTCCTTCTATTCCTTCCTTTTCTTTGACTGGACTGTAGTGCTGGCACCTCAGCCTTCGAAAACAGCCGCCTGGTCTCTAAGGAGTCTATCTTAGAGAGAGTTTACTTTATTTTCATCTTTCGCCTTAGCTTCAAGTGCACCATACATAAATAATAATATTGAAGGTACAGGGACACCACCTCTGACTCCCTTCCTTCCCTCACCCCACCACATGCACCAAGGCTCACATTGACACTTCTCCTGAGTTTGGAGAGGCTCTCACAGTATGCCAAAAAAGTAGTGTCTGATAGCCTGGGGCTAGTGAATTTTGCTTTAAGGCTAGTCATGTGAATTCTGTTCTTAACTTGCCCAATACCACTGCCAAGTAAATTTTTGGGGGGAATTCAAATTACAGAAGAACTGTAATCAATGCTTATCAAAGAGTTTTTTCGAGCTAGTTGAAATGACTTTTGGGTTATTATATGCTAGTTACAACTTGCCCGAATTACAAGCTGTAAAACTGACTTTCTTTGCACCCTGCCTTTCTCTTTATTTCCTTTAAAATCCTTCAAACTTATCTAGCCTACTCTTGATCTATAACAAAATAAAATATAACTAAAGTTAGGCTTAAGTGTGGACGGCTTCCATTCAACCCAAAATTCTGGAAATTTTGGTTGGTACGTCAAATGGAACGGACCATTTCGGTTTGATCCAATCGGAATATTCAGGACCATCTTGTGGTCCTCTTTTAGTGGTCTGGTTGGTTGGACCAAAATGTCCTTTTCCATTTGACAAAAGTGTTGTCCCCAGTACCGCTCTTTTGTATCCTGTTTGCCCGAACAATAACCAAATGCACGATGGCTTGGGTCGGGTCTGTGCAACTGAAATGTACCATTCCATTGGGTACGTGGAATTTCCGAAATTTCAAACCGGAATTTTAAAATTTTGTTGAATGGAAAGCGCCCACTGTCTCTCTTGATAAATCCATCTAACCTGAGGATTCTTCTTTTAAGCCAAATTACTTAGCTGTAAAACGTATTAAAAGCGTGCCATTACCTTTCACTGGATTGCTATGTTTTAGTTCACCTGTGTCCGGATCTTTAACGTATGATGTAATCAAGTTTGACAAGTCCACACCCTGAGTTTTAAACTGATCCTTGGCATCTTTAACAGCCTCGGCCAAATCCATTTCAAACTCGTCTATATTCTCCCGGACAACGGCATCGAAGGTGTCTTGGGTAATTTGCTTAGGTTGTGCCATCTTATTCTAAGTTACTAACTCCAAGATAAAAAGTAAAAAGCCTAAACCCCACAAGAGAGTAACGATCAACAAAAGGAGCCTGACAACAGCTCAACTTGCCGCCATTTTTCTTTCTATTTCCACCGCTGACCAAAAAGATCGCTGTTACGCTTTGTTTCCTGTCTGCATAAATTATTTACGCAACTGTCATTGAACGTTTCTCAATAAGTGTTGTTCTTCAAAAACAACCTTTACTTTCCTTCAGTTGATAACCATTTAGTCAACATATTCAGCTGTAGACCATGAAAGAGTGGCTTCTTTCTCTTTTGCTAGTGATTTGCTTGTGGAGAGACATTTATAGTGCGAAAAACAGCACCTTTTTGTCAACGACACCTGTACCTTCTTCACAAAGCACATTTGCTCCGTCGACGACACACGCTAATAGAACATCAACAACTGTAGCTCCGACCACTATTCCTCAATTTACGTGTACTCAAGGGAATGCGTCTTGCGGTGAATGTGTCAAAGATATAAAATGTTTTTGGTGTAGTGCGGACCACTCTTGTAAACAGTACCCGGCAAGCAAGATAATTCCCCGAGATTGTGAAGGCAATGACTGGTATTGGAAGCAATGCTTTGCTGCAGGTAACCTATTTATTTCAAATTGAAATTGTTCCACTAAAACTATAACAGTGCGATATCGATTATAAATGTGGTTTAACGGGAAAGTTTCTCAAGAAACAAGACATGAGACACTTTATAACGCACTTTATAATTCCTTTAAAATATTTCCCCCTTTCTGATCTGACTGGCTTTCATCCCCCGGCTAGATCTAACAAATTGCCAGTTGGCGCTTACCAAATTTTGAAGATGTTTGGCATGTTACTATTCCATCCATGATGTCAGTAAGTGGCGTCAATTATGGTGTAATTAACAGTTGTTTAATGAGAATGATGTGAAGAATTATGCAGACCGAGGCCGATGGCTGAGGTAGATAACATCCTCCGAGAAAAAGAAGAAAACATGAGAGAAAGGAGTAAAATATTCTCTATATTCTCTATTCCCAGCTGGTCATCAATCTGGTTTCCTACCCAGTCCAGTGGGGCTTAAATTGAGTGGCACATTAGCCTGTGAGCAAGCTCTTCATTTAGGGTAGTCGCGAGTAGTCATGCAAGAGCCGCACAAGAAAAGAGACGTGAGTGCTTGGGACGGGAAAAGAATTTCTTACCCCTTTGCACAGCTCCACCGCTCATTGGCACGTTCTCTTGCGGCTTGCTTTGCTTGCCATATTGGAGAGCTTGCTCGCAGGCTACTGGCGCACTGAGTTTTGTTCCTCACTTTGCAACGGGTTATGAGATAGGTATTTCTAGTCTAGCAGATACTCCTTAAGAAGTAGATAACATCCACAGAGCAACGTGTTTTGCGTATTCTTGCATTTCTCGCATCCAATTTCAGTCAAGAATTCAGCTATTTCGTCTTTCGGATAGTTGTAAACTCCATTTTTTAGTTCACTACTAGCAGCCCTTTTTCCATTCAAATATCAATGGATGAACCTCATTTACAGTGAAATACACCATCCAATATTATTGTGGTATATTGCTTGCATCCCCAAGTATGGTAAGCGCCAGTTATATGACAAGTTAACCGAGGAATTGGAGCCTATCAGAAATGGCAAAATATTTTGAATGAGTAATTATGGCAAATATATCCACGATTGATCTCGTAAACAGTGCTGCAGCAGTTTAACTGTTTTGGTAGTTCATTCCTTTTGCAAATTTTATGGTCGCAAAACACAGTTTAGAAATGCAGGGCTTGATTTGATTGTCATAGAGAATATTAAATCCAACCATGATGTGGATGGAATGCTTGCTCTATCCAAAGGACCTTGTCTTGGTCCTGAGGCCTATCCCTAGATAGGATCAATTTAACCACCTACCGCTCCCTAAGTCAACATTAACACTTACTTCTTGCTTAGGGCAAAATTGTGACTCAGGGGAGGGGTAGGTGGTCAGTTATCCAGAAACCTCAATTGATCACCTAGATTTGCTCCTGCAAGTGGCTAGCACTCAAAACATCACCTCCTCTACTGCCGCCTGGTTAGCTCAGTTGGGAGAGTGCCGGTCTGCTGAATGGGAGGTCACAGGTTCGAACCCAACACTCAGGGTCTTAGCCTGCAAACGACAGACATTTCTCCTCGCTCATCGCTGCTGAGGGACGTTTCGTGAGGAGGAACGTCTGCAACTCAGTGGCAGAAATTCCATACTGATGACGTAAATCAATGTTTACATAAATAAATTCAGTAGTCATGGGGTTCCAAATGCAAATTTGTTCAATTTTACGTTTCTCCTGGTCGATTTTGGTGAAGTGTTGTGTTCATCTCATTCTGCGAATGAGCTGGAGCAAAACTCAAATGCTACTTTTAGAGAAGACTATATTCCACAAATATTGACTGTTTTGTTAGAGATTCATCGCGTTTACATTTGACCTTTGCGGCCTTTTGTCTTTTGTCTGTCATTTGTAAACAATAGCTAAAACAATGAATCTACTCGGGCGACCAATCAGCGCTTCTGACCGGATTCCGGACAGATTTTGCGTCATCAGTATGGAATTTCTGTTGCTGAGTCGCAGACGTTCCTCCTCGCGAAACGTTCCTCAGCGGCAAAGAGCGAGGAGAAACGTCTGCTGTTCGCAGGCTATCAGGGTCTTTAAATAACTGAAAACAAAGTGCTGCCTTTGTAATGACATCTGCAAACTGTTAGACTTTCTAGTCTCCTTGGATAAGGATGAAAAACTGTAGGCCCTGTCTCACAGCACTTACACTTACCTGGTTCTTGTGGGATGTAAAAGAACCCACACCACTGTTCGAAAAGAGTAGGGGAGGTAGACCCCAGTGTTGTGGTCAACCTTCACTCATCACATCATTTACATCATGGGTTGGGTGGGTGCAGTAAGCTCACAAATGGACTGACAGCGGCTGCCAGTGGCGCCTTTGTATGCTGACGTCTGAGCTTACTGTTCACATGTTAAAATGTATTGTAAGAGGGCACGTCTGTTGTCCTCTCATCCACGACTCTTCTCTTTTCTCTCTCTCTTCTCTCTAACCTCTTCATTCCTCACTTTTGTTGTCATAGGTAGTATCCTTATCTACGTAATTCCCAGTGTGTGTTTTGTTGTTCTGGTTATTATCGGATGCTGTGTGTACTGTCTCTGCTGCCGAAAACGCAAACAGAAAAGCTATGAAAGAGAAGACAGAAAAATGCAGAGAAGACGCGAGGAAATAAAGCAGCGACATGCTGAGAGAAGGGCGGAGCGAAAGATGAGAACGGATGCAATCAGACAGAAATATGGATTGCTAGCTAATGAGGATGATGCTGAAGTTGCTTGAACTGACTTGAAGTACTGATTCCAACATTTTTTTATTATTTATTTTGTTATGCATGCTCTCAGTATAATTTATGAAAATCACTGTCAGCAGATTTTCTAAATATGTGACAGAGTCAGTTTTGTTGGGCACTGAAGGGTTGTAAGGCTTAGTCATTGTTTCTAAAACAGTTGAACTTTATAATTTCTTTCGTAAAGGCTCACGGACAATCAGAAGAATAAGGGTACAAATTAAAGCTAAAAACAGTAGGACAGAACACCTTTTGAGTTAAAGAAATCTTTTCTTGATAACAATACAGTTTTAAGTTATAAAAAGACGGCTACAATCCTGTCCGTCTTAGACCATTGAAAATCGTGAAAATGAATCGAGTTCGAGTATACTTTAAGTTCGAGAGGTTTGAACCATCCATATGAAAGAGGTCACTATGATGACATCACTTTTATGACTCCACTTACAGTTTTAAGTGTTCAGTAGCTAAAACCAGGCTCACACGCGTCTTAAAACTGCATTTAAAGTTATTAATTCACTGTGCAAAGACACTGTCTTTCAGTAGCATACAATATTGTACATCTCGGCTACAGACAAATTACTGTTTTAAAACGAAACAAGCTACAGTGCAATGCTGCATGTAAAAAGTTGTAGCGTAAACCACAATTCTGAAAGCGTCTTTTGCTATTTTGCAAGTGCAGTAAACAGTAACTAGAGTACAAAATGTAATACAAAAAAACTCAATGCTATCTGTAGTCATTGAAGCCTTCATAGAGTCGGTTATGGTCCTCTGTACACCTTTCGCAAATCGTTATTTGGTATACAGCGACTGGGCTTTATATCACCTTGCACAGCTCATCAGCCAGACTAGACGGGATTAACACTGTGCAGATTCACCTGAGCGGGATCCGGGGTTCACCTGATCACTGTGGTGTCCGTAACAAACATGAATTTACTCTCTTGGTGCCGAGATTTAGTGTCCGTTGTCCGTATTAGAGAGAGTCCATATTATAGAGGTTTTATTAAAGAAAATATATGAGAATTTTGTCGGGACATTGAAACTGTCCGTAATAGAGAGGTGTCCGTACCGAGAGGTTCAACTGTACTCGAACTCTAAAAGAAGGATATCAAATGAATCCATCGAAGGGAAAGCGAAGCAAGATTGGTTTTTGATCGTTTTTGACAGCACTGGAGCTTTGACTGTGTTAATGGGAACACAATGAATGTAGCCTGCGTGGCAGACGTTAAAAGGGAAAGAGGCAGAAGGAACTGTTTCATTTTGGGTGTGCGAGTTAAGAGGGCGTGCCCGAACTGCCCTTCCCCACTTTCCTTTTAACTCCTCCCACGCAGGCTGTAGGGGAAGGAATGTATAACGAAGCCCTTAGAACCGAACGTCTGCATGGGAGGCTACGCAGGCTATGATGAATGACGGGATAAATGCATTTTAATAAACTTACTGCAATTTTAGTGACAAACATGTAATATTAAGAGAATTATTACTTTATTGTTTTTATAAGCTAAAATTTTAATTTATAATATTTTGTAAAAAAAAAGGAAAAACAATCGTAATAAAACTATTCAATAGAAATTGTCTGGAAGTTTTTTCGGGTCTGAAGTCAGTGTCCAAGAAACAAGCCTTTTTTATTTCCTCAAATACCCTTATAATTCTCTCCTTTTTAAGATTGGCCCCGGTTGTCCAAAAGTTGGATAGCGCTATCCACCGGATAAATCGCTATCCAGCGGATAAGTATTACGAAAACCACTGTGCTATCCACCTTTTGATCAACTGAAGCCGGTTGTTCAAAAGGTGGATAGTAATGATTAATAATCATAATAAATTATTATTATTATTATTATTGTTATTATTAATCATTACTATCCACCTTTTGAACAACTGAAGCCGGTTGTTCAAAAGGTGGATAGTAATGATTAATAATCATAATAAATTATTATTATTATTATTATTGTTATTATTAATCATTACTATCCACCTTTTGAACAACTGAAGCCGGTTGTTCAAAAGGTGGATAGTAATGATTAATAATCATAATAAATTATTATTATTATTATTATTGTTATTATTAATCATTACTATCCACCTTTTGAACAACTGGAGCCGGGAGTATTTCAAATGTATTCTGACCCATTTCTCTTCAATTATGCTATAAAGTTCTTTTTTCAAAAGTAGGTCGAGTTTGATCGTCCGGGTGAACGTAGTCCTGAATAGGACTGTTGTTGACAATGACTGACGTTTTGACAACCTGAGCGGTAGTCATCTTCAGAGTCTAAGTGAGTTGTCTCACGTCAGTTGATGGTATGACACATGGTTATTGATCTGATTGGTCAATTACGTCGCGATGTTATCGGTCGTCTGTAAGTTAAGCCGTGATGTTATTGGCTATGAAGACTCGTAATTAGTAACTGGTGCATTTCGATCCGTCTATTGTCACAGTTTAACAGTCGTCTATTGTTAGTCAAATTGTCAGTTCCAGTCGTTCTCTTGTAGTTAGTTTTGCTTGATCTCGTCAATAAGTTATTTCAGGAGCTCCTGGTTATTTGTCCGGCGCTGGTGATCACCCCTAATAACTTTTGATGACTTTCACGATCCACGTCCCCCCCAATGTCTTCATTTTCTAAGCAAATTTGAGTGGTCCCCCCTCTGAATCCTTCCAACGTTTTCAGCGATCCCCCTTTTGGGTTCTCAGTTACGACTGATTCCCCCTTTTGTTATCCTAAAAATCAACTGATACCCCCATTCCCCCCCCCCCCGACTACCAGGCGATAAACAAGACAAACAATGACCGGTCCATTAGCGACTTGACGATTTTTCAAGGATTTCCAGTGTATTGAAAGGGTGGTGACGAAAGCGAATATCTACTTACCATGGCCAGTTTCCTACCGTAATCTTCCGTTTATAAGCCCTGGGCTATTACAAATTTGTAAGGGGTTTTAGGAGGGCTTATTAAGGGGTGGGGGGGGGGGGCTTATATCCGGGAAGGAGGGCTTATAATCGGACTCGGCTTATAAAAGGAAGTTTACGGTATTATGTCTCCCTCATTGAACAGCTCATGCGTCGCGCTCTTTCTTGTCAAGTTTCCGGAAATACGCACTTAATTTTCGCGTCACGCATTTACTAAACAATGGGTTCGTAAAGATGCATGTTATTTCGAAGGGTAACTAGTTCCTTCCAAGGTACAAAAAACACAAATATAATTCCCAAAAAAAACAACATTTGAAGTTGCAGAACAAAAACAACACCTTGAGAATCGGGTTTGACGATTGCGGAACCCCTCTTACTTTCCACGACTCCAGAAACCACGAAAGCCACATATATGGCAATGAGTGATAGTCCAATGATAATTCTTGTTCGTTTTACGCTTCGAGATCTCTGATGTAGCATCATCAAGGTGGTAGCAGTATTCAGGATGATCACAGCGAGCTTGAATGCTCCGTAACCTGCACCGCATGCTGCTCCAATATTGAAGACGATTTGGTAACATGTCACGTCTGCTGATCCATTCTTAAACTCAGCGCTGTTACAGTCGATGGGATCATCATTTAAACGCGCGAAAGCCTTCCAAAACTTGACATTTTCTTTCACATCGTTATTGAAACACTCGATGGTATGGTCATTCGGCTTGCAGCTGGTGGTAATGTCAAGCAGAAGTGTCGACCAGAATAAATTCGAAGCCACGAAGAAAAGCAGGAGGAACAACGCGAATAAACTGAAAAGAACTTTACTCAACAGCTCCTCTGAAGTCGTAAGATCTATGTCCCCGAAAAACCATCTCGTCAGTCCATTGTCTTTTTTCTTTATAATGCAAGAGGGGAAAGCGTTTGTTACGACCCAGCGAAGTAAGCAAGTGGCCTTATCTGTGCAGAATACACTCATAAACACCATAGGCATGAGAAGACCGAGGCATGTTACAAGAGCTGGCAATGTAGCGCATAAAAAAGGATACACATACTGCTTCATGATAGCGAACAGTGGACTTCAAAATTTTCTTATAGATATTAAAGCCCTAGCTAGCCTTCGTGACCTGGGATCTCGTTTCCGTCTGGTTTCGCGGAAAACCTCTTGAATTTCAGACGATCCACTTCACGCTAACCGCCGAAAATATTTTAATATCTTACGGCTATCCTCGTTACCTTAGCAATACTGTACTATACAAGCAAACAAACAAGAAAGAGGCCCTGTTAGGGGTAAATTCCGACAAGCGACACGGCCTTGAACCGGCGACATGAGAGCCACGAACTGGCGACGACCGACAGACTATTGCAACGAATTAGCGAAAGCGACACCAATGTCAAGACTGTCCGACAGCGAATTTGGGAATTGACAGAATTGTGAATGTCCTGCAGAACATTTGCGCGTACACTATTCTGTAGTAACTACTGAATAATGATCAATAATGGCCCATAATGGCTAATAAGGGTCCAATAAAGGCAAACAGAAATACGTCTCATTTTACGGCTGTTTTGATTGTTCATTTCATTTGATTGACGTGTTCAGTGCATCGCTCCCTTTGAGGACTTTGCCGCTTTGCGTATCATGTTCTCCTCCTCGTGCATGACCCACGTGCGCGCTCCATCAATGTGTTAGAGAGATTTTTTTTCTTTATCAATCGCGCTCATCTTGGTGTTCCAAATGGTAAGCGAGTTATTGGAATACATCACTATCAGAGTCATTAGCGAGTCGTCAGAGTGCCGTTGACGGCATCAACGGCATCGGAAAACACAAAAAGGGAGAGAAAAAGCGAGAAAAGCAAGACAAGTTAGAAAGAAGAGAGCGACCAGCTTTCTCAAACTGGTCGCCACTTTCACACTTGTTGTGGAGAACTTTTTCACCGAAATGCGATCCAGAAATGACATCCCAACTGCCTTGGAGTTTGCATATCTATTTGCGCCCACCATTCGGGAGTCATTGAAACAACTCCCTGACATTGGCTTTGTCTACTACACTTCCCCACACTCTTATTATGAAGTACCAGATGAGATGAAACTCCCGTTTCGAGACCTGCCTTCTTTGTCTGTTCCATCGTCAGTAGAAATGGCAAAAGATGACCAGAGGTTGATGAGAGACTGGAGGGACAGCTTTGGTAAACTGGTCCGTCAACTGACCCTTCGAAATCAAAGTACCAAGGACAATGTAGGTACACTTCCATTGTTCGCATACACAACACCAGATCGGCCTCCAAGACCATTAGATTTTTCCACCACAGGCGACCTCACAGTTAGAGAAACAGTGGTCACAAATATTGAGCAGGAAGTTGTCAGAGGAGCCATTTTATTTGAGGTCAACAGTGTTGTGGTCGCCAAGCCCGACCACATACGTGGATACCGGAACAGGGGACCCTTCTTTGTTGGAATTGTCGTAGCTGATGTCACCGACAAGGAAGAGAATTCTTTTTGTGATATTGAGTTGTTTGTTTCTTCATTTGAAGACTGTCTGCTGTTTACTTTGAATGAAAGCGCACGAATCCACCGAGGTGCTATCGTCAGTAAAGTGGGATAAGAGCATCTTGAAAAAGGGTGCGATTTTGTGAAATTGATGTAGGTATCATTCGAAAAATTTCTTTGATACCAAAATAACGTGGAAGTCCTTTTGCCAGGCAAAGAGGGCGGTGAAGAGGACAGCGACCTCGAGTCTGATGATGATGAAAACCCAGCAGACGTCGTCTTTGGAGGAATGCCACTTCGCACAACATCCGGGAGAACCGTCATCCGCCCAAATCGTTTGGACCTTTAATTCATTTTTCACAGACTTCTTGTAAACGCATGCCCTACAGATAATGAATGGTTGATAATGTCCTTCCTCCTGGGTTGTTATAGTTACGGAAAAGCACAGTCTGACAACTAAATCAGAGTTTAACTCGGAAGAAACATTATACTCTTGCACTACCAGAACTTTAGAAACGTTATGATAGCTCGAGTGTTTTGCCGGATTAGGCCTCGATTCACTCCAGGCCATTTCAAAAATATCTCTACACTTGTATAGTTTACTAAGTGGAAATTTATTGACTTCAATTACTATTCCAAGTAGTCTGAATGAATATCAAACATTTATAAAGGTCTTAAAACCCTGGGCTTAAAAGTACTAAAGATAGAGGCCGTATGTTCCGTTGGCGTCGTTGCAGCGAATGCGGATATGTCAGACTGGCAACAAGCTAAAAAATTATTATTGAAATTCCGACAGGCGACACGAGAATGTTCCGAAATTGTGACGTAGCTGGCTGTGAAATTCAGACGCGAGACATACGTTTTTAGCGTGTAGACCATCTGGTGATAGAAAATGAAGAACTCAAGTTCTCAAAGATATAAATTTATTGTCTGCATTTAAATACGTATAACCACAGGTAGCCCAAGCTCGAAATACGAGCATTGGCGAACATTAGACAGTCCCCTATTTTTTCGTGAGATCGTCGAGATCCCGGGGGGGGGTACTCGCAGAAAAATTGGGTAGGGGTGTGCGGCCCGCTTCCCAAAACCCTTACCCTATTTATGACCAAAATCTGCGATTTTCCCTACCCTATTTATGACCTACAAAGCAGCCGGTGGAGAGGAAGGCAAAGCACGGATGGGAGGAGGGGACATGATAAGGAAGTAGCTTCTTCTCAAAAAGTGCATTCAAGACTACAGTGCAAAAATCGATACCCAATTTATGACCAAAACGGCTGAAAAACCCTACCCTTTGGGGCCGCACATACCTATATAGCCCATATTAGGGAGTACCCCCCCCCCCCGGGGGTCGAGATATAGCGCGTCTTACCGTTAATGGCGGCCATTTGGTTTTCAAGTTTACCGAGGGGGCGGGCGTCGGGGATTATAGTTGATAAAATTGATATCCCGTTCTACAAATGGGCGAATTTTTTATATTCCGTTCTAGGGTGCAACAAGAGTACAACGGTTTGCTTGTTAACGCATTGAACCGTATTTTTAAAAGCAATCTGTCCTTGAATACTTTCAAATGGTTGCTTACAAAAGTGGAGCTTTCGTGCGTTCGAAATATTATACCCCGTTCTAGAAAACGCCTCTGAAATGGATACCCCGTTCTAAATCAGGAGCTTCAAAATCACGACCCCTTTGGGCGGCACATACCCGTATAGGTAATGTATGGGAGTACCCCCCCCCCCCCGGGATATTCGCTAGACTGTTTTTGCGTCTGATCGTCAAGGTCCACGCTTCGCGTTACGGGCTGCCATCTTGTATGAGTGTCAAAACTTTTTAGGGTGGGGGGGCGATTTGGGAGGAAGCGAGAAAAATACCGCCGTTTTCCTTAGGTGGATCCGGCGGGCAGCTTCGCTGGAGTCCTCAACCTTGGTAAACCTTTATACAGAGAGAAAAGCGTTTATCGTACAACCCATAATATGGCCATAAATTGGCCAATGGACCACACAGGAGAGACGTAACACACATTTTATGTAAGGTAAGCTGTTTTTTACTGAAATCCTTTCATTTTCCTAGGTTTTTTTTGCATACAAATCCTTACATTTCGAATGTTATGCAACAATGTCGATGTTCGCCGATGCTTATAATTTCGAGCTTGGGCTACCTGTGGTATAACCAGCTTACTTTAGAACAGTGAGCTACTAATAAGCTACAATCAAATATCAGCCTCTACAACAATCTCGATCTCCTTCAAAACAAGGGATCTAGACTCTCAGGAGTAAAGCGTTGCTCACTCTAACGGATAAAATTTTCATACTGGAATTCAACCATTTGGTACATTTTCTACAGCCTTGACCTTCATAGTTTGACCGTTAATTACAAAATGAACACATTTGCGTTAGCCTAAGGTGGATAAAAGGGCACAGTAAAACTATTTCATAAATATTTCCTTTAAAAAGAGACCATTTTCTCACCATAGTAATCTAGACATTTTATACCTCTAACAAGCAATAAATAGTAACCAGTCTGCTAAACAGCCGTTTTTAGTGACGGCTGTGTAGCAGACTCTCATGTCATAAGTACGTATTCTAAATTGTTAATCTAAAACTGCAGACGTTGCTCAAAGGACTTAGAGCACTCCGGGGCACGCGGAATCCCGGGGGGAACTCCCATATAAAAGTGAGGGGGATGCTCGTTGGAAAATTCAAAGTAAGCCCCTAAGGGAGACCAATGTGGGTGAGGCTGATGCTAAAAAGGGAGATTTCTATGTAGTCAGTGTCAGGGCATTTTTTGTAAATTTCCTTATGTACAAAACCAAGCAACACTTAAATGGGCAAAAACAGTAACATTCCATCCCAAAAACCCAAAGTGTGCAATTTACAACCCAAAGCGAGACGATGAGCATCCCTGTCACTGTTATATTGGAGTCTCCCCCCCCCGGGGCGCAGGGGGGGGGGGATTTTCACCTTCGTCTGTCGTTTAATAAAAACTAGAAATTTAGTTTGTGAATTTTTAAAAAAGCTCCGCAGAATCAAGCATAACAATTGTTGGTCTAAACTAGTTCTGATGTACAAAAGCAAATTCTGCGTAAAGGCATTTAAAAATACATCTTAACACTAATATAATACTTGAAGCGTCTCAAGAATTTAATCATCATAACAGTATTTGACCTAAAATCATCCATCTTAAAAACTGAAACTATTAAATACGGGTAGAGACAATCAATTTTAACAATTTTAACACTAATATAATACTTGAAGCGTCTCAAGAATTTGACCATCATAACAGTATTTGACCTAATATTATCCGTCTTAAAAACTACAACTATTAAATAAGGGTATAGACAATCAAGCTAGAACCCTTTTAAATGCCCTTTACACAACATATCTCTAACTAAAGACTTCTGTGAGCCATAACCCGAAGCTTTCGATCCCTGGCACATGGCATATTGCCGATCGACAAGCTTAGGATCACAGATTACAGGATGGTAAACATGAACGAGGCCAGGATCGGCTGCACGGAAGACTCGAATCTCTTCGTGTTTGACAAACTTCTCGTACAGGTCCACATCTTCCAGCCCCCAGCCTTGAATCGTTGTATCAAACCCTCCAACGGCACGAAGGTCGTGATTGTAAGCGGCAACGATGCCGAAAGCGTAAGCCCTCCAGAATCCTGTATCCATGTCTACTATAAAGTGAGTCTGAGGTGCTGTATGGTTGGGGTATGTAATGTCAGAATCGAATTGACTGAACACCATCGGGTAATAAACTTGCTGACCGAGAGCAGTGTTCATACGGGCACGGTAAAGGAATTCCGCACTAAATACCAAATCAACGTCGCAAAAGAACAGCAAGGCTGTCCTGTCGAATTGGTTTGCACCCAAAGAGAGGGCCAAGCCACGGGAAAAGTCCCCAATGGCTTCTAACCACAGCATATCTGCCCTGGGGTACCTAGTTTGATAGTCTTTCATAATTTTCTTATGTTCATGAGGAGGGGACACCGATGGAAAGTATACCACGAGAAGTTTGACACTTTCGCGTCGTTTGAGACAAACGTCTTCATAATTCTTCATAAAGCGCCGAAATGTCTCGATGCGGCCTGTCAACGGAAGGATAAAATGAACGGTTGGGACCGCTTTTACCGTCGGCTCAGCTCGGTACACCATGTTTCCAAAAGGTAGCTGTAAAAAGGCGTGATGACGCACGTGCACAGTCATGCGTCTTCTGTTGTGTCCAATGTGCCGGTGATACTTCATAAGCATGTCCATGACGTACTGAGCGCCAAATAAGGGATGCACGCGCATGTAACCATGGTTGAGTTTCTTGAATTCGAGGCTGCGATGAAGAACTCGCTTGGCTTCCTCATTTATCAGCCCCATCGTTTGCCCTAGCACGTGATTTAGCCCGTCTTTCCACGGGTCTCGCATGCCTGTTTCAGGTGGCTGAAGCGTGGCTTCCGAGTAGTACTTCTGCGCAGTAAACATGTCCCAGGATTCAGAATACTTGGTGCTCAGCTGCTGATAGAAATCTTTCGCGCTTTGAAGGGTAGTTTTCTCTTGAGTAGAAAGAAAGCGCGCGCTAGTCCTTAGCAAGCGATCCATGTTCTTGAGAACTCTTTGCAGCAGGATAGCCTGGTGCTGAAGGTCTTGAATGCGCATGGTCATGAAGTGTGACTGTAGACGGTACATGTATGACGGCTGTTTGACAGGGTGTAGAGTGATGGCTTTGCGGACAGATTTGGTGTCCAGATTACCGTGGAATGCCTGTGATTTGCTTTGATTGTGGTAGAATAGAGCTTGCATCTGCGAGGAAAACACAAGGGCAGTAATGTCATTATTAGTGTCTTACACTAGCACCAAATGTAGAGCATGAATTAAGTCTAATTCTTTGGAACCTCCATGTGCGACCTCCTCTTGTAAATTAACAACTACCTTAACAAACGAATTAACAACTACCAGTTAATGCTGTGATAACTGAAAACGTTCACACGACCTGATCAGCTATAGGATATTGGATAATGTGAAATAGCGAAACACTGACACGACAACGACGTTTCATTACGACATTTCATTTCCATTCTATCAGGCCAATAATCGCTTCAACTACAACGGAATTCAGAGTACACGTGGCTAACCAAACAGTGAAACTTCTCAACCACTATTTGGTCATATCCGTGGCTACCATGCAGCTCAGAGCTAGACAGTTGCCTAAAAATTGCTTCAGTAATTCTCTTTTCAAACTGAAATTTCCAGACAACATTCTCAACTGCTTATAAATCGGAAACGAAATTTTCTGGAAGCACCACTTTGTATCGTGGGTTAGTCGTTCAGGGTATCGAGGTTAGTGGTTTCTAAATATCCACTTCAGTGCATCCCTTTCTTTGCACTAACCTGGAGGCTAGCCAGGTACCCCTCCTCCCATGTTGAAGAATACGCGCAGATTTTTGTTGAAGTGAAGCCTAATTCAAGCTAAACACTTTGTTTGATGAATAACATGCACATCTCGCCAAATTATATTTCTAAAAAATACGCTATCCAAAATTATCAAATTTGACCTCAATACACAAAAAACGACATTGTCTGCGTGAGAGGATGCGGGGGTGGGGGGGCTGCTTTCTTCCTTGGGAAGGGGGGGAGCGGGACCGGCATTGCCTGTGTGTTGCATACATAACTTGCGGAAAATGGCGGAAGGAATAAATATGAATGAATGAAGCTTTATTCAATGTCGGGTTTGATGAGGTTAGACCTCTAGCAAAAATATGCTAGTTAGCCGATAAAAAACAAAAACAAACAAAAAAAACAAATAAAATAGTAGAGAAGTAAAGGGAAACAAAAAAGGAAGGAAATGTTTGCAACAATGTTTCTGTACAAATGGAGAAAGCAATAATTGTGTGACTTTGTATTTCTTTCCACAATTACCAGATTATCAAAAGGACATTTTTGCATCGAGGCCTTCATCCTTTATCCATAAGGGGAAAATTTCTGCATAGGGCAGAATGAATGACATTTGTGATAATTTCACAGGAAAACTTTTCAGGTTCTGCTACTGTTTATGTTAGAATGACAACGTAAAGTAAACTTTTAAAAGAATTGAAAATGCGTGAATTAAAGTTCAATGTTTTCTTCAGCTAAATAAAAACAGTTGTGACAATCAAAAGCATTTTTGTCTCTCTCTCTTTTTTAAAGAATTACAGGCTTTTCCCACTAAAACAAAGGCAAGTAAACAATAAAGGCGGCTGAAAAACTTTCCCACGGATGCAAAACAAGCAGATTTTGTTCCATTAATGAATAACAAATAAGACTGCCTCGAAAAAGGGATGCAAGACAGCTGAGAAAACAATTTTAAAAAATACAATATTTTGTACTGAGCCTGCCTTTAGTTTTGAAGTCTCTTGTTTGTCACCTGCATTCAACAGAATGATGGATAAACAGCTGAGCGATTTGCACCTTACTCTTTCAACACTTTCCTTAAAAAGAAACCTCAAACATATCCGATATATTAATTTTACTAAAAAGGAAAAGACCATTTTAGTGTCACACAAAATTCCTACCCTAAGGGGTTTCATTTGAATCTTTATATCAGAGGATTTCTTTTCACTTCATAACGTAACACTTTAACTGCATAAGTAACTTTAGAACTGAACAGGTGAAATCTGTAAACCTTAACAGTGAATCTGATGAGAGTCAAATTTCTTCTTAAGAGCGAATGCACAGAAAAATCGAGCAAAATCGGCAAATCGTGGCCACAGCTAAAAACCTAACTTACCCTCATTTTCAGTCTGTAATAAGGTTTTAATGAGTTCATAACACTGCTGAGGTTTAAATTTCAAAATGCGGCCGAGTTTGGGAATTATTTAAGATTTTCGATTTCAACGGTCTGCGGGCCTAAAATTAGCCGCCGAACACGGCAATATAGCCTAGCGACAGAAATGAGCTGACTTTCATAAACGAGCGAATATATTGGCAATCTTCCACTTAAATCTCAAAAAGCAGATATCTAACAATTTCTTAACGGCACATTTTTTAGATTTAGAGCATAAAATATCGACGAACCAGCAGAATTTTGAAACGTAATTTGCATAATGTTTATAAATACAACAATTTACCGCTAAAACCAAAATCGAATTTTCTATATGGGGGAATTCTCCAAATCACCCCAAATCCCGCTTACTACCTAATGAGTTATAGTACTTCAACATTATCTGAAAGTTAGTCTGGTGTTCTCGCGAACGTTTGTAAAATAGATTGATTATTTTGAGGTTATTTTGCCCCAAACAACCGCTAATTGACCCCAGGGTCAGTTGACACGTGCACGTCACCTTAGTTTTATGCATCGATTTGAGCTCGTTAAAAGGGAGAAACTAACAAGATTCTTTTAATATGTACCTGTTTTAATGAAAGACACGCAATCTTCAAAAGGAGAGGCCGTTCAATGGGTAATTTCTGTTCTTGAGATCTTGTAGATTGTACCATGGCGTCTGCGAGTGGACCTGCGTCTAGGTCTGTTTTCCCGTGACTGCGAAATCAGAATAACATCAGGAAATAATTCTCCCTGGAATCTTCGTAAGTGAATCAGCTTTGCAGTGCCTTACCTGAGATAAAAAGTGGGCCGAATAGCAAAACAATTCTAGCGCAATTTGGATCCTTTGTGGAACGCAGTGTATTGCTGAGCCAAAGGTGAGTAAACCAACGTAGGAAAGTACGTTACCTTTGATTGCGTGACCAGCCAGTAAACGATAGTCTCCAGCGAAAAATAGGATTCGCAAAAATCTTGCTGATGTATATTTAACAGTTTGTTACTATAAATTTACACCTGGTTTGTCTAAAACTTTAAACAATGCATATCTGTCCAAGAGTATAAGAATGTTTCGAAAGATCCACCCCTAAATAACTGTGGGCTACTCCTTTTTCCCCATCACCGATGTGCACTTCCTTCCCACTTTCTTTTGCACGAGGCTTGTATGCCTTTTTAACTGTTATCGACACTTAAAACTGGCCGTTTAAGGCCTGGTTTAAGAACTTGACTGACTTAAAAAACCGTCGCAAACATGCGCTATTATTGTTGGACTTTGGAAGCTTTAAGCCCAAAATGATGGTGCAATCTCGAGAAATTTGCCCGGGTCTAATTTTAAGACAGGGAACGGGTACTAAGAAAGGGACGGTCTCATTTAGCAACCCGTGGACAATCTGGGCATGCTTGCCTTCTGTCGCAGGGGCAACCTTTAAGGCCAGGTACTCCGCCCCCACCCGAGAGGATTGCATGGCATCCACCATTTCAGTCGCTTTTTTTACATCATGACCTTCAATTATTATGAATTATTATGTGGGCCTTGATCGTTGCCACCTTACCAGAAGTCTAATCTTCGCACTGTTAGACCATGAGAATCTCTATTATTATTCCATAAATGCAGCATTTGACTTTTCCTTGCTCAGCTTCCGGTAAACCGATACTCCGAAGCAAAAATAGCTTTACAACGACTCTATCCAGGCCAGAACTCCTGATATCAACAAATATACCTCCCCCCGCCCTCTAAAGAGAGCAAACGTTCCCCGAACTATTCACTTGACCCACCCCATCCCTTCGTTAAGAAAAACTACGCACTCAGTTCACTGGACAAAACGCGCTCGTGAACATACCAAACTATAGCCGTTCATCCTACAAGCAATCTCAGTTTCAGCAGGCGTGGCCACGTTTCCAGTTGCTGTAAGATTAATTCGACACCTGCAACAGACACTGTAAATTAAATAGAGTGTTTTCACTCACGTGGCCAGCATCTATGCAAATTTATTGGAACAAAAGAAAGCGTTTGCATAAGAAAGGAGTTCAACTCCTACAGGATTGGTTTGGGACACCAACATGCCCGCCGTTTCATTGTTTTGGGACACCAATATGGCCGCCGTGACGTCATGTGAAAACACTCTATGCCTTGAAACTGTCAGGACGAGAAAGTTTACAAAAGACTTAACAGGTGTGCGCAGCGGTTTCCCTTTCTTCCTTTCCTCCCATTGTAGCACTCAAATTCTGACCCTGATATTAATTCTAGTAGTAATTAATCGTTCCTGAGCCGATAGGCACAAGGATACCAGTTTCTTGCAAAATATGCTGTGACATCCGTTTGCTCATCCCCTTTTCTGCCTTCGGCCGCTGATTAGGTTTGGTTCTGTCCTTTGAAATAACTTTAGGAACGAACATGATACGTCAGGGGCGTGTCCGGCTAAGGGCAAGTGACTATCGGTGGTGAAGACATATACTGAGCTTGTCAGTATTTCGTAGCCTGTACCACGTCGCGAAAATAGAACAAGCCAAAGAAAAATAAGACGCCTTTCTTTCCCCAGCCCACGCAGGTTTTTCGCATTACTTTTTACTGCACAACTGATTCTACCTTTTCGAGCCCGGAGCGAACATGGACGCCCTCCACTTCATTTTCGGCACCTGACTAAACGCAAGCGCTGACTTGTGCGCCTATGCTTCGTTTGCACTGAAGTAGCAGTATATGACCACGACAGACTTGCTGCTATCCTTGGTTTGAAACCGCAATGGGCAAGAACAATTTCTTGAAAAGAGCAAACTATTTCCTCCTTAGCAGACATGGAGAACAACTACTAGGACTTAAGCAATGCCATTGCTTAAGTCCTACTAGACTTGAAAAGAGAAAGCATTATGCTTTCTCTTTTTTATGATTTACGGCTAAACAGTACAATTTCATGTAGCTTTTACGCAAAATTAAATACTTAGTTGTTTGCAGAATTGCATTTAACAACAAATTACAGAAATCTAACTAAGTTTAGATCTCATAGATAAGAATTGAACGAAAAAAACTTTTGGGGTAAAAAAGTAAAAAAAATGTTTGCTGGAAAATCACTTAATGGACATATATACAATAGCAGAGATATCATGCCTGTAATTTTCCGTTCAATGCACCTTATGAGAAGTCTGACTAATCCACTGGTAACCCACGCCTTAAAACCGCCTTGAACCTTAAAATTTAATCCATTTGCCTTTCATGCGTAGTGCAAATATATCTTCTAAACACTCCGGGGTTGGGGGTAAAATCAGAAGAACAGAACATTCAGTTACTGTACCATTTTTAAAAGTGGGACAGTATGTTTGCTAATCATCTTAGTTAACCGCTTTTAAAATAGGACAAAAGGACACCTGGTCATACAGGAAAATGAATTTACTGTATCCCGAAAGCTTTAGGTGCACTTATTTTTCGCAGGAGACAATCGATAATTGCCTGGTCACGCAATCGGAGGTGAGTAACTAATTAAAAGTCACTGATACCATCGCCGCTTAGCAAATACACTACGTGCTGCAAAGGATCCAAATTGCGCTAGAATGTTTTCCTATTCGGCCCACTTTTTATCTCAGATAAGGCACTGCAAAGCGGATTCATTTACGAAGGTTCGAGTGAGAATTATTTCATGATGTTATTCCGATTTCGCAGTCACGGGAAAACAGACCTAGACTCAGGTCCACTCGCAGACGCCATGGTACAATCTACAAGATCTCAAGAACAGACATTACCCACTGAACTGCCTCTCCTTTTGAAGATTGCGTGTATTTCATTAAAACAGGTACATATTAAAAAAATCTTGTTAGTTTCTCCCTTTTAACGAGCTCAAATCGATGCATAAAACTAAGGTGACGTGCACGTGTCAACTGACCCTGGGGTCAATTAGCGGTTGTTTGGCGCAAAATAACCTCAAAATAATCAATCTATTTTACAAGCGTTCGCGAGAACACCAGACTAACTTTCAGATAATGTTGAAGTACTATATCTCATTAGGTAGTAAGCGGGATTTGGGGTGATTTGGAGAATTCCCCCATATAGAAAATTCGATTTTGGTTTTAGCGGTAAATTGTTGTATTTATAAACATTATGCAAATTACGTTTCAAAATTGTGCTCGTTCGTCGATATTTTATGCTCTAAATCTGAAAAAAATGTGCTGTTTAGAAATTGTTAATATCTGTTTTTTGAGATTTAAGCGGAAGATTGCCAATATATTCGCTCGTTTATGAAAGTCAGCTCATTTCCGTCGCTAGGCTATATTGCCGTGTTCGGCGGCTAATTTTAGGCCCGCGGACCGTTGAAATCGAAAATCTCAAATAATTCCCAAACTCGGCCGCATTTTGAAATTTAAACCTCAGCAGTGTTATAAACTCATTAAAACCTTATTACAGACTTAAAATGAGGGTAGGTTAGGTTTTGAGCTGTGGCCACGGTTTGCTCGATTTTTCTGTGCATTCGCTCTTAAGATACGTCAGGTTAATCAATCAAGTAATTTCGAGAATTAAGCAACTTATCATATCATTCTACCATATTTTACTACCGGTAATTTCACTACAACTCCAACTGATATAAACATACATGAAGAGAGAAAAAGGGAAAAAATTAGCTGTTATAACCACATTGGCAGGAATGAATTTAGTAATTGTGAAGGAAATCATTTGGATTTGAAATTAAATGGACAAAAGCAAAAGAACTTGTGTGGTTGACCTGGCTTATTCTAATCTCAAAGGCCTAATTCGTGCTCAGCTGAAAGATTCCAAGACCATTGCTGGAATAACCGTTATTACATTGCTAAAAAGACTCTGCATCATGATCATCAAACAGCACGCTGGGGGATGTGTGTGCAAGTATTATAATTTGCTCAGGTTTCACGTTTAGTTTTTTAGCCTTTTCTCTACTCTGGTGATCTATCTTGTCTCTTCCCAATCTTTCTTTCAAAACTACCACATGCTCCATAGCCACAAATAACGTGGGCTGGAATGAGAGGACTGCAGATGTAAGAAGCAAACGAGCACCTCCTTGACTGACACACCTCCAAAAAAACTTTTTCCCACTGTCTGAGAAAGCATAAATTTCCATTGGTATTAAACTCTCCCAAGGAAACTGAACAGTGTTTGATTTGGAAGAAACCTACCAGTTAAAGGATATAAAAGTTGACGATAACAAGGAGTCAAACGATGAGCTGTCTGCTCTGCCAGTGCCAACATGTCCAGCCTTTTTTATCTTTGCTCATACAATATTCTTTTTCCTAAATCTGTTATGAGCAGTTGCTTTGTGCTCATAATTTCTTTGTAGTGGTAAAAACAGTCTAAAGTTCATTAGATTGTGCAATTAAGTGAATGAAGCAACTTCCCGGTTATATCCTGTAATCGCCTATAAAAACTGAATGAACTAAATTACATCCATTTGATTATTGGCAGCAGAAGCCGTAGCCTCCCACAATCCACTAAGAGTGCATGATGAAGCCCTAATAACATCTGTGTGGGAGGCAACAGAAGCTGAAATGAAGTGCTAAGACCTTCAAAGTGTGAGAAACAAAAGACAGCTCACTGTGACTGCTTTGTGGTTCTAGTTTGTTTAGTGCTGTTACAATAATAACTGATTACAGAGTCTAACAATGTAAGGAGGATAGTCAAATTTGTTAGGGCAATGCATCCTGCAATGCATCCCGTAATGCATCCCTGTAAAGATATGACGAAGTTTTACATAATTTTACCTTCTTGTTAGGGAAATAGCATGAGCAGTTAAAACACAAACAAGAAATTAATTAATGGAGAATCAATATGAAAAACTCATATAAGCTAGAGTCTCTCAGCAGTACTGTATTGAGCATCTTCATAATGTTATTTTGCATAGTAATATGTATATAACTGTATTCACAGGTAAGCCTGACAAATGAGTGTTACACTAATTATAATGTCTTTTTTTCTATTTTGTATTTGGTAGCCATGGCAACCAAATTGTTACTAATATTCACTCAGTATTTACCTTGCAAGCAGAAGTAATCTCTTGCATGGTTCATGTGGCTTGTTTGTAGTTGCATCATTTGTTTACACTTCGTAAATGACAAGCGATGTGAACAACTTCGTAAACGCTAAAAGCCATGCAAGAGAGAAACCTTTACTCACAGGGCAATCAGCACAAAGCAAGATCCCCTTAAACAATGAATGTGTTGTTGGGTTGATTCTGTGCTGTCTGGTTGAGTCTGTGTCTTGATTAAGTTTGGACTTATATTATTTGAAAAAAATTTCACTTGCTAAATAGCTTCAAAATGCAATGGAGTATATAGTTGATCTAGAACAGCCCTATTCTTTTCAATAACAATTTATTTTTAGTGTTCTTACATAGTGGGTGACTCTACAACACAGAATGATGGAATGATGGAATACCCAGAACATGAAAAGACGGAACGGCGGAAAATCGCCTCAAATACTAAAAGATGGAATGTCACCCTTAATATTGAAAAATATTAAAAATTGCAAACAATGTAGAATTAAAAAAATAATAATAGGATACATAAAAACTAGCTTATGAAATAGATGGTGTAGTAACTGGAAAATGGCTCAAGAACTACATAACAACAATGACATTTCAGTCTTCCTTTCCATACTTCACAAGATACACAGAATAAAACATTCCACTTCCGAGCCCTTATTCAACGCTCACATCTCGCCATTCAAACTTCACGAATTGCAATGGCGGTTTTCGCTTAATATAGTCACAAGAGATGGTACCTTGAAACAGGCGTCCATCATCACACGGCAATCAAACATGCAAATTTATGTGACAATTGAGACATTTGTCCAGATCTTGGGACCAGATAAGAGGTCAACAAGCCCCCTTCAATTTTGTGTGGTAATAATTTACCTTCATGACTGTCACATATGTTTAGTTGAACACAGTTACACAGGAACCTAAATATTGAACCTTAAAAAAGGGAAATGTTGGATTTTTTAACCAAAAAAAACAAAAAAAAAAAATGAAAAAAAAATAGAGTTAAAGTAAAAGGCACTCACTAGACACGTGTGTCAGAAAGCAATATTTACTCCCTTCCACAGGAAGAGGACAGGAATTACTCACAAATGACATGTTTAACCTGTTTAACAATCAATCTTCCTGTTTCAAAGCCATTTATTTTTTACAGATTTTTTATCAAACTTTATACATATATACATTTATAATTTTTCTAAATATTCTGTCTTCTAGGATTTGGGGTGATTTTCCTCCACTCCATCTTTTAGGATTTGGGCGATTTTCTGCCATTCCGTCATTCCACCATTCCATCACTCTGTGTTACAGGGTGGCCCTACATAGCTGACATGCGACTTATGCATCAGTCAATTCCACCTGTGCCCAGCCCCCGGGCTACTGCGGGGTATTTGCCCACCTTGTCAGTCCAGGGAGTGGGGCATTTGCAAATTTTGCACTGCCCGGGGGCCGGGCATTTGCCAACCCCCGGGCCATTCCCGAGCTTTGGCACGCACGCGGTTTCCTATCAAGAACAGGAATAAATTGCAGAGGGTTGTAAAGGCATGTTTTTGATTTTACTTGGATGTATGTATTTCTTCATTGCTTATCAAGCCAGAATTACATAGCGAAATTGGAGCTATCGATGTGAATCAACGTTTTTTGGTTATTGAATCAAATTTCTGTTGATATTATGTGAAGAACACAAAACATAAAACTATTCATAACATATAACTTTACAGTGCTCTATTAATTTTAATGTCAATAATTTTATATCAATACTAAAACCATAAACTGGTGCATGTCGTCGCGGCGTGAAGTCTTAATTAGAATCCTAGCACTATTACAAAGGAAGACGTTAATTGAAACCAAAAATCGCACTTTAAAATGGCACTATTGGACTGTGCGATCAATAAAAAATGTTGCACTGTTGACGGAGGACAGGGCATTTGCCCTCTTTTTTCTCATTTTCCCTCTTTTTTTTCCCCACCCCGGGGGATTTGCCAGCTCAAAGTCCCCACCCCCAGGAATTTGCCATCCAAGGCAAAAAAAATGCTAATTCCCCGGGGGTCAGCATTCCCGGGGGTCAGCCCGGGGGGGCTGGACACAGGTGGAATTTCTGCTGAAATAATTTCAGTAGAATAACCTGTATACCTGTCCATTAAGCTGTAAAATCAATGTCAATTTACAATATCAATTAGCCAGAAATATTCAGTTTTCATTCCTTTTTAAACAATAAATCATTCTTACCTCAAAAGACCAAGTGCAGGGGATTCCCACAAAACGCTTTATACACCGCCCAACTTCCACATCCTCGTGCGAAGTTAATAAATGTTTCAGGCAATATTCTATATGTGGAACAACTTTCTTTAAAACAGAACGACTCATGATAACACCAGGTCCACCCATGCAGAAATTATCTCCATAACCTAGGCCTAATAATCCTTTTTCGTCCTTCGCTCCGGTGCCCGCTTGTCCAAGGTAGATATCTTGGGAGCTGTTCAGCGAGTGAAGAAAACTCGCGAGTTTTTCTGTCCTTATATAAACATCATCATCAGAGCGCATGAACCACTCGAAATTATCGATATAGTTATCGTGCATGTATTTTAACATCATCATGGATTTTCTTTGTGGAGGGTAGGAATCGTCCACCCCTGGTAAGCTCACTACGGGCAACTCCATCTTACTATGGGACGTGCCGCTAGAGAAGAACTCTAACCTTCCATGGACGGTTCTGCCCCAAGTCTCGAACACCGCCTTCGCTCGGGAGTCGAGGAATTTCTCCGCAGTCATAACGCCAATGAAAATGAGATTTCTTGAATCAAGCTCTTTGGCCATTGTTCTCGGGCGGAGGTCCCTAACGAAGTTCACCCGGCAACGCCTGGTCTCAACAGGCAAGAGATTTTGCCGCAGGAACAAAGCTACCGTGAAGCCAAAAATCAAACCGCCGAACATCGTTACAACCCCGCGAATACTCATGTGCCTTGGTTTCATGTTGATCAGAATTATAGCCACGGAAAATATCCTTCAATGAAGGCTTCTTCACGCTATTTAGGAGAATAAAAGGCAGTTGAATTTCGGTATTGTGGAAAGATTCTATGAACAATTATCCTCGCATCGTCGGCCATGTTTGCGATTACTCCTACGTCACAAAACACACGTGCAGAAATATATCCAGTGTACTCAGAATATTTGAGCACCGTTACTGTAACCGCGGAAACCTTCTTGAGCTATCCTGCTCTCGGCTTAAATTTTCTCATTTTTAACGAAAGTTGCGATTGTAAAATCTGTTAAGCTGCTCTTTTTCTTGCGTGGTTTTCTTGTCTCCACTCAAATTAGGAAAGATATAAATAAATCATTTTGCGTGCTGTGATTGGATAAGGCTATGGTTTCACCGGTTCAACATAACAAAAGAGTCGACAGAAAAACTTTATATTCACGGTTCAGTGGTCAGCTCTTTCACACTTCAATGAGCGTCCATAAAGACAACCTTGAGCTCACCGAAGTATGTAATAAAAAATAAAAAAGCTAAATAAACAGGAAAATACAAAAAATTGGAATTGACAGAGAAAAATTCTATAAACTGGACTTACAATTTCTTTACGTAATCAAAAATTATTCTAAACACAGTCTGGATGGTTTAGTAGATATATCTCGCTTGAGTCTGGTAGCTACCCAAGTCAACTGGTAGCTATTACAGTTTCGATATCTCTTGAAAAGAAAATCAAGTGTGGAATATGGCTTTTAGAAGTAACTTGTGTACAGGTAGCTCCAAGATGCCATATTTTTGGTTAATCACAAGAAGCTGCATTGCTTGCTAGTGTTTAGTGATTATGTTATGACAAAAATGCTCATTGATTTTAGACCTGAGCAAACAAGAGAGACTTTACAGTGAATTGATTCGAGAGGCCGCTTAGTGTGTGTTGAGTTTGGTGACAGTAAACAAATAGTTGAATTCTTTTTATAAAAAAAATACAAAATGACCTCAAAAAGGCCAAAAATTTAGCGTTACTAAAATGTCGCATGTAGCATGCTTAAAGCAAAAGCGGAAATGTTCATTCGCCGTACTTGGATCCGCTGTTCAGCTCCTCTCAGTCTGGATGGAAGACCCTGAAAAAAGGAAGGCCGCGCCTTCCGAAATATTGGTGTAAAAGGAATATATATCTCCGACTGTAAAATTAGCCTTGCTTCTTTTCAGTGTTTCTATATTTCGAATTATAGCTGATTAGATACTTTATGAGGATCCTGTCCTTCTTTTTTGTAAGTTAGTCCTTCCCTTCAAAAGAAGGGACCAGTCGGTTTTATTTACTGATACGTTGGGTGGACCGTACCCTGAGAGCAGTCGTTTCTCCATGGTTTCCCTAGCCTGCGTAGCAGGCGCTTGGAAGTAGTGGGCACAAGAAAAAACGGGCGCGCGAGAAGGAGACACGCTTGCGTGTCTCCCTCGCGCGCGCCCGTTCTCTCTTTCGCCCGCTACTTCCAAGCGCCTGCTACGCAGGCTATGGTTTCCCTATACGAAGCGCATCCTCGAAGACCCAGGGACAGTCCCGGGAGAAAAGACGCGACGACAGTTTTCAAGCGGCTCTTTCGCCCGTGCTTGAAAACTTTCGTCGCGCGTTTTCTCCCGTGACTGCCCTTCGAAGCATGGTCGTATAGCGTCCTCTCTGCTCCTACCCTTGAATGACTTGAATGCAGAGCAGGGCTGGTTATTTTTTTTTTTAATTTATTTATTTATTTTAACAAACAACAAATTAAATACAAGTAAAAAGTGACAAAAGACAGAAAAAAAAAAAAATCACACATCAATTGAGAGGAGAGCAGCAGGCTAAAAGCAAATAGCGAAGTTGATACATGTGGTCCTTTTTTCCTTTTTCTCTCCCTACTCTTTCCCTACTCTTTCGCTTTTTTTTGTTTTTGTTTTTGTTTTTGTTTTTTTGTTTTTTTCCTTGGGTAAAACGGCACAGTCAAAACCAAACAAAGCACAAAAGAGATGTAGAAAAGAAATTTATATTTAATTAAGTTTTGGAGACTCAGGTCAAAAGGCTTATATAAGGCAACAAGGGTTCCCATTTATTTTTGACAGTGGAGGCATTGTTTTCTATTTGATAAATGTGTTTCAAATAAAGCAAAAAGTTGCTTAAGTTGGGGGGATGTTCTTTTGAGCGACAAAGCCAGATATGGTGCTTGGCAATTAAGCAACAAAAATTGATTTGGAGTTTGTGTTTAGATCTATCTGGCCTCAGACCCAAAGCCGTATTTATGTGTAAGTAATTATGTTCACCTAAAGAAAGTTGGCAAGACTGCATCCACTTAAAAAGACTATCCCAAAAATTTTTGGTTTTGTCGCATCTCCAAAAAAAGTGTATCAAGTTTTCCGTTTCCTTATTACAAAAAGAACACTTATCATCGTCTCTAAGTCCAACTTTTTTTAAGAAACAGTTAGTTGGTAACCGGCGATGTAACAATTTGAAGTTGAAAGTGATAAGTTTACTGCTGTTTGTGCATTGAAAGGATGTTTGATAAGCGACTTTCCAGTTAATAATTTCCTTTAGGGGAAGATTGATGTCTTTGTACCACTTTTCTTGACATGAAATTGGCCTTTCACAGTTTTTTGACATTGGGCTGCCTGTGCGCAACATTTTTGGAGCGATTCAATATCGAAGATGGCGGCTTTAGCAGGCCTACGAGTAATTGAGTTTGCCGGCCTTGCTCCAGTGCCCTTTACTGGAATGATACTTGCAGATTTTGGAGCCGTTGTAACTCGCATAGACAGAGTAAAATTAGCTTTGGATGCAGATCGTCTTGCTCGCGGAAAAAGGTCCGTTGCCATCGACTTGCAAGATTTCCGTGGAAAAGAAGTGGCAAGAAAGTTGTGCTTGAAGGCCGACGTGTTGATCGAGCCCTTCAGACCAGGAGTGATGGAGAAACTCGGCCTAGGACCGGAGATATTATTAAAAGAAAACCCTAGTTTGATATACGCTCGATTAACAGGTATGTATATATTCAAAGGATACAATAGTGGATGCATTATGGTATTCTCATATGAGGTATATGCCATACAATAGACCGTTTCACAGTTATGAGCTTAGTACCATAGCCCTCTGAGTGAATGTGAGGCTGGGGTTGACTTTGCTTTATACAACCTGTTTTCTTTTCTTATGAAAATTATGGATGGGGCAACGGGAAGAGTGAAAATTACATTTACTGTATAAAATCCCCCATTAAGCCCCCCCCTCAAATAATCTCCCCTCTCTAATGAGCTTCTACCCCCCATTTCAAGAGAAGAGAGTTATTTAGCCATCCCTCTCTGTTTACAGTCAAACCTGCCCGGCAAAACCGTGAACACTTCAAACTTCTCCTGGCATGTTTTATTGTGTTTTGACCAATCACAGCAAAGATCAGGACTTGCAAACTAGCCACAAAACCAAAAACTTATAAATGTTCTGCGAGAAATATTTCTGGGGGTCACGGTTTTCCCAGTTTCACGGTAAGCCCCACTCCCCCTATTCTTAAATAATAAAAATATGTATGAATGGTCACAACTGTAACACTTTGGAATTCGTATGATCCGGTATGGCTAATTCGCATACTGGAAGTTTCGGATTTGGTTTTGAACTTCGGTTGCATGTGATCTCCGACCTCATGTGTCCGAGCTATTCCAGTTAGCCTGTGAACAGGCTCCCAAGTGGAGTGGGGCGAAAAAGAAAACCAGTAAGTGAAGTGAGCCGAGTGTGGCCTGGAGACTCAGGAAAAAAGGCAGGGGAGCCTGAAGCCTGAAAACTTTGTTGTGATGAGAGAGAGAGAGAGAGCAAGGCGAAACACTTTCAATCTGGACAGCTCACCAATGAAGGACTGTCCACTTGTTTGCTTTAAAATGGCATGCACTTAACACTGATGTCCGCCTAGCCTGCATAGCTGGTGGGATTGTTGTGCCTATATGGTACTTTCCCAATGTTCACGCGGCTCTGGTGCCAAAAAACTACAGCACTCACCCACTAATCCCACCAGCTATGGAGGCTAATGTTCACCTTACAGGCAGAGCCTCTTGTGGATGTGGTCAATTTAAGAGCTTTCCTCTTGTTGAGAGGGTTAATAATATTATACTATTTTGCAATCTTTGTTTGCAGGTTATGGTCAAACTGGTAGTAATGCTAAAAGAGCAGGTCATGATATCAACTATGTTGCCCTCAACGGCTTACTGTCCATGCTGCAATGTAAGGATAAAAAACCGTATCCACCCATAAATCTCTTGGCAGATTTTGCTGGTGGAGGTATGACTTGTGCCCTTGGAATATTACTGGCCTTGATTGAGAGAAACAGATCAGGAAAAGGTCAAGTCATTGACTCATCAATGGTATGGACCTTGATAGAAGGAGTATGGAATGGTAAATTTGAGACTTTGAGACTGTGAGACACCAGTTTCAAAATTTGAGACCAAGACTTAAAAAAATTTGAGACTCCAGGATGCAAAATCAGACAAAAATGAGACTTTGAGACCTGTCACAAACACTTCTGAGATTTCGAGATTGGGCCAAAATTTTCCAAGACCCACGGATTTCGAGGAACCATCCTATGCCCCTAATAGACTAAATAGATGATTTAATCACAAATGAATATAAACCCAGGGCAAATTTGTTTGTTGCTGAGTTACCACTGTGGGGCAAGCATTCAAGGGAAGTTAGGATAGAGGTCTGCCCTAGAGAACTTTAGTTATGACCAGATTCATTTTATTTTGCATACAGAATTCAGTAATTTTTCAAACTGACATCTTGGAATATTTTTTTATTAATTTCCTCTGGGAAAAAAAATGTTGGCACCACCAGAGTAGACCACTCATTGCTAACTTTCACACCCTTGTAAAAGGACCCCAGTCCAAAAAGACACACCATTCAATCATATATGCTTTTTTAAGACTCAAGACCCTGAAAACTAAACTCTATTTAGAGGCACATACTCATACAGGACAAATAAGGAGCTTACCCTGTGTTAATTACAAATGGAGCATATAAGTTGTTATGGTAACGACCTATGGATTTACGGTTTAGGCACTCATATTTATCTGAACCACACTGAACTGTTTTATTTTTTCACTTCGTTTTTCTCAAAGGTTGAAGGCGCAGCTTACATTGGATCATTCATTTACAAGAACCTTGATTCAGAATTTTTATGGCCAAACAAAACTGAGCCAGGCGCCAACCTGCTGGATTCTGGGGCACCATTTTATGACACCTATCAAACAGCAGATGGAAAATACATGGCTGTTGGTGCTGTTGAACCCAAGTTTTATGACAGACTTTTAAAGGGTATGCTGATGTTGCACAGGCAGCCCAACTTACATGCAAGGAAGGGTGTAACATATTCTTACATATGCTGCAGAGGGAGGAAATTGACCATTGGCGGTCAAAACATTAAGGGGAATAATACATTCTGATTTACAAGCCTTAAACAAGGCAAATTCCACTTATCTTGTAAAACTTGAATAAGCCAACTTGCTCAGTTGATGTGTATTTTTTTTTTTTGGTCTAGTGAAATATCATTGTTAGAATTTTTGGCTTCATACTGATTCCACTTTTTGTCCCTTCTCAACTCCAGACACCCTTCTGCACATAGTGAGTTTGGGTTGCCTGTGGTTGTTGTCAAAGCAACTGACACAGTCATCATTTGTAGAAATAGTGGCAAAGTTAAATTTTGCCGGAAGTGGCCCAAATCTCGTACAGGTGGGATTAACCCGGCCAAATCTCTACCTTGTTAAGCATATGCTATATTATTAAAAGATTACATTCCAATCCTCTTTTGTATAGCAATAGGAATCTTTGGTATTTTGACTGTATACGGTACTCATGAATTTATTTGTTGTGTTTTCAGGGCTTCAACTGGAAGGACAACTTCCACATCAGATGGATATGGATCAGTGGCCTAAAATGAAAGAACAAGTTGCGAAGGCATTTGCATCAAGGACTCAAGCAGAGTGGTGTGAAACCTTCAAAGATCTTGATGCTTGTGTTGAACCAGTGTTGACAGTAGATGAAGCAGTAATCCACCCCCATAACAAAGACAGAGAAACGTTTGTCTTAAATGAGGGGTTGTACGAGCCAACCCCAGCGCCCAAGCTATCAAGAACTCCTGGAAACTGTGAACAAACACCTTCGATATGTATTGGGCAACACACAAAAGAGATCTTACTGGAAGCGGGTTATTCACAAGCTGAAATTCAGGAACTGTTAAAAGAGGGGGTTGTTGATTGCCCAAACATGAAATCATCGCTTTAGGAAAATGCCACATTTGGAATTGGTAAATGTTATAAGACAGTGACCAAGGTACCCCGGCATCAAAGTTTAAAATCCTCTTCTCTCTTCTAATTTTGCATGTGGTGTTCAGCCCTATGGGTGATTTGATTGGCCACAATCAAAAAGTGGAAAGAGTCAAAATATCCCATGGGGGATGGGGACACCCCCAACAATATAACCTCCTATCCCCATCCTCTTTGGTAATTTTCCCTGAGGGGACTGCCATTAGAAAGTGACAAGGGTGTTCGCTGTCTCGCCGAGGGGTAGAAATGGAAAGCCAATATTTTTACCCATTTAAGTATCACTTAGGGTTGTGTGTAAAGAAAATAATATTTATACTTAAAAAAAGCAAATATCGTCGTACTGTTAGTATTGATGTATCGTCTCTATTCAGGGTCAGAAAAAGCCTCTTTCTCAGAGAGCCAGAGGCCTGTTTCTCGAAAGTCCCGATAATTAACGGGCCCGGTAAGCTGTTGCCGTTTACATTAAAGACCGGGGTTTCAGTAGTTTTGCATCTAACATGATAAAACTATCAGTTAATGAAACAAAATGGACTAGTTTTTTAGCCAGGACCCGCACTCTTACTCTTTTTATTTCTACTTGAACATTTGATTTCGGGCCCGAAAAGTTACCGGGCTTTCGAGAAACGGGCCCCAGGACCACTAAGTCAGTTCAAACGGTGTGACGAAAGCCTTTACTGTGTTTTAAAACTTTCTTGCATCGTTTCTCCTAACCCAACTGACTGCCCCTCAGTCAGTTAAGGATGATAGAGCTTATGGCACATTCAGATTAGTCTCTTCGATGAGCGTCCCTATTCTCTTTTCTTTTATATGGGAGTACCCCCCTTGGGAATTAGCCCTTCACCCAGTTTTCACTCACCACAAATAGGAAATATGGTCCTCTTTTGAACTCAGTAATTGAACTACATAGTGACCAAAAAGGGGACTGTGAACAGTACATGTCCAACGAAGCAACTTCTCGGGGATAACAAAATGTAGCAATGGAAACATTAATTTACTCTCTACAAAAGCCACCTTGGTGATGTAAGTGGCCATTATTGAGAGGCAGGATCTTACGGAGCCTTTGTTTGGATGAAGGGGAGAATTTGAAGTTTAGTTTATAAAATGCTGATTGTAGCATATAAATAAACAATTATATCAATAAAACTAGAACTAACACTCATAAGGTAACCATTTCCATTGAACAGCAGTGGCATTTTAGAGACAAGTAAACACACTTCTCCGGCAATTTAGTCATACAGGGCAAAGACTTTCCAAGTAACCTTTTCCTGGTCAAAGCTCCTACATAGCAGCCATGAAATGGCATTTTTAGGTTGGTGAAACAAGGTTGTTCCCCCTTATTGTCAAGAAAACAACACCGGTCACAGTGATAGAGCTGAATTTTAGTTCTAGCAGAATGAAGCAGACCATTTGAGCAGCTAGCTTGCGTTGAAAGGGGAAGGGGAAGCGGGAATTTGGGCGCGCATGCTTTCGCGCCCTAATTCCCTTCCCCTTCCCTTTTGAACGCCTGCCACGCAGGCTAGCCTGCGTCGCGGGTGCCAGTTGGTTGGGACAAAGGAAGAAATCTTGAGGGTGTGCAGAGGGAGAAAAGGAGAGGAGGCTTCCTCTTCCCTCTGCATGGCCTTTGATAAGGAAATTATTTTTTATTACCTGTGCCTGTTATGCAGGCTAATGAGCAGCTTGCTCACACGCAAAGAACTTAGCTCGCACACTAATAATTCAGGGTACGATTTAATATCCTCTGATCCTTTATTGTCTAACAGGCCTATTTACAATCATGAATGCCCACCTAACATTGACAATAGAGAAATACCCTTTGTTGGAAATAATAGAAACAGATTAACAATAATTATTATGGACTAGAGCGATTTTACTTGACCCATGAAGAAAGTAAAACTCATCAATGATTATCAATTATGAAAATATAGACAAAAAAAATTGTAATCTGGAATTAGATAAAATATACCTTAAGGTGATGGTTCAACTTTCAAAGCAAAATCATTCAAACGCCTTTAACAGATTACGGGAAGAAACAGAGTATCATATATCGGAACTGCAAGACGAAGATTAACAAATCTACTGCAAAGTTTAAAGTTGTTTAGTTAACTTTGAGTTGTTGTTGTTTTAAGCCTAAACCCAGCTGCTTGACTTTTAACGTGAATCAAGCTTGATATACATTATCATATGTGACCGTACGAGCCCGTCGTAACACTCTTGTAACACAGAAGTTTAGCAATATAATAGACCTCTTTCATATTGGCCGCCTATTACTGTATTCTTTTGTATGTATGATAATTAGCCTTTATGACCTTGTTAGCATGTGCAAAATACAGAAGAATTCGTACTTTCAAACAAGGTCAGAAAGGCTAATTATCACACATATAAAAGAATATATTATTAATAGATCACCATTATAAAAGGATAACTTCTACTTTCCAGGGTTAAGTAAAATCACTCCTACACAGATGTTTCATTGGTAAGCCGATAACATTTCGGAACCATCTTAAATCCAAGATAGAAATTCTTCAGTGATTTTACTTAACTCGTGAAATATAGCTGCATTTTTCACTTGTTTCAAGGGCCATGTAAAATCATTATCCCTTAACCTCAACTCATTAAAGTTTTCAAGAAGTACAAACTTTTCAGAATGATCACACGAGAACACTAACTTGGGTAACAGTTCTTTTCATGAGCCAGTACAGTGTACATTCTAGGTTGCAAATTTTAAGTAAGAGAGAATTTTCATAGTGTGGATTGCTAAAGTTTTTCTACCTGTAAAGTCAACAAGGGATCTTCTATCCAATGACTGTTACCCTAAAATCTCTATGTACATTCAAAATATTCTTTTAATTATCAGCTAATTCTTTCATCCAAATCAGGATTACAAAACATATATTCAACTATTTACAGACGTTGGTTATTAACAACATTTTAAGCAAATTAATGCCTCAAATTTTCTCTAAAGGATGTTCTTATAAAAAAAACCTGAACATCACCATGACAAAGATGAGAAATAATGTGAAAACGAATACAGAATGTGCACTTTATGAAATCTCTAAAATGGGCTATATGAAAACATTTAATACTGCCAATATGTAAACCATCAATACCTCTTCAAAAAGATGCCTCTATTATGGACAGTTGCACTGGTCCAAGAGGCACCAATTTTTATGCATTCCCACCTTTATAACAGGGACACCTCTGTGCTGAGGACACTTGGATCTGCCACACTGGTGTCCATATTAAGAAATTGTGTCCAAAACCCATGAACAATGCGATACCACATAACTCCTCCACTCCCAAAATCACCAGCTGTGGACATTAAGACCTCCGAAGCTGTACTTGCCAATGGTACTGTAAATTTCACATTTTTGAAAAATTTCATTTGACCTTTGGGAGTGAAGGGGTTGTTAAATGACCGGTGCTATGCAAACACTGAAAGGGTCTCAATAATCATATCAAACATAATGGTACTTAGAATATAACGTTTTTAAATTATGTTCTATTAACAGATTGACAGTAAATAATATTGTTTTAACTTACCACAAGTAACATCTTACCTTAACACATTTTACCAAATCTATTTAACCACTGTTGCTGAATAACTGGAAGAAAAGAACGTCTGCAAAATCACCAACTAGGTGGGGGCAAAATGCATTACAATATACCTTTCACAAGGCTGTTTACAGCTATTTACATTCAATAATAATATTAATCTCTACAACGGTCAAAACAATTAAACTGAGCCTGATGCTTTTGAACTGAAAAAAATATTTTGGGCTCGACATGGCCCTGCATGACAGATTTGAATGAAAATCTGCCGAAATTTGCAAACATTCATTTGCAGTTATCAGCATTAAGACAAAAAATATCTTCAATTTTCAAAAACATACATCATAAGTAGGATATTACTGTGTACACTGTCTGCTTGAGGATGTGGTTTGTTCTGTAGAAAAATACCTCTCTTTACTACAAATATAATTTGGGATGTACTCAGCTTTGGTATGGATCAATAATTTCCTCCTGAGATGATGAAATTGAGTGATCTACCATGGGAATATTAAAAGAAAACTGAAACATAACTGTGGATTTCTCATTCAGCAACTAAATTTAACAGAACAGTGCTACTCACAATTCAATTGATAACTGAGCACCATGTCTGGGTCTACACTTTGTAACAGTGAGGTTTAAGAGTAGAGAAAGTCCTTAAACAACATGAGCTGGCAAATGTTGCAACATGCAGAAAGTTTTGTGGGTTAGAGATATAAAAGTGATAAAATCATTCATAAGATTTTAAGGTTAACATGTGATCTCAAAATTTGAATACAAGGACTAGAAAGAGGAATGTTTTTTTTAACTGATGAGAATGAAGGTTCATAATTAAAGTGATCTATACAACATTTAACAAAGAAGCTACAAACGTTTTTCAAATATTTTGTGAGGCACCAAACGAGCGCCTCTGCAACAATGAAAGATTAAATTTCTAAGCAATGTATAATTTGACTTTGTACAATATACAAAATTTAACAGAATCTTATGGTACAATAATATAAAATTAATTAATTGCTACAACAGTATTTTTTCCTTTGACAACAGCTTGGCCTGTCTTTTTGCAACAAACTGTTATCATTAACAGATGGATTCTGGTAGATATTCAAACTTGACACCATTCTGTGTGAGTCTTGTCACAAAATGTTCCAATTGCTTCAGTAACAAGTTGAATGTTGGTCTTGATGTAGGACTAGACTCCCAGCAATTCTTCATCAACAAATATCTGCAAAAAATAAACCAACATAATTATCATGTTAAGTTTGTTCATGAGAAAACTTGAAGAGCCAGATCCTGATAATAAACTGCTGCTTAAAAGCCCAAGGCTTATACAACTTTGAAAGGGGTTTTAAGATGGCTTATAAACAGAGAGGCTTATAATATTATTATCTGACGGCACTTGTAACTGGAACAGAAAATGAGCTTTGAAAAAGGCTACAATACTAGCAGTGATGATCAAAACATTTTGCATTTACTGATTTTTAAATAAGCTTCAAACCATCACCATAAATTGAATTCAAGAAATGGAAAGCTAGAAGGGGGCTTATAATCAGGTGTATTTTTTGCTTACTGGAAGATAGGCCAATAAGGTGGGCTGGGGGCTTAAAGGTGACAGTTTACAGTATTCATAAGCCAGTAAAACTCACAGGTCTTGAGGACAGTTGCTTGGTTGAGGAAGTCTCTGTCCCGCTTGCAAATGCTGCTCCATTTTTGAGTTGTCAATGGCTTGATATGGTGCTTTTGCTAAAGTGACAAGCTCCCATAACACTACACCAAATGACCACTACAAAGAAGACAAACAGTTGTAAGAAACTGTCCATAATAGCTTGAACACTATTAAAACCTCAATAAGAGCACAAGAGAAAAATGCAGCCCTTGTCTAAGATCACAAGCCAAAACACCAGTTATTTGATTGAAAGTTCTATGAATCAAACTACTGGTATGCCTTATTTCCACTGTAGAGATGAAAATGCTACAAGTTTGACAGTTATTTTGAAGTTTTTTTTTAAAACAAATTTCTGACAACTCTTATAGGTTGTACATAATACAGACCAAATCAAAAATTAAGATATCTGTCAGCCAGTGTCACTCCACTTCAAAGGAATAGAAATTTAAACTCTGAAATGAACAACTCTGCCTTTAAAGAATGTTCATTTAGATTATTTTAAACTGTCACAGTACTAAAACAAACTGTCGAAAATGTGTCCAAAACCTTGGTTATGATGACGTTATAATGATTGGTAGCCATTTGCCCATCACCCAAAATACATTGGGATGGTGGGCAAGGGAGAGATGGGCAAATGGTGAAAGTAACTCTATGGATGAGGCAATAAACAGAGGAAAATAAGGTCTGCCATGTGGATGAAATGAAAACGGCTTCCCTTATTTTTTCCTTGATCAGTGTCAACCCCCTTTTTACACCTTCAAATTGAACTGTTGATCAACATTATTTCTCCAAAAGTGACAGATTGAAATCAGTACAATTATCAAAAATTGTAAGGAACTAAACATACCACATCACTTTTCTCTGAGAATTGTCCTCCTTCTTGGAGACTCTCAGGAGCAGACCATTTCACCAGCAGCCTGGATCGAATTCCTTTGTCATTTAAGTTGGTGGAGTTTACATCTTTAGCAAGACTGAAATCTGTTATCCTGATGCTCAGGTCATCATCAACACTGAAAGAGACCAGAAATGTCAAGATCACTGATTGCAAATGTTCCAATAGCGATAGTTCTGATGGTGGAATTTTACCACTGATTGTGTCTTCTGATTACTGGTGGAATAACAGCTACAATGCAATAATTATGCCACCACTGCAATACTGTTTGAATCACCAAAATGGCCTTAATTCTCACCTCTATATTAGACACAAAAACAAATACTTAATACTTTCACAGAAACACCGAGCCCATTTAATTCCCCAGTTTCCAATCCCAGTGTGATTCCACAGTTCAGTAGGGAAGTTACACCATACAAATAACATAGATCTTAGGGCTCCAATTCCATTGAAGCTTTTTTTAAGAATTATTTACTCATCTTCTGTTGACAACAATTGCTTAATCTGTATGCACAATATTTTTATCAAACCCTTTCATGGAACCAAAAAGGCAAACAAAATCCATAAAATTCAATCTTACATGCAATTTTTGGCTGCAAGATTCCTGTGTACTATTTGTTTTCGACTTATGTAATCCATTCCACTGCAGATTCCAATTCCAAACTCTATCAGCTGTCGTGATGTAATCGTCTGTTAAGAGACAGAACACATGTTTCAATGGCAACAAAAAATTACAATATTATTTATAATCCTTGAAGTATTAATTCCATGGTATTGACAAGTTTAGAAACAGGATGGCTAGCTGGGAAAAACACTAAATGCTAAGAAGTATCTGAATTTTGAAAAGGGCCAGTTTACAGCATATATTTGATGCTCATCACTTGCTGGATGCCTTTCTTCGTAGGTTTATACAGAATTTGTTTATGTGCAAATGTACTTAATTTTGATTATTGACATTTGTTCATTGCTACGAGTAAGAAAAAGGGGACCAATGACCCCTTGCTGAAACAGTTGGTTACTCTATTCAAACCTGCTGGCTATTATTATTATTGCAATCCCTGCAAAGTCTGATCATTTCACTTTAAAACTCTAGGATTGATGATTTTACCTGTACTCGAGCAGATGTTGCCCTTGAAATCTTCAAAAAGTGACCTAAATCTCCATTCCTAGTCAAAGGCGTGACGATATAAGGGGCCGCTGCACGCTGGAGAACCACGCCCACAAGTTCAACAATGTTGGGATGTTTCAGATCCTTAATAACTACGGCTTCCTGAATGAAAGATGTGATTGTATCCACGTCAGCTTCATCTGCAAAGAAAAAAACAAATCATTTTAGACTTAACAAAATTTGTTAATGCACTTTCTCCTCACTTTAAAAGCTGAAGTTGAATACAAACCTTTAAGCATTTTAAATTCTCCCATTTAATACCAACAAAAGCAACACTTTCATACCTCGAAGAGCCTTGATGGAAACATCAATCTTCTTACGAGGCTGTTCGTCAAAAAGCCCACGCACAGTGCCTTTGTATAAACACCCAAAAGTTCCTGCAGTACAAGAAATTTTAACAATCAGCATAACCATTCTGATGAAAGGTTAATGATCTTTTTAAAAGACAATAACATTATCCCTGCAGGTGGATAAATCTAACATATTGTCGAAATGTTAATGTCACGTTGAACATGAAATTTTTATATTTGGCTGTGGGTGGAGGTAGAGTGAAGCAAGAATTTTTCACTTTACCTCTAATCAAGGGTTCTCCAACAGACACCTGGTCTCGTGACAGTAGTAAATCAGCGAACTCTGCTGCCCAAAATTCATTTAGAGAAGTGAATAAACCTTCTATGTTCTGAATTTCATCAGGAGCTGTAAAAAATTAAAACAGTAACATTAAACTTTTATCTTGACATTATGCCAGAGTATTCAGGGTATTTTCTTTAACCATGGTTGTTCAGGCAAATAACCTGGAGATATGGCATGTACTTCCAAGTTCAACTGCGATAGTTTGGAAACTCTTAAACAATTCATGCAGTATCGCACAAAGTATCTCTTTTTAATACATGTGAAGTCTGGCAACCATTCTATCATTTCAGGCGACCTTGAAAAGTCTTGAGCTTGAAGCACTGGGTATTATTACTGAACATAAGATGAACCAGTTCAAATACATCAAGGTTTTCTGAAAGCTCTAATAATAATATTGTAAAACAAATGTTGTCAAAATATACAAATAAAAAATGTACCAGCTGACAAACTTTGCCTAAAACGTAGAATCTATAATCCACATAATATTCATAAACCCTCCTACAGTAAAAATTTAAAATACTTCTAAACCAGACAGATAAAACAAAATCTGACTCACTGTTACGCCTCTCTAATAAAGATTCTGTCTCGTGGGATGACAAGGATGACGATGATGATGGTCTCTCGTGAATCCAACTGTACTTTGGAACTGCAGAGGAAAACAAAACATGTCTTGATGTAGTGTTCATCTTGCATGGGGTATTCCCTTGAAGGAACCGATCATAGTTAAAGGTGTCTTTGTAAAAGCACACAAGACGTCATTTAAGCCAAGATTCCAAGCCATCTCTGCAGGGCCTTTCTTAATTGACTGGTCAAGTTTTGGCTTTTCAAGATTTCCAACTCACGTACTGGCTACTTACACATTGATTGACAGTTGTCTTGTAAGACAAGATCATGCTCAGAACTCTAAGCAACAACTTTGAATGGATGGGAGGGGTTGAGTATTATATCTCACAGTTGTGTGACTAGCGGCAATTTGAAATAAGAAAAGCCGGTTTTTCCTTGGAGTGTCTCAACATTTTTGTAACTGGTTGTAGCTTTTGCTCAGGATTTAATAGACTGGACACCAAAATTCATAACTTTTGATACACTAGGCTTCCTATAATTTTCCCAGGGTAAAACCTTGCAAAGAATTCATGCTCACTCTATTATAAATCTTACCTCCTTTCCTGGATTTTTCATGTCTTCTGTGTTTATGTCTTGAACTATGTCTGGCATCCTTGTTGCTGTATTTTCCCTCTGGCTGTTCTGGAATGTGTGAATCACTGTCTTCTTCTGGAATTATAAGTTTAGATATTGAAGTGTCGCTACCAGAAGAGTTTATGCGGCCACGCCCCTCAGCCGGTAAAAACTTTGGTTTTGGTGGGCTGTAGAAAACTCCTGTTTTAGAAACAGTTACGGGATCATCCAGTTCATCATCTTCAACTTTTACTTCACTTTTTGAGTATGTGTAAACCTTTTGGGGCCTGAAATACAATATTAAGATAGGCACTTAGAAGGAACGAATGTGAAACCAAGTTAGTCAGTAAGAAAACTATCTTCTGCCCAAATTTCTTTGACTCAGGTGTCAGCTGCAGGAAAGCTTTAAAAAACCACTTTTAAGGCGATTGAAAAATGTTGGTATGGCCTCTGAAAACTGTATCGAAACACCTTAAACAAACTACGTAAATATTGAAAGAACAAAACAGTTACAGTAATCTGAGAAAATTTGAGCCCAATAAATTGAATAATTTTGGACAAATTATCTCTGAAAAACTTGAAACTTAACAAAGAATGTATGGGATCTTTAAGGTTTTTGCCACTCAGCAATTTCGCAGTTTTCGATGGCCGCTATTTCCTTTGTTTTTGCTTACAAAGAGCTGCAAATTGCTCAAATTAACCAACTCTTTCAACTTTTGAATTTAATTTGTGCATATGGAGATGCCTTCTATGGGTTAACATGCATGCTAATGAACAAAAATGTAAACAATGATATCAGCAAAAATTTTCCTGGTATTCAACAATTTCACATACTCTATTACACTTCACTTCAATAACAACAACAACAACAAAAACGTTTGAGTGTCACCTGTAAAACTTAGACATAAAGTCATAGAACAAGGGTTCCAGTACCTGCTGTCACCCATTTCCAGTTCATTCTCAAAATTTATTTTTAGCTTCCTCTGTCTCAAGACATAACGACATAATATCAATAGTCCAGCTATTAATAAGATGACAACAGTCAGGCCTGCAGAGAGTCCAACGATCAGTCCACGTGACCAGATTGATGGGGTGGCTGCTGCAGGTTTAGCAATTTCTGTGCTATCATCATCCCCACCTGTAAGCAAAATAAAAATAAGGAATTAAAAAAGGTGGCCTTCGCCAAGTACTTTTTAGAAACTGTTGAAGACTATGCAGTCATGCTGTGTTGGCAATGTTTGTAAGCAAGAAAAGTGATGATTCTGAAGGCCAGATACAAGATATGGTACAAGGCTGTGCAGTGAGGAAAACTGAAGAGAGCCCAGTCCTCTGAAACTGTAAAATCTAGGGTGCCCAGCATATGATTTGTATGAAAAATCTTAGATTCTCTAGTTACCCAAGAACAAAGGTTAGGTGCCAGGAGCCACCAGGCTCTGCAAGAGCACAGTCCCAAGGCATGTTTCATAATAAACCACACACCTATCTTCATAAGTCCAAGTCCAATGTTTAGTGTGGCCCAGGTAATTGCAATATAGGTGATTTACAAGCTGACTTGCAAGTAAACATTCCCTTGGAAATAATTACTTCGAAGGCTTTTTTAATAGAAAAGGCAGTGAAGAAAAATAAAAACAGATACCTGTTTTTAAGCATTTCCTCCTTGCTGTAATTGAAAATGACTTAAAATCCTCTACATCAACTGATGCTGCTGTAACTTTTGTGTAGTTGAGATTAAAAGTCATGTCAACTTGACCAGTCGTTTTACCAGTACATGTAAAGCGAATTGAAAACACTAGTAAAATAAAAACAGAAAAAAATGTGTTTCATTAATAAACAACGCAGACATAAGTGCTGATAAGTCATGGTAGCAGCCTATCTTTTCTTTTTTTTTAGAAAAGGTTACCCCTTTAAATCCCATGACAGGGATCCATATTCCCAGTCATCTGGTCGTCCCAGATGACTAGAATCTAGTACGAAAAATTAAGATAACTTCAAAAGTCCCCCTTCTGGCAAGTGAGGTTTTGCTCAACCACAAAATCTTTTCAAAAATTATCATTTTCCCTGAATTGAGATTACTTTTCTGACCCACTTAAACCTTTTAGAATAATTGAGAATAACAAGCAGCTTCTGTCTGCAACGAAATCGTAAGTTTGGACGCCATCTTTGATAGTGTAGCATTTTCTACGAAATGATCCCATGCTCAGTTTTTTGTGAAGCACTGCATTCAGAGGCCAGTCGTAGAAAACGTGAAACCAATCGTCAAGATCTGGCATTTTTTAAAAGGCGTTTCATCGACTTTGGTGAGAAAAAAAAAGGTGAGCAAGAAGCCGGTGCCTTACACCCTTTTAGATGTTTCGCAAGAGCAACTGCCTCATACGGGAGAAAACGCAAGCACATTCTTGCCTTCATGGAAAACTGACCAACCATGGCTACTTGTAAAACATAAATGCTAATCAAAACTGTTCAAGTTGCACGCAATTTTTTCACCATTCTTTTAAGTTTGTATAATTCTGCACTTTTGCCCACCCAACCCAAATTGTACACGGGCAAGTATGCCCGGCTCACCACTCTGAGAAAAAATGAGTATGGATCCCTGCCAGGAGCAATCAACATAAATTTTCTCCTAACGACAACAACACACAATCAAGAGAAAATATTCCAAGAATTAATGAAGTAATCACAAAAGGTAAAATGCTTTGACCTTTTTATCAAATTCTCTCAACTTATCCTTTAAGAAAATGTATGGAAATCAGTCTGAGAATTTGCCAGGGGATATTGGGGATTAAAGAGTTAATGAGAGAAATTCTTACTGTGAGTGGCCTGCCCTACAATGCCCTGAAGTGGAATTGATGGTCGTGGATCCCCCATGATGCTTCGATCACTTGATTCAAAGCTCATGCTGTAATGGGAAACCTGCAAAACATGAAACAGCGAACCAGAGTAAATATAGCATTACAGAAATAAGGAGAAAAATTAATTGGACTTTTGAGAATTACTCCAACGAGACATGGGTCAGTTGATCTTGAAGCGAGACATTGCTTTACAACTTAGGTCACATTACATCTGTGCTAGTATGCTGCAACAGGGAGAATTTTCATCACTGACTTTCTTTAAATAAAAGTTAGCCTTTGTCGGTTGACAGAGAATGTCATTGTTTGACAGATGTGAGCAAGTGAGTTTACCTTTAAAACATCATGTTATGTTTTGTACTTACAACTTAAAACATACTGGTAACATTTTATAGAAAATATAACCACAAGGAGAGTTAATATTGTGGTGAGATTATGAGTTGTAGCAACTTTGCATGTTGACTCAAAACTATCACTCCAAAACAAAACTTTTGTCCAATGACAGGCAAAGCTTTGACAGTTTGAAACATATCCTGCCCACTGTGGTAAAAGATAGAGTTTGAAGGTCAATATTATTATTTTGCAATAATTGTTGATGGATCAAAGGAGAAGTGTTAAACCAGAGTTCTCTAGAGGCATTTGCCGGCAAAAGATTTTACATATTTGAATGCTGTCACTTACAGTGCTGCTTGTGCTTAATTTCCTCAAGTTGTAAAACAGCCCTGCCCTTAAAATCCATATCTTACATTCTAAGATCAATAAACCACCCCCTGAATAACAGTTAATTTCATAATTACCCATAACATTTCAAAATTCTAATGAACAAACAAGAAATATCACTTCTACATTCATCTAAGACCTTTCACCACAAAAAAGAAACCTGTTTCCCATCCATTTTGCACCTGATTTGCTAAATAGGAGTTTTGTCAAAGTTTGGAGGTCATTGCTCATTTTTTTGTCTTGCACAATAAATAATTATGGCTTTGTTGAAATCATGTCAGTGGTATCAAGTATCTTTTGGCCCAGATTATTTAAAAGGGTTGGAACTTTAAACTACGAGAACAGACAATACACATGCATGTATGGTATACACATGCCACAAACAAGTTACATAACTTAAGACACTTGTCACTAAGCTGATTTAGAGAAAAGCTATGACACTTTGACAAAACAATCCACCATTTTATACTGTGACCTTTAAGCTCAATTCATATTACAGAGTCATAAAATCTTCGTGCTTTCCAACCAACTTCCCCAATCAACAAACACTTCCCCAGCCTATGACATCTCAGCATGCTTGCTGAAACAAGAATATCTGAAGCTCATCAAAGATCCACCGACCACTCAGATAAGCAGATCACTCTACCTTTTTCTTACAAATTTTCCACTTAGCCTGATCATCCAACTACATTTTTGACCCAAATTTAACAATGCTTTGAAATGAAAAACACCCTAGTTGCAACTGAGTAGTCTGCAATTGCAATGCACACAAGTTATTCTTACCATGTGTTACTCAGGAAGAGCTAAAGGCTTCTGCCCACAGAACAAAAATTACCTAGTTGTATATGTAACTTCACTAATAGTAATGTTTTTATTCTACCTGTCTTTATATTGCAAATGAATATTTATGACCACTTGAAAATTATCCACAAAATGTTCAATATAATGCTCGAAGTGGAAGAAAAAGCTTTAGTTTTACTTAACTAAGCTGCATTAATATTGTTGAATAATAAAAAATAGTTCCCCTGCACTCTGACATAAAACTGCAAAATAAAATTCTCAAAAGATATTAGAAAAGGCCAAGATCACAAGTATAGAGCGTGTATAATTTATTGTTTGGAGGCTGTTTTTGTATTGTCCTCGAAAATTCCTAACAAATCCAGTTAAGATGCCAACATTGTACTTTAAACTGTGTTGCAACAAGCCACGTTCTTTATCTGTTGAAATTGTCTGTCGTTTTATTGCCTATCTCAGATCTTTCGTTGATTAGTGAAACAAGACTTTTCGTGTCTTACAAAAGTCTCGACTTGAACAACAGGAAATGACTCAAACCAACGGAAGAACAAAACCATTCGAATTATTCCACAACTTAAGCACCACAGCATGATACGTGAAAATAGCAATGACATGATTTGATCCTGCTCTCAAAAAGGACGAAAGAAAAAGTTGGAGAATCAATTTAAAAGTAAAAACACAGACCACCTTGCGATGTTCGATGATGTTTTCATTGGGAAACTAAGTTTTGGCGATCGCATTCCAGAAGGATAATATTCCATTTATGAATATTCATTCGAAAACGGGCATACAATTCGCCAAGCGTTTTCTATTTTGCCAGATAATGGCTTCGTCGCCAAAGTACTAGACATAAAGCCTCGTTCGTCGTTACTTTGTAAAAAATGAACACCGCAAAGAAGAAACTCTTCTAACAAGGTGTAGGACATTTCCATTCATTGTAAGACATAATGCGACCACACTATTTGAAAACAACAATAAATACATCATAACATACGCGTACACCTTACAGGCAAGAATTATCGGATCGTAGAATATAATGATTAACAAAGCCCACTGAAAGGGCTAACGAAATCAAACCGAGCGAACAGAATTGACCTCGAAATCGCAGAACTAGGACTCTTCACATTCATTGCTAAGCAAACAACAACGATTGAAAGAATGCATTCCCCGATGCAAACAGTGAATGATAATAAATAGAAAAATAAGTCCCCCTGTTTCTTTTTTACGATATTGGGGCCGTAAAATTTCGCTTACATTTTTCTGAGACACCTTTCGAAAACAGATTTGTGTTCTAGAATCTACTTAAGCTGTACAGAAAGAATATAGAAATGATTAAAAGGTCAGACGACAACCCAAGAGAACCTTAGCAAGGCATTGCGTAAACCTAGCTAGTATTGTATTGTGTTTGTTCTACTACCGAAAGATACTTGGCACACGAAAACTTTTTACTCTCTGAAATAGACTAAAATTTAAACAAAAATGAAAACTATGACTAAATCGCGAAAAGAAATCGCCGAATTACTCTTTCCAGCAGCGGTAGCGGACTTTGTTCAGCCCGAGTTCAAATCAAAACACTCCGCCATTGAATCTATAAATATTCCTCATCGCTCCTCATCGCTGTAGTCACGTCTCACTCACCTGGGGCAAGGAAAACCAGCTAATTCGTAGTTCTGAGGTTGACGGCTCTATCGGGGCCATAAAATCGTGAAATGCTGTAGGATTTTTTAGCATCGTTGCTGGTAATCCGGCTTGAATGAGATACAGTTTCTCTTGGAAGTCCAATTCTGCAATAGAACAACAAATCTTGATTGATTTCTTCTTGTCCACATGGTGCGGGATATTTTTACACACTTTTCCCCTTTCTCGAAAGAGAAATACTCACTCAGGTAATTCCTCGCATCCTCCTTTGACACAAACAAGTACAACTGTGCAGAAGTTAAGTCTAAAACGGAGGAAAATACCAAAACGGCAACCAAGTAGGTCCACGTTGTGGAGCGACAACACCGCTCGACCGTACACATGTTTACAAGTATTCTAATCTTAAGAGCAGTGCTTCTACTGCAAAACTTCAGCCTTCAGGTGACCTCTCCACTAAATAAACTATGATTTAGCATGCCTTGTAGATAATTCTAACATATCTGCAGTAGTATACGAGCTTTCAATTTCCGTACTAAATTTCAAAACACTGCTTCGATGACGCACTCCTGATTCACCGTGTGATAGTAGTTGCTCCTTGGTGGGGCTTATGGTTGACGTCACGTGCCTCTAGCCCAATGGCGTTCAGGTATTGATTAGTTATCGATTACTGCTCGTGATACAAGAACAAAAGAACCTGTCATCGTTTCGCGCTTCTTTTATGTAAATCATGCAACTGAGCCAATAATAATCCAATGAATCCTGCACTAACAGGAAAAACAAGTTGTAGAACGGAAGTAGGTTTTTTTAAAAGTGATGAACACATTTGGTCTTCCAATTCTAGCGCGTTCCAAAAAGAAAGGAAGCCGTAAAACGAACTTAATTTTTTTACGCTTAGCCTCCTTGGATATACACAAGTTTTTTAAAAAACTTTTAATGAAGTTGAAAATTACGTTATGAGCAAGATTGCAAGGGCCAATATTTCAGAAGATAAGTCACTAATATTGTTACTGTTCAACTCGCTGATTATTTCATATGATAACTTAAACGATAAAAACTTGATCACGGCATGCGATAGTCTGGCGTACGCATGTATCCTCGCATGTTAAAGATAGGAAGCTTCTTTTTTTCTCCCGAGGAAGAGGTTAAAAGGTTTCACGCGGTTCATTTTGGCTGCAGAAACTCGATAACTGTCATAACTGACTTAGGAAAAGAGGAAGTCTGAAAACTGACTGTGTCAAACGAAACTTGATTGATTCTGCTGAATCAGTGCAATCAGTTTGTGAATCAGGAGACGAGAAGTAATTTTCCCAGTGATTTCCTTGAAATCCCCTGAAGAAGGACGGCTTGTCCTTCCGAAATATCGGGAAAACTCAAGTTGCTTTTCTCTGCGCTGACTTTGCCTGAGTTTTGTTATTTGTCTTTTTCTTCAATCGCGGTCGAGCGACTGTAGCTCTTGCCTGTTTCAGGCGTTCAGATACCACCCCTCGCTGTTTTTCCTGCTCACTTTTCTCTGCGCTGTCCCCACGATCCAGGCTACTGTAGCGCGCCCAGCACCCGCATGCGAAGGCCACGCCTTGCTAAGGGCAGAGCGCAGGGTAAGATTCGAAGTTGTATTCACAATACTCGCGAGTGTCGCCCGGGAAAGATGATTCACTCGCGATAGGAGGCCTTCGCGCGTTTATACCAGCTCGAAACTAAACAAGATCATTTATTTTTCTCTCGTTCCATGTAGTTTCTCGTCCTGAAGCTGAAATGAGGCACTTCTTAACTCTCGGGAGGCAGACATGAAAATGGAGAAAATCGATATCCAATGGGGGCGGTCGATCTAATACAGAGGGCAGAAAAACCGGAATTTGTCAGCAACCACTCCAATCAAGAGCTCTGCATTTAAGTCAAAATACTGTCAAACTGCTCGCTTTACGGACACCCTTAATACGGACACCTCGTTATTACTTCTAGTTTTCTTTGTGCTTGGGGAAAGCCCTTACACATGATTTTCTCTCAATTCAACCCGCTTAACACGTACGGACACCGGTAAATGAGGATTAACGGACAATCAGTTTCGTTGTCTAATCAACAGATTCTCACAGAAAGTTAACCTCGCTTATGCGGACTCTTCATTGCTAACTATGGGCAGCAAAAAAGCTTTTCGTTTAAGAAGGTAAAAGAAAAACCTTCAAGAGTGACAAACGTCAATTTTAGACTACTTGGCATCAAACAAGTAATGCAGAGAACGAGCTCGGAATTTTCTCTGAGCTTTCTGGTCTTAAAATTCTCCTTCTTCCAAATTTGATTAAGGTAAATTATAGATGGGCCACTTTTGAGAGTTTCCTTCGACGTAGTCCCACGCAGAATGACGGCCAGTTGCCGTGTGAAGGTTAGAGATGGTTGATTACACGTACGATGCTAATGTTCTGTTTAATTTTTGTACCTTTTTCTTTCAAACAAAAGGTGTATTTTTGGCTTTATAACGCTGTTAATACGGCTACTTTCAGTATGACCCTTTCAGTGTCCGTACGTGATTTCGATCTGGTTCCCCGCTCGACTCTTGGCTACAATGTAGCTACGGACAAGAATTCCTAGCGTGTGGCCAACGACTTATGGCCATCCAATCAAAAGCCCTAGTTCAATCGAACTAAGCGACAATACGTGATTTCAAGCAGAACAGGAAATGAGTTTTAGATATCCTTTTGTTAGTAAGGTTAAGGGTGGGCGGATTAAGAGAAGAGCATTTTTCGTAAAAAGCTATAGGGAGTGGTGGCTCTTTTCTCCAAAACACTTCACTCTTCCTTCCTAATCTTTTTGTTTTGGTTAAATATCTGTCTGCAATGAAGAGGCGACAATCTAGGATAAGAAAGAAATCAGGTGATGAAATAATATCAGCTATCCCGGCAGTGGAAGCAAGACTTGTAGAAATTAAAGTCCCTTTTTACGATTTTGTTTTGGCTTGAGTGTTTTGCACCAGGCTAGTTAAGAGAGGCGATCTATAGACGAGCCCTCTTGTTCTCCTCCCGTAGACTTTCCCCGTGTAAAACTGAAGTAAACTCAGCAATCGTCCTTTAATCAATCATAACACGGCGAGAGACCAAGTTCGTATGGTTTTGGGGTTAGAAAGCTTGCGGCTATTGCTAACGTGACATGCTGCTTCAGAGAACATGACAAATTGCTCATACCCAGTTGTTATTGTTGTTGTTTGTTCTAGATCCAGTAGAAAAATAGAAGTTTTGACCACTTGCCAAAGCGTTTTGACCGGATACTGTTTGATACCACCGGAAATGTTGACCATCAGTTACTTTCAAAGCCTCGGCGCGCCTTGACCAAGTGGGCTGAATTAAAATGAGTTTACTAGTGTCGTGTCGTTATACAAATGAATCTGAGTAGCTTTAAAATAACATCTTTTATTTTGCGTTGGGCAAGGAGTTTGGGCAGTAATGAGAGATTTATAATAATTTTGGCCTCACTGACTCTAGTGAAGGGTAATAATCGCATAACTAACACTTTTCCGAGGCTCCATACTTCCTCCGGAAAACGACACTTGACTTCGACAATCTTATGATTTTATTTCTCAACAGAGAGGTTACCTTCATCTCGGCCGGAGACAGTCATCATGTTTTCGATCTTGCAAGTTAAGAGTTAAAGGCGTGACAATTGTTTGTGACCACCTGCGAGAACTTTTGGAAAAATTACACCACGGCGAGAGGGCCACGCCCCACGATTCAACTGAAGCAGAAAGAAAACAAAAATCGTATAACCATTATGTTGAACCACAAAGACCATTGCCTCTCCATTGAGCCACTTCGCACCCTTAAACTATCCATTTGTCATGTCGCTTGTCGGAATTTTACCCCATAATATTAAACGGGGCCTGGCCTAAATATCGGCTCCTGATGATGATGAAGACGGCTCGATGATCAAGTGTTCTCTTGGCGTGCGAGGCCGGAGTTACTTGTAATTTTAATACTGTACAGACACACTCTTTACCTCCTTTATTGACATAGCTTCAAGAGAAACAAAGAATCCCTAATTTCTTCCTCCTTGAACCCAAACTCTCTCTTGACTTGATACAACTTTTCATTGTCATTTGAAGTAAAGTTACTGCAGCCGCCCGGTTCCTGTTCATAAAAATTTCAATTTAGACCGTTTTGTAGTTTTAACACAGTGCAACAAGCACGAGGTGGTGAGGTACGAAAGAGCGCTCCTTGCTCTTTTACAAGATGTTTCGATTTCTCGTCATTTTCGAGACATACGGTAGTTTCTACCCTGAGAAAGAAGCTTGAACACTTTACCGGAAATGACATTTGTTTCAAATCTTGATAAACAAGAGAGAAATGAACTTATTCTCTCTTGTTACAAAAGGAAACGTGGCAACGAATTAAACTTTCTTATCCACCGAGAGCAGAGAGAGGCTACGTCAACCGGGTCGTTGAAAAAAATTTTGGCCTTGAAGAGTATTTATTCCTTCAAAATGCTGATTCGGTGACCGTTTTATTATTAGCCTGCCGTGGGAGGCTACGCGTGGACGGAAGGCAAACTCGATAACAAAGAAAATACTGGAGAATTTAGTGTGGATAAGACGATGGACAAGGTGTACCAGCAATGTGTTCTGGTGTTTATTTGTATTTCGCACGCTTCTGTCACCTGTTTCGTGTCCTCGTGGAGCAGGTTTGAGGCAAAGAAATGAAACAAGAGAGAAGCAGTCCAAGCAGGATTGAATGGGCACTGCACACAGGCTAGGGGTTTTGTTTAATTGGGTAGTTAATTTAACAGGGTTGCTAATATTGCTTTGTTTTTCTTTTCTTTTCTTTCAGAGCGACTCCGAGATTTTTTATTATTTTACTTTCATTAACAATTTCCAAGTATATAAACATCGTATCATAAAGCAGACTTGTTGATAATGAAAATAAAAAGTACAGACGGTGGTAGCCAATGTGGCGGGCGTCGAGATTGGTAAGGAATAATAAGGAAGGGTAAAGGGGACTGAGGATTGAGATAAGATTTGAATTGGGATGTCAAATGTAGCCAGCCGCCTTTTCCCTGGAGTTGATTTGTTGGGGACCGTTCTCAAGTCAAGGAAGAGAAAGAAAAATTCGTCGTCGCTTGTTTACGTCCTCCATAAAACGTGAAATGAGGCATATTCACGTCGTAGTTGTGCAGTGACGGCAAAGAAATGTACAAAAATGCGTGATACAAGTGCAAAATTGTTGTTTTCTTTACTTTTTTCACCTTCTCGTTGCTGTCGCCGTTGTCATTGCTAAAGCTCCCTTATGCCATAGTTAGTAGAGGAGACTGGTTATGAAAGCCGGCAAACATCAAAGTTGAAAACAACGGTGATGTAGGTTATGTTGGAAGTTCCCTGACCATGCGCAATCCTTTGTTTTTTGTTCACAAATTTCGACTGAATAAATTAAGGGACTTGTCAGAAATTAGCAGGGGGGGGGGGTGGGAATTTTAAATTTGGGTTCGGAAATGAGGTCACCCATCCCTGCAATGGGAATGAAATTTGTTAACCCTTCCCTTGACCTTAGCCTAAAATATCATGACCCTCCCCCTCTTGTAAAAAATGATAAAATCTAGTTCTTGGAATACACTAGGTTGAGTCACTATCATGAAAGCTCAAAATACTGTTCTTTGTAATGCCATATACATACATTTTAGATGACAGCATTAAGAGTCCGACTCTGATTCTGACAGCTGATCACTCGACTCTCCTATTTCTCTCAGGTTTTTTTTTTACAAAATAAAGAACTCTTTTTTCTTCTGTGGGTGAACCTCTACATGATCACGGACACATATTTGCATGACCCTCCCCCTTTTAACAACCCACTTTTCATGACCCCTCCCTTTTCTGCAGTCTCAAAAAGTTGTGACCCTCCCTCTGTTTCCACCCCCCTCCCCCCTGGTAATTTCTGACAAGTCTCTAATGCAATGTTTCTATTGATCAGTAAGTTCAAAATGATAGGAATGCTATTGAACGTTGTGCACGATCAGGTCCAAAAAAGCTAACAAAGACATATAACAAAGGGTTTCCCAACCATTCCACTTTAATTAACTATGCTTATGACGACAGGGAGTAGAAACTTGTCTCTCTCCTGTTGAAAGAACTTCACCCCTTTCCCCCCGGGGGGGGGGTCGCTTAGAGTTTGAAAACCTGACCCTGTTTAGGAGGAAAGAAAAGTCCTAAAACAGATACCCTGTTTAGGACAACACCCTCAAATTTATTACCCTGCCAGTAGGACAAAGACAAAATGGACGCCGTCTTGTTTAAAGCCATTTATATATTGGCAATTGCGTGCAATAGGTGGTTTTCACGCAATCTCGGAGAAAAATTTAAATGAACAAATGTTACAAACAAAACGAGCTTGAGCGATCTTTTCCCGGTTTAAAACCACCTATAGTATAGTCATTGCGTATATCATAGTGACAGGAGGCCATAACTCCTGCTTTAGTATAAACCCTGGCCGACCCTGACTAATTTAGCAAATCAAATCAATTGTGCAGGCAATACCCTCATGAAATTATATACCCTATTTAGGACAGACTCACACGAAGTTATATACCCTGTTATAGGCCATAATAGTGGAGTCTTAGGGAGTACATCCTTCTCCCAGCCCCGGGCCTCGCTTCCGATTTTTGGCGCCCTCGTGACTGAGCCGTAAATAATCGGTCTTCGTCGGGTCATCGATTATTCCTCGGGTAATAACACCTCGAATGACAGCTCAGTGAAGCATGGTACATTGAAGGTTAGAGATGAGCGCGTTTGAGCATCGGTCTCGCTTCAATTAAATTTTTGAAGCTTGTGAACCTCTCATCCTTGCAAAACAACATGGCCTTGAAGAGGAATGCAAGTAAATACGGCGTCTCATCGACGCATGCTGATGAAGATACCCTGCCTACAGAAACCCAAACGAGCTTCTTCCAAAAGGGCCGTGAATTCGAAAGTCGCTATGTAAATCATCATTACACGGAAGAGGAGAGAGAAAAGCTCGGAACGTTCGAGAGTGTGGACTATCTGCCGCCGCACAGTGCTGTTTACAAGGTCTGTTGACTATCTATAAAGTAAATCTTGCTGCACCCACGGACCTAAAGGTCCTGGATAACTTGTAATTATTAATTTAACCTGAGGCATAATATTAATTAAGCCAGGAGTGTCATTATGATGCTCAATTAATTGAGATTATTTGCGCCTTGCGGGCTACTATTCATTTTAGGCTTTGCCTACTTAAGCAACTTTTTCCGTGAAACGTTACCCTGTACCGTTGAGGAGGGTAGTAAAGGGGGGTTCTTGGTGCCGTTGCAGGTACAAATTTGGACAAATTTCACGTATCACGTGGGTTATAAACCAATTTTCACGAACCACGAATCTCACCTGTTAATCAAAGGGGCTAACAACCAAAACATATTCATCATGGATCCCAGTTGGCATTTTATTTGACGATTGCAGTTTCTCCCCGCTTCTCCTCTCATTATCGTAGTTGGTGGGGCACTCACCAATCGCAGATGTGGGGAACTTGTGTTTCCAGGCATGAAAACACATCAACGTCCCCGATGCGATTTCTTTTTACCCCCTAGTGACTGATACCTGTGTAGCAGGTGCAGGTTAGTTTTTTGGTTAGTTTTACTCCTTTCTCCCCTCGAGCAAGCGCGTGCGTGTCCTCCAAATTTCTCTCTTCGCTTCACCCTGACAAAACTGGTGTCTTCTGTGCAGGCTTCAGTGACTGTCACCTTCGGAGCCTTTCGTTAGGGTAATTCATTCAGTTTAACATGAAAACAAAGCAACATGAGAATTGCTCAAGGAAACAAATTAATCCCAAGGGTCACAGTCACGTGGCTTTTTAGCATCTGGTCTATTAACCAAGAGAAAAAAGTAACACAAAGAATCAAACCAACAGCCCTGTTCAATCTATCTGTCCTTTCTTATTGATTTTCACGAAATGCGACAAATAATTCACAAGTCCTGGACATCTTATAAGACAAATCACGCTTCTCGTGCATAACTGGTTTCAAGGATCACGTTCCTATCTTGGGAACTTTCACGCATCACGCACTAAATTTGGGCCTAATCAGGCGTCACGCATGAACCCTTTGCTACCCTCATTGAGAAACAGGTACCATTCTTTTAATTTACAAACAATATATTTGGAGTGGGGGGAGGGGTAGATGAAGGGAGAAAATATATAGTTAACATGTTGCCGCAAATGCTCAAATTGGCGGCCCCTTCAAATGAGCACCCTCTTTGAATTAGTGTTTCTGGTTAGGCTAAAAAATTAGATAGGGACTTCCCATCAAGTATCATGTAAGTGTCCCCCATCTGCCACCCCACCTTCTAACTGGTATAATCATCGTATACAAGGATGTTACATTTCAATAATTTCAATAGTCTATTAAAATAGATCGTTGTCAATAAATGTCGATTCTAATCAATTGACAGATATTGGAGATCGATAAAAGTGTGTCATAAAATTTTTTGTGATTATCGATTTCAATCAAAATTGGTGTTAGGCTAGAGTTCAATTTTTATCTGAAAACTATTGGTAGATAAAAAGGATCCGAAGCAACAGTGTCAATATCTGTTAGCATCCTTGCGAAAAGTTTTGCGCCATATTAAATATTGGACGAAGGACTTTTTTGAAAGTCTACTTGAGCTTTTGCAACATTTGTTCGAACAGTTTAATAATATGATCGATTTGAAAATGAGTATTATCCGTGTGTGTTCGAAGAATTGAAACGTCCAAATCCAGGTGTCTAATCCTTCTCCTTATGCTGCATTCATATAAAGTTTGTGTAAATCGTCAACAGATATTCTCAGAAAAGTTCCAGATGTTTATTGAAATTGATTACCTGCTCTAATATCATTTGATTATCAACTTTTATCGTCAAATATAACTAATCAATTGACAATTATTGAAAAATATCATGCATCATCAACTTATCAACTAGCTCTCTGATGATTGATTTCAATTGACATATACATGTAACATCCTAGGTATATAGTAGGTACCGGTAGATCTTCAATGAATATAGCATAACATCTACAATCACTAAAGAATGACCCATTTGAGGAGATCATGCAGTCAGATGTTTAAGATGCGGATCCACTGACAATAGTGCTGAGGATAGCAGGCAACACAACTTTCAACATGATGTTTATTTATAACTCCATTACACACACAGATTATTTAATTTTATACGATATAAAAGATACCTTCTGATTCCCTGTTTACTGTTACAGTTTCATTCATTTGAATTAATAACAATGTAATCTTGAAGCCAAAATACCAAAATCATCTTTTTGCCTTTTCTTCTTTTATTTAACCATGGTTGTGTCACTATTCTACAAAATTACAAAATCACTATAAAGCTATGGGGTAGAGATGTTACTAGCACAAAGCATTGCCATTTTATTTAATCAGTATCAAAAAGTAGAAGATGTAATTCCACACATTTACAACTTACAGTAACATTTTTTGTAAATGCTTTATTTTAGAACTGGCTAAAACAGCAGCCATCACGTCTGGACTGGGATCGCTGGGTTATGATGGGAATGATTGGCTTCTCTGTTGGATTCATTGGATTTCTGATGCATCAACTGATTGATGTTATAGCAGAGTAAGAACAGAGGCTATACAGATTTTTTTACATTACAGTTTACTTAAATTTGTCTCAATCTTAGCTTTCCTTCTCTGAACAACTCACCTTTTTTATTGGCACAGTAGCTGTCCAGGGGGGACTCCCATATAAAAGTGACTGGGATGCTTGTTTTAAACTTAAACCCCTAAGAGAAAAAATGTGGGTGTGGCTCAAGCTTAAACTGACCCAAAATGGAGACCATACTAAAACAAACATCTAAATAAGAGCTGAGAAAAAGAGGAAAATAAGAGGGATATATCGTGTTCTTTTTTAAACTAAAGATTTCTGTGTGGTCAGTGCAGGGCTCAAAATTAAAAAAAATTTCTGGTCGCAAATTTGCGACTAGTTACGAAAATTTGGTCGCAACTTTGAAAATGGTAGTCGCGAAATTAATTAAGGCCATTTGATCAAGAAATAAGTAGGCTTTTAAATGATTAACGCTTTAATTTTCATTCTTTCAACAGCTTTCATGTCATTTCGAGACTTAATAGTACAGAACGTTTAGCGTCTCGGACAACACCAGTTCATCTAAACTATCAAGTTGAACCTGCGTTAAGGCACATAAATTAGTGTCTGTTATTTTAGTCAAAGCGATAGATTTCCAAATCGTGAACAGATATTACAGCAGGAAACTGCAGTTCTTAAATGCCTCCAATCTCTGCAAAATAGCAATAACATTTGTACTGGGTGGACATCCGACATGGTTATGGTTACGTTACATAACTAAATTCCTTTAGTTTTACCTTTTGTAGGTTTTCCACCGATGACAAAACAAGTAACGAATTCTTTTATATATTAAGCTTTACATCTGAAGTATCAGGGGTGTTACTACAGTGATTATTCAAAGAACCCTGAAGGACTGAATCATTCAATACGACGAGACATTCTGCCATCTTTGTTTGCTAAACCTCGTTTTCATGTATACGTAGATTCGCAACCCACTTGGAACCGATTTATTTTACATGTAAATCTTTTTTTTTAAACTAAAACCGCTCGGTCGATTTCTTCGTTTAAAATGTGACCTTTGAAACAATTTAAGTCGCTTTCATCCGACATAATTGACTCACTAAAGAAGAACACATGTGTACTGTGAGGGCCGTAACGCGGGTCATAAATGCGGGAAAAGTCCTCAGCATGCTGGCGGGACTGTCAGCGGCAAATCAAAACGGAATATGAGCCTGCAATGTACATGTTTACAGAACCCGCTGAAAATGGCGTGCTGTTGAAGGAATATCGTTGGGTGTATGCATTCCAGGTAAATTACGGTAAACCTCCAGATTGTAACAAAATTATAAGACGCTACTTCAATGAATCTTGTTATGTCTAAATTTATTTAAGCAAAAATTCAAGTGCTAGTCCTTTTATTTCGTATCAGTTAAGGCAAAAACTAGTCGCAAATTTGCGACTACTCTCGTTTTTCTGGTAGCAAATAAGAAAAATTAAGTCGCAAATGCAACCGTATCGGTCGCAATTTCGAACCCTGCAGTGTCACAACACTTTTTCTCTATGCACAACTCTAAGTGATACCTGAATGGGAAAATATAGTGACTTTCTGTCCCAAACACTCTATTAAGTGAGACCAAAATCTACAATTTATTTACATGTACACCCCTAAGCAAGATGACGAGCATCACCGCCACTTTTATATGAGAGTCCATCCCCCCTACCCCCCAGGAGTATCTTGCATGGGATCAACTTCTCAACTTTGTATAATCTTTTCTAGGGACCAAAAAACTGTTACTTGCAATTGTTTTTTCCTTTTACATTTAAGGTCAATAAATTATTGAAGTTGTAGAAGTTTTAAAGGCAAATACAACTAGACCTATTAAAAACAAAACAAAATGGAATGGTTTGTTAGCTAGGACCCTAACTAATTTTCTTTAGGTCTGAAAAATTATCAGGACTATTGAGAAGCAGGGCCCAAATCATTATTATCTTTCTGCATTTTCTATAAAGGTTCAAGGCTGTGCTCTAAGAAAAATTGAAGGGAGCCCAGTGCTCTGAGCCTGTGAAATCGAGGGTGCCCAGCAATGATATGATTTTTCTGAAAACGCCTGTCACCCAAGAGCAGTAGTAAGGTGCCAGGGCCTGCTGGTTGCTGCTGGAGCAATTACAAAACAATATTTTATTCAGAAACATTGCACAGTGCAGAAACATTGTTCCTTTTTCAACAGAGTGAAGTGGGATAAAGCTTCTGACTTTATAAAGGTACCATTAAGAGCTAACTTGTTTATAATGTTTTTCTTAATAAATATAAATAACTGACATCTAAGCTGTCCTTGGGATGAGTGAAGAGCACATAGTAGGTTAGCCCTGGCACAAGGCGGTGGCATTCGTTGGAGTGGAGGAGGTGGTTGGCAGGTGGAATGTAACACTAGCAGAACAAAGGGATTCACTAACTGGATGCTATCCCATATAACAAAAAAACAGAAAGAACACAAAAGTATAAACATACAGCTATTCCTGTACTGGGAAACTTCAACTTTCCTGCTGTATGTAGGTTGAACAATGTCCTTAAATTCTTTTTAAGTACCAGCTACTTCTACACCTAAATAGTGGTGCCATTATGAGGTTCCCTACAGCTAACTGAACTGTGACCCTCGACCGTAGTTAAACGTGACTCTCTGGTACTATGTACATTCTTTATTTCACAACTATATCTTGAAGTGGAGTAAAGTTTTGTGTTGACCAAAGGAGTGAATACAATCAAATTTTCAGAATCAGACACCTGTATTTAACAGCAATCAGAGAGCCATAGTGAATCTGGAGTATTGCGTTACATATTCCTTTTCTATTCTTAACTTTTTTTAGGATAGGGACTTTGGCTTGGCTTGGATATGGGTCATTGGATATAGTGTTCTTTTTGTCTTGGCAAGTTCTATTCCAGTTGTGGTAAGTGCCAACTTGTTTGTCTAAATTTCTAATTTTGACCCTATTTGACAAGTTGCACAATAAGAAGATTTTTAAAACCCCTGAATGATCCCTTAATTCACAAAAGCAGTACAAGTGCAAGACTAATGCATGATGACAGAAACATTATTTCATAAGTTATGGTCAGATCAGTTTTATTCATAATGTTATCAATTAAAATAGACAATATAGATCTGCTATAAACCCAATTGTTTCAAAAATTTATTTCTCAAGTAATAAAGAATTTCCCAAAATAAAAATTACAGAAGTCTATCAAGTGAGACCTGAGCTTTCAGAAAATTGATATCCAAGGTGTCAATTTTCACATGTAGGGTGTGATTTCTGATTTATATCACAGGCTCAAAAGATCCAGAATTGCAGATTTATTGCTTTCCTAGGATTAAAAAATAAATTGGAACTGACTTGTACTTAGATTGTTAATTTACCTTAAATTTCCGGCGTTGCATTTTTCCTTGAAATACTCTTGTATGTAGGTGGAATTTTTTTGTGATGCCCTTTAACTTCAGGCCGTGGTTTTCCCTTTAACTTTGTGTGAGTAAACCTGGCATTTCTTCCAGTGCGGTATTATAAATCCCCATATTTTTACATCAATTTGTTATTGCAGTGCAGTCTAACACAGCCGCAAAATTGCACTTAATGTCTCTGCTCCTTTATGATGCATGTTAAACGCGAAGTGACTTAATTATAAAACAAATAATGACAAGTTGGCGATAATGGGGGAGCACTGCCTTGCGCTAGGTTAGCCTGTGCGACTTCCGGCGATGGCGTGACCAAAGAACCTCACTTATCTCCCCCGCACTATGAGCTGAATGCAATACAGCACGTGCTGGATCAGACAAGAGTATTGGTTTGCAGGTGATATTAAACGGCAAATGCGGCCAACAAGCTTGGGGGAAGTCGCTGCGTAGACAAAAAATGGTCAAGAGCGTAGTGCCAGAAATGGAGAGATCCCCTGTTCACGAGAATGAACTATATTAAAAAATTACTCAACTCTTAACTACGAATTTTTCAACTTAACTGAATTCAAATTCACAAAAAACTACCAAGCGAATTCAAAAACTATTAATCGACAATTGTCTTTCTGTCCAAGTCCTTCCAAGTTATAAACTGTTCTGACTTACATTTTTAACACTAGATTTTTTAATCTCGGTCCATGCAAATTTTCTTCACACTTCATCCAATCAGGGCTCGAATGAGTCCCTTAACGCACGAATGTCTTTCACCACCATCGCTAGTTCATTAGTCCTTTTGTCCATCCCCTATGACAAACTGGATATTCAGGGATAGGTAAAACCGACCGAAGGATGCGTGATGGCCGGTCCGCAGTAAAGCAGGGTATTAAAAGAGAGTTTCTCAATCAACTCCGACGTGAATCTTCGTAAAGCGTCCACTAAAGCCAGAACCATCTAACGTTTAGCACGTGTACGGGGTGGAGGAAAGGTGCAAATGGATTTCGCGATGCGACTGAAGGACAAACTGCCAACAAATGACAGCTAAGCCAGTTAAGTGGAAGACAGAATCAATCCAAGAGGACTTGTAAACAGGAATTGTAAACAGCTTGCCTGAATCTTCCTAATCAAATAAGTGAAATGTCTGCCATTTTCATTCTCACTACCAAAACAACTCAACCTCATCCCCAGGTCTTCTCGGTTAATAGTTCAATAATCTACAACTTTGCTGCACTTTTGACGTCATCAGTTCAATATGGCACAATTTGTCCAAATTTGGTGGACAATTACAGCTATTTATGATGAATAATATTATTTATGTGTGGGATTTTAGCCAATCAGAAATGGAGAAATATTTTGAATGAATAATAAACAATTTTATAAGCATGATCAATTTTGAACTTTATAGGAGTTCTAGTACGGTAATTTACATTCACATTAATAATGCCTAGGATTTGTTTTCAGTGCAGCTTGCAATCCTGGATATATATCTCTTCAAATTACCGTGGGTAACAAAAAAAGTAATACATCCTGTTTTTTGATTGTCGTTTTTTAGTATTTCCGTCCTTCTGCTGGAGGGTCAGGTATACCTGAGTTAATTGGGTTCTTGAATGGTACAGTGGTGAGACATATTTTCAACTTCAAGACAATGCTTGTCAAGTTCTTCTCCTGTGTATGTGCAGTTGGTGCAGGCCTTCCTATTGGTCCAGAAGGCCCTATGATTCACTTGGGGTATGTAAATCAAAGAAATCTAGGACAGCTACATTTTGTGTAATCCAAAAATTAATATTCCACAAATTCAACCAGTTAAGTAATATTATAGAAATATTGAATGGTACAGCTAAAAGAATTGGGTCTTGTCTCTGACAGTGTGTCTCTGTATTGTTTCTTTTTATCCCAGAATTAATAATGTTTTCCTGTATATTGGTCCCCAATTGTTAAACAATCAGGTCTCAGCAGCTGGGGGAGCTTTAGATTGTACCATCTTACCATCCCTAAAATTGTAACCTCCTTGTTATTTTCTATTAAACCTTAACACCCCACTGTTTCGAATAAAAGCAAATGTACAGGCAGATGTCTAAACAGTTCCAATGCTGGACCTGTATCCTTTCCCTAAATCTGTTTTCATTGACACTAATAATTACTCTTCAAGTGCATATATGTACTGTGTAACCCATGGAGATATGTTCTTTTATTTAAACCATCTTGTACATTTGGCATTTTCATGTGGGTATATCATGACTCGCTCACAGTTTATGTTTGTTTGCAGGAGTTTGGTTGGTGCAGGCCTGAGCCAGTTCAAATCGCACACCCTTAAATTTCAATTGCCATTCTTTGAAAGATTTCGGAACACAGAAGATAGGTAAGGGGCTGCTGCACACCTGTGAAATAGTTAAATCGTGACATTTGAACGTGTATTTCGTTACCTTTCATGTAATTCGTTACCTGGTCAGCGGTCATTTATGTAATGCTTACGTCACAAGAACAGAACCTTTTTCTGCCTCGCTCTCGTTACTTTATGACCGCCATGTTGTGTTAATGTTGTCTGAAATATACATGTAACTACATTGAGTTCTCTGTCGTATTTACTGCTTCCCCACATTTTTGGTGCCGAGACCAGGATGGAAGAGTTACCGAAACTGCTAGCGTCAAGAAGAGCTCACAAAGCACATTTAACCAAACTAAGACAGAAAATCGATGACACTGCAGAAGGAACAATAGCCGACAACGGAATTGTACTACTCAAGTCTCTCGTGGAGCAGTTAAAGCAAAAGAGACAAACCCTCAAGGAACTTAACGATAAGATAGCAGTTTTACTGGAAACTCCTGAGGAACTCGAAGCAGAAATACTCGATGCAGAGGAACTAGACAGCCTTATCGTGGAGAAGGTTTGCCTCACCGACAATTTAATTGAGCTCGCCAAAAGAAACCTCGACCAGTACGTGTTGTCTCACAATCCCGGAATATCAGTACTCCGTCAAGTTCACCGCAAAAGGGACAAACAAATCAGCAACCCATTCCATCTACGTCGCAAACGGAACAAGAAAATCAACAATCCAATTCCCCACCTTCGACTGGAACGTCAGGTAGCGATTTTCAAAGTAACACAGCCGCTTCAGCAGAGAATCCCCCAATTACACCACCGATTACTCCGATTACACCACCGCCGGTGAGTACATTCCAAACTAATCGTTTACCTAAACTTGTACTGCCATCGTTTAATGGGAACCCGCTTGAATGGCAATCGTTTTGGGACGCTTTTCAGTCTGCAGTACACGATAACTCTTCGATCAGTGATGTCCAAAAGTTCAATTATTTGAGAGCACAGTTACGCGACGGAGCTGAAAGAGTCATTGCCGGGTTGCCATTAACCAGTGCCAATTACGCTAAGAGCATCCAGTTATTGAAAGATAGATTCGCTCAACCCCACAAGATTATCAATGCACACATGGAGGCACTGCTCAACCTTCCATCACCCACTGATCATTTAAGTAGTTTGAGGCTTTTCTATGACTCAGTTGAAACACACATCAGGGGACTTGAGTCACTAGGGAAGAAAACAGAAACGTATGGAGATATTCTTGTTCCCATCATTCAGAAGAAGTTACCTAATGGAATTAAGAGGAATCTAGCAAGGCAAAATGGAAACAAGGAGTGGCAGCTTGACAACTTACGTAAGGCAATCTTGAACGAAATTGAAATCTTAGAAGCAGGTCAGAACAGTTCTAGCGATTATGAACTCAGTAGCAACTCAACAACTGCTGCTACTGCTGCATTTCTCACGACTTCAAAGCCACCTACACCTGTTCTCCCTCCTCCCACTGATCGGCGCCCTACCAAGCGAACATGCCTTTTCTGTAAGGGCGAACACAGTTCAAATGATTGTAATGTTGTAACAGACAAGGGAAGGAGATACTCCATTGTACGTGATGCAAGGGTATGCTTTAACTGTCTTAATCGTCATTCAGTATCTAAATGCAAGTCACGGAACAGATGTAAGGTGTGCCATCGAAAAGCATCATACCAGTCTTTGCCAAAATGCAGAATCAACTCCCCTAGTGTCATCCACTGAACCGCCAACTACAAACAAGGCTCAATGTACACCCACCACAGACAAGACTACAGCACCTTCAGTCTCATCCTACCACATTGGTGATACTAGCAGACACACCCCGTTCTACTGAAAACAGCCGTTGCTTCTGTTGGTAGTCACAACAAACACATCAGTGCACACATTTTATTTGATGAAGGGTCTCAACGCCCTTCATTACTTCAGATGTAGCGACCAAACTTGATCTGAAACCAGAAATGCAAGAGACCATATCCCTGTCAACCTTTGGTGGGAACACATCATCCGTTAAACGCATTGACACTGCCACCGTTTTTGTTGAAACCGCTCAAGAGGAGAACATTCCCATTCGGCGTGATCATTGTACCAACAATAGCTGCCCCCTCACTACTTACACTGGTGCCAATGTAAGGAACTACCACACTTAAAGGGACTGTCATTAGCACAAAACGTTGATGATTCACCTTTCACAGTTGATATTCTAATCGGTGCAGATCATTATTGGGACATAGTGGAAAACGGTTGTCAAGGGTCCAGGTCCCACAGCAGCCAAATCAAAGATAGGATACCTCCTTTCGGCCCCCTCTCCAACAGTAACCATTCAGAGAACCTAAACACGCCTATTTTAAATGTTGTGACTGAGCATCATCAAGAACAATTTGATTTGGAACGTTTCTGGCGGATTGAATCAGTTGGTGTTCAGCCAAGCTCATCAGAAGAAACGGTTGACTTTCTGAAGTACTATCAAAACTCGTCTATCATGTTGGAGGATGGCGGTACAGTGCAAAGCTACCCTGGCGACCAGAACATCCCCCTCTACCATCAAATGCAGAAATCACTAAGCAGAGAACCCGCTCCATGGTCAGAAAACTAGCTGAAGATCCTAATAAATTACGCATGTACAATGACATCATCCAAGAACAACAATCTCGCGATTTTATCGAAAAGAGTGGACAATCCAGAAACAACCAACGGAGTGTGTCATTACATACCTCATCACGCTGTTCTCAAGGACTCTACCACAACTCCTCTACGCATTGTGTACGACTGCAGCTTCAAACGAGGTGAACAACCCAGCTTGAATGATTGCTTACAGCCAGGTCCTCCACTTCTCAATGATCTTACTGGTATACTTCTACGCCCGTCTCCACCAGTATGCTATAACTGCAGACATTGAAAAGGCATTTTTACATGTAAACCTAGACCAAGCTGATCGAGATGCCACGCCGCTTCTACTGGCTATCTAACACGGATGACCCGGAGAGTGAATTCATTGTCTACCGATTCAAGTCTGTCATGTTTGGTGCCACAAGTTCCCCTTTCATCTTAAATGCCACTCTCAATAAGCACCTCACACAGTCTACAGACCAAGTCAGCATGGATATGTTAAGGAATCTGTATGTGGATGATCTCGCCTCGGAACAAACGATGATGATTCAGCAGTCAACTATTACCAAGATGCCAGGAACAAAATGTCACCGGTGGGCTTCAATCTCAGGTCATGGAGTTCAAACAGTCCTGGTGTTCAACATATTGCAGCCAAAAATCAAATCCTCGACACTAGTCCAACTAAAAAGTACTTGGCATGGTATGGGACATAACTTCAGACACGCTCGATTCTCATGTAAACAGGCAACCTCTACCCCCCGTTGTCAACCAAGAGAGAGGTGTTACAAGAAACAGCAAAAGTCTTTGATCCACTCGGCTTACTTCAACCAGTCACCGTTGCGGCTAAGATTCTAATACAAGAACTGTGGAAGGAAGGGATTGATTGGGACGAGCCCCTTCCACCTTCTCTTGATCAAAAATGGCGTGCTGTAGCAAAGGAGATTGGAGATGCAACCAAACTTGAGTTCCCACGTCGCTACTTCTCTTCTAATGTCTCTGTCGATAGCAGCGATACAGAACTACATGTTTTCGCTGATGCAAGCCAGAAAGCCTATGGAGCTGCTGCTTACTTAGTACGTGGAAACCAGTCATCGTTAGCTATGGCGAAGTCGCGTGTTGCTCCGACAAGGAAGAAACTCACCCTTCCAGAATTGGAACTTATGGCAACTCTAACAGCCGCACGTTTAGCTTCATATCTTCAAGAACAACTGCCAGTTACAAGAGTCACATTGTGGTCTGACAGCCAAATTGTTCTCCACTGGCTCAAAAGCACCAAGTTGTTGAAGCCATTCGTCAACACTCGCATCCAAGAAGTAAAGAAGCTGACATCAACTTCAAACTGGAGGTACTGCCCTACAACTGAAAACCCCTCCGATCTTCTCACAAGAGGGATAACAGCACATCAACTAGAGATTTCCTTGCTGTGGAAACATGGTCCCACATGGTTACCAACCAGATCCCAGTGGCCTTCATGGCCTACGACAGAGGTTCTTCACTTATCAGCAACTGAAACCTCTCCTGGTGGGTCTACCACAGACGGCACAGTCCCAGTTCAACAGCAAGGCCTTCATCGCCTGATCAATCCATCGGATTTCAGCAGTTTACCAAAGCTTCTACGTGTTACAGCCTATGTTTTCAGATTTGTAAAACTTCTCCAGAAGAAACTTAGTCAACAAGGCCCAATTACAGCCATGGAATATGATCATGCCATGACAGAATGGGTGAAGACTCGTCAATCTGTTGTCTTTCATGCTGAAGTTAACAACCTCCTCTCGAAGTCGCGACACCGCATAACTTTGGTACGTCAACCGCCTTTTCCTTGATGATGGTGGTCTTCTACGCTGTGGCGGAAGGATACACAACGCACCCTTAAGTGGCAACACCAAGTTTCCTCTGCTACTTCCAAGCAAAGACCATTTCACAGATCTTGTAATTCACTCCACCCATGTCAAACAGCTTCATGCAGGTGTCAACTCAACACTCACCGCCCTACGTCAAACTTATTGGGTTCCTTCTGGCCGACAACGCGTCAAAACTTTAATTGACAAATGCGTAACCTGCAGAAAGGTCTCAGGAACAGCCTACAATGCACCAGACCCACCACCCCTTCCCAAGTCAAGAATACAACAAACACAACCCTTTGAAGTCACTGGGGTGGACTACACCGAGCTCTGTATGTTCGAAATGCTGGAATCGAAACAAAGGTCTACATATGTCTGTTTACTTGTGCAACAACCAGGGCTATTCATCTTGAAGTTGTCGAAGACTTGACCGTTGAAGCCTTCTTACTAGCCTTTCGCAGATTTGCAAGTCGGAAATCTCTTCCAAGGAAACTAATATCTGACAATGCCTCAACATTTGTATCAGCGAACAATGAACTAAAGGAATTGTTTCAATCTCGTGCGCTCAAGGAAACACTAGCAAGGGAAGGCATTGAATGGCTATTCATCCCCAAGAAGGCGCCTTGGTACGGCGGGTTTTGGGAACGCCTCATCGGTCTCACCAAATCCACCATCAAGAAGGTACTCGGCAGAGCTGCAGTCAACCTGTGCACTCTTCAGACAATTGTTGTTGAAGTAGAGGCAATTCTAAACGATCGTCCCCAACCTACGTTTCCTCAGACATTAAGGATGAGGAAGCATTAACCCCGCACATCTACTTTATGGCCGACCAATTACGCCATTACCACATCCACCAGTAGAAAGTGACGCAGTGAGTGATCCCACCTACCAAACAAGTACAGATTTACTAAGAAGGGCAAAACGTGTCACCTTACTGATCCAACACTTTTGGCAACGATGGCGTCATGAGTACCTTACCTCCCTCCGAGAGTTCCACAAAGGTTCAGGAATCAACACAGAATCCGTGAAGGCTGGTGATGTAGTTCTAATCCATGATGATAGCCCTAGAGTAAACTGGAAACTAGCACTTGTCACATCCATTAACAGAGGTCGCGATGGACTTGTGCGTTCCGCAAATTTACGCACCGCCAATGGAACAACAAACCGTCCCATAACAAGATTACACCCTCTAGAAGTTCACGCCAAGGAAGCACAGTGTTGCACAGAGGATCAAGCAACCGCAGTAGAAACTCCAACCCCTGTGAGGAGACCACAAAGAGATGCAGCACGACGAGCAATAAGGAGAATTGCAGATTGGGCCAAGGACATTCGCGCCCCCTCCCCCCCGGAGGATGTGAAATAGTTAAATCGTGACATTTGAACGTGTATTTCGTTACCTTTCATGTAATTCGTTACCTGGTCAGCGGTCATTTATGTAATGCTTACGTCACAAGAACAGAACCTTTTTCTGCCTCGCTCTCGTTACTTTATGACCGCCATGTTGTGTTAATGTTGTCTGAAATATACATGTAACTACATTGAGTTCTCTGTCGTATTTACTGCTTCCCCACAACACCTTTGAATTATCATAAAATGTTTGTCATTTGATGCAAATTTTTCTTCCTTTTCATCGGCCAAGAGCCCACCATGTGACCTGCAAATAACAGCCAACATACAAAGGTCTGCCCGTGCGCGATGTTGTCCATCTGTGTTTGGCTGCAAGTGATACTCTGCTCAACATGTGTAAATCAGAAACCATGCTTTTCTCCTTCTTGGGATCGTTCTTGTGTAAAAATGGCAGATCACTTAGATTTTGATTAAAACAAACTCAGGGATCGAATGATAAAACAATTATTGAACTTGGTTATTGCGCAATTTCCTGATGTGTCAGTAGTGAGCAGATGAATTTATTCGGCTGAGGCAAATAATTGATGTGCAAGACAAGTCTAAAACGTCTGAAAGATTATTTCTTGAGTACAAGAGAATAATGAAATTTAAAGGTTGTCTCTGAAAGTTTTAGTGATGTTAAGTGTGTCAAATCCTTTTTGCCAGGCGTAACTTTATTTCTGCTGGTGCAGCAGCGGGTGTGGCCTCAGCGTTTGGGGCTCCTGTTGGTGGTCTTCTCTTTTCTATGGAAGAGGTGTCTTCTTTCTGGAACATGAAATTATCCTGGCAAACATTCTTTGCCTGCATGGTGTCAACATTCACTACAGTAAGTATAATAAATTTACAAAAATGTTATTTTCTATCAGACATTAGAAGGCAGCAGGACACATAGTTGCTTGTCATCTTTGTTGGTTGGAGAAGTTGCATATAGCAAGCTTAGGTTTGCCGTAAATGATTTAATAGACACCCGAGAAGCTCTCCTAAGGACTGTCTTGTAAGTGGACAGCTCTACTTACGGCAGCCTTCACAAATCCCTGTCTCAATTCCCATACAAGCCTTTGGAGTAGGCAGGTCATTTGTTGCAATGAGTCTCGATCTTGTTACAAACATTTTCCTCAAACATATATAGAAACTGTAGTAACATGCCCTCTCGAGATTTGTTTTTTATTATCAAAAAATCAAAATACTATTCTTAGAAAGATCTAAATATAGCCAATAGAAAACGAATGTATTGAAAAAACAAGGTACACTGAGTAAAACAAACTATAAAAATTTGATTTTCCCTATGGAAAATATGTCCCCGTAGTACACGGCATTAGTGTTTGGAGGTAGTGGTACTGGGTTTGAAACCTGCCAACAGCCATATTTTTTTACACAAATTTTATAGATTCCTTTTTTTCTTCTTTTCTATGGTTACTGGAGTAAAGACTATTCATCACCAGTAAGCTTGTGTCCTCTTGGAGGACTATTTTTTGCTATTTTTTGAGCATTTGAGACAGTGTGTCAATTACTAGATAATTTATGGTAGTGTTCATAATTTTGTGCTCAAAGATAGGGAGACACAGTGCGAAGCAAACTTTATTAAGTAAAAACAAAAACTGCCTTTAAATTGTTGGTCATGACTCTGAAAGAGTGAGATATTAACTGAAATGTCTTATTTAATTTTGCTTTTATATAGGATTTGTTTAATTCAGCTTTTGATGGATTCAAGTATCAAGGAGACTTTGGATTGTTCAAAGCTGAAAAGAACATCTTATTTCAGGCAAGTATCTCCATAAAGTATTTTTTCAAACATTTAATATGGCCATAATGTGTCTGTATTTTAGTGTATTGTATTTTGATGTACAAGTTCAAGCAGGAGCACATTACTTTTTTCTTCTCTTTCAGTATTTGATTTAATTTAAAGCTTGTTAGAAAAACTCCTTGATTTCAAGTTAATTTAAATTCCAGGATGTTCATTGCTAGCAGGATTTTTTAGTGCTAGTTCTTATTTTTAAAATATGGAAGATGCTTTAAAATCCAAAATTTGAATATGAATCTTAGTCCCTTAAATTCAAGCAAAAAAACCTCCCATAATAAGCCCCTTTAAATGTAAGCCCTAATATATTGGATCTTGAAAAATATAATCCCCGGCGCTTATCTGCAGAATTTCATGTATTCACATAAAAAAATTCATCTTCTAGTTTGGCAGAGGCAAATCTAAGAAACAGAAAAAAAACAAGGGCCATGGCAATTGATGACATGTCTTGTGTCTGCGTCTCATACTGAGTTGGAATTTACTGCATGATCTGCATTTTCACCTGTTCACAGAGAACAACGTCATCTGCTTGATCTTGCTGCGTGATCTGTATTTTAAGGCCTGGTTCAGATGCCGTACTTTTCATGTGCTGAACCTAATTGAATAAGTTTGACTTTGGAGCGACACTGGTGTGACATCTGATTCAGGCAGCGCACCATGTGTCAAGCCTAAGTTAAGTTCAACAAAAGTTCGAAAGACTCTGTCGAATTTAACGCTTTTGCCGCACCAAACTAAAACTGCTGTACCAAATTGACTCAGACACTGCTCTTTTGCCTTACTTAATTCATCAGTTAGGTTCGGCACATGAGTGGAGTGGCATCTGAACTGGGGCTAACATAGCCTGCGTAGCATGGCGGTTTTGGTTGGGTGAGGGCAGAGAAACCGCGAGGAGATTGGGGCGGAAGCAACTTGAAAAACCGCCTGCACGGACGGGGGGCTTTTTTGAGTCGGTCCGCACGCCAGCGTACGGATCGTTCCGATTGGTTCGGAATGTTCGCCTGTCAATCAAATATTTTGGTAATCTCCCATGGGAGAGTTTCGAGGGACTGAACAAATCATCTCCGCAACACAAAATCAAAATATCTAAGAAGCGTTGACCGGAGTGTCGTCGCTCTTGAATATTTGACGGGAAAACAGGGCAATTGTATTGAAGCCTAAACAGGAAATGGCCCTCTACAGTCTTCTTCAAAGGAGAGATGTCATGGAAATTTTGTCAACAAGATTTGGCAAGAGCATGATCTTTACTGTCTTTGCTATGGCCAAAGAAGAAATATCCTCATCGAAAACCTGTATGATCACAATTTGCCCTCTAAAAAGTAATATCGACGACCAGATATCTGAAATGTTGTCGCTGAGCTGTAAAGCAATGGACCTTATGACAGAAACAGTAAATTTCAGTGCTTCGAGAAAGTTCACCTCAATTTTCTCTATTACTCGGTGTTAGAGAATAACGCACTCCAGCGCAATACATCGAACGGTGTCCGCGATTGTGGTCGATGAATCGCATACGGTAGAAGAAAGACGCACAGCGTAATTCTCCATACTTTTTTGCTTGGTGTAGCTTAAGTTTAAGCTACAGCTCAAATCTGAAGATCGCGCTATACGTAAAAATACAACATCCTGCAAACAACTCTTAAAAAGCCGGGCCCAGCGTCAAAACATTCACGGACAAAGCAGTGACAAAGAAACTACAAACCAAGGCTCCTTGGTTTGTAGTTGTCCAGATCCAGGCATTTTAGTCGGAAAAGACCAAAGAAACTAAAATATTTATTTAGCCGTAATAAAAAGCTTTAGGCTTTAAGAGTGGTCAAAGAAATTACTACTTTACAACTGCATCTGAGATCAACAAATTCTAATTAGCGAAAATAACATTAACCACAGGAAATAATTACTCAATACGGATTAAACAAACCAACTCCATGACCTCTAAATAAATGTAAGACTTAGTGCAGCAAAAATAAGATCTACTCAGTCAAGTCTAGAACGCAATGCAGTCACCAATGGGCGAGATAGCCACAAAGAAAAAATCCGTGTTTGTTCAAGCAAACTCCAATTCCGGCCAAGGTCACGTTTTACACTATATCACGAGCTTTTGTGTCGTTTTTAGGCTGTCAACACTTTACTTCTGATTGGCTGGGAAAACTGAAACCAAACAAGTTGTCAACAGGATGTCAAAATGAGTTGAAGGGGGCGGCAGTTGAAAAGGCCACGAATCCGGGCAGGCGGTTTTTATTTTTCTCGCGGCTTCGCCGCTCGTTCTCGCGCGCTTCGCGCGCGAATTTCGCCGCTACGCCGCTCCTGCGCCCGGCTCGACAAAACCGCCATGCTACGCAGGCTATTTATTTTTCTCGCGGCTTCGCCGCTCGTTCTCGCGCGCTTTGCGCGCGAATTTCGCCGCTACGCCGCTCCTGCGCCCGGCTCGACAAAACCGCCATGCTACGCAGGCTAGGGCTAACAAATCCACATCCCTCTAATGGTCCCCAGCTTAGTACACCCCAAGCTGATTTATTTTGTTTCATTGCAGATTAGTCATGGCATTGGTTTAAATATTCTGGCATTCATACCTACAGTTATTCTTGGCATTATTGGTGGACTGTTGGGTGCTGTGTTTACATTTATTAATTTAAAGGTACAATATGTACGTATGATAATGAATGGATATGTTGTAGTTCAATTTTATCCTTGGTTTAAATTTTGGCTTGTTTTGTTTTGGGTGATGTAAGTATGGGTAATCAAATGGTGAAAAAAGGCTCGGGAAATTATAAGGATTTGGACAAAAATTAGGGAATAATTATTATTCCCTAATTTCACGAGTATACCATGTGATTACCTATTAATATCATGGGTGACGAATTACATTAGCAATCTTGGATTTTTGACATGTTTATCCTGGATCGTATCGATTGAGAACTCCACTCTCTCAAATGTTTAGACCTTAAATTTGGCTTATAAAGTTCAGAATTTTTCAGACAATTTTGGCAAAATACCTGTTAGAATCCTTCTTGATGTTCTCTTGTGTGTTCAGGTTTTCTAAAGCGTCTTTTTTTGCCCTGACATCTTCATTCATGGCATTTTAAAAACTCGTTGCAATCTCGACACTGAGACGTACGGAAGGTTGCCATGACAATTTTGTAATTTCACATGTGAAATTACAAATTAATGCTGAAATTTCACGCCAAAATTAGGGAGTAATTCGTCACCTGTGATATTATGTTTGATAATGACATGATAATGAGTTTGAAAGAAAAGAAAAGAAATTTTATACCAAGGATAAAATTGAACCACATCATGTACCTGATTGAAAAAAACATTGTTGCTTTGAAAGTGTCAATCAAGAATGATGACGCTTCATGGTATACATTCATTAGCACTTGGGAAATATAAAGTTCTTTCAACAAAAGTTTACGTTGTCGCGAGCTGCTTGATTACTTTGTTAAGGCATGCAGTTGTCTTTTTATGTCTTCTAAGACATCTTTTAGGTCCTATTCCCTATCTTATGATAATAATTTGAAGTTTACAGTGGTTGACATTACCTTCATTTTCAGTTGTTGGTTTTTAACAGTTCAGTTTGCCCACATGACTTCATTGTGTTGATTGTTCTTGAAGATTGCAAGGTTTAGACGATCACAAATTGGCAAAATAAAATCCAAGCAATGGAAGAACATAGCCAAGATATCTGAACCAGTTCTTATAATGGTATGTGCTTGATATAAGTCCTGCATTAAAATAATTTATACTAAAATATATAAACTTTTAATCAGCATTTCAATCCAAAGAGTATGCTGCGTCTCTTCTTTCTTTCTTGGTGTCACGCATAGAGAAGAGTGGGAGGCATCTGAAAAAATCTCTTAGGTGCTACACTAAATGCATTGGAGAATTTCTAAGTATTCTCTCTAGTGAAAATTGTGCATTGTATCAGCATAGAAAATGGTCTTTTTCAAGTTCAAATAAGAAACCCATTATTGCAGGTTAGAAAAATGGTTTTTGAGTTTTATGTTTGTACTAGACAATCTCCCAGTGTTAGCTGCAACTGCTGATACTGTGGGCTCCACAGCTTTACGTGCATTAAGCGTGGATAAACTTAAGTAATCCCAGATTGTTTATTGTGTTGTAGATTATAACCGGTACAGCCTCTGTATTTTTGCCTGCTGCATTCCCTTGCACCTCGTTTCAGTGCAGTTTTACATCTGAAGGGTTCAGGTAATGGTACTACCTTAATTTTTCCACATAGATTCAGTGCATTCTAGATCTCAACAATTTCAATAAAATTACTGGGAACATACATGTAACAGTTATCTACGTCAATTTTAAGGCTGTTTTTTTTTCTTTTGGCTTAATTTTGTCTGGATTTTTGCATGTGACCTTAAATCCAGACTGTCAAGAGACCATCAGATTGACATTATAGATTGCTGCTTTATAACGGATTTCTCTGAATTTCTAACACCCCAACCCTCGTTCTAACCAGCAATTTGCCTTGGCGACCTGTTGAACTTAATGATTACCCTCAACATAGGGGTCTGCAAACATTCTACCATAAATTTTCTTGGAGGGACCTTTTTCAGAGATTTTGGTCCCTATTCTCTCTGCTTGTTCATGAGCACCCAACGAGAATATAGTTCAAAACCACTTAACATAGCATATGTTGAACGTATTTTAGTATTTAAAAGGTAGATATAGGCATATTTTTATCCCCTAAAAATTTTTCATCTGTTCGGATTTCCTAGCTGAAAGTCTAGTGATCCGAAAATTATAGGGATCAAAACTTACCTTTTCGAAAATTTCAGCCAGGAAAAGGCTCCCGAAAATTCTAGGTGGCCTTTTTTAGGGTAAATATCCGTTTAAAATGGGTAATTATTCCATTTTGTAGATGTTCGAAACTCCTAGGAGAGGCAGGCAAGCAAGAAATTTTACAGCAAATGTTCCGAAAATTCTAGTTCTCAAATCGTCTTCCGAACAGATATTTTCCCGAAAATTGCCGTTGGGTGTCCCTGCTTGTTTGTAAGAAAAGTGAGGCCAGAAATTGGAGTGCAGAAGAAACAAATGAAGTGCTTGGTTAAGGAAACAGAGAGATAGCAGAGTCAGCGCCAGGCCTCTATTGACTCTCTCTATCTGTCACTGACTGAGGAAACATCGTTCTCTATAACTTTATTGACAAGGCTGACATTTCACAATGCCACCACTGGTTTCCCCGTGAAATGACGTCTGAGAAACAAGTTCAGAAATTAGGGACTTTAAGATCCAACGACGCGGACGATAACGAGAACGTCAAAAAAACAATTGGTTTAATTAGCAAAACAACAACTTCTCACGTGCATCACACTTTTTTGTACATTTCTATTCCGTTTTTGCACGACTACGACGTCAAAATGCCTAATTTAGCGTTTTGTGGAGGACGCAAACAAGCAACGACGAAATTTTATTTCTCTTTCTGAGCGTGAATTTGGACCCTTGAAATTCAGCTTTAGAAGGGTTCGCCTACAGTTGACAAAGTAAGTAGGTAGGAATAATTTTTAAGCGACGTTCTTGTCGCCGTCGCGTCGTTGGATCTTAAAGTCCCTATTGTATACTGATGACGCGTCACTACCCAGATCTAAGTAGTGCTTCTGATTGGCCATGCCCGCATGGGAAATTTGCTTCAGCCAATCAGAAGCTCTACCCAGATCTCCAGTGTGGAATATCTGCACTGCTCTCTCAGAGGTCATTTTGCGGGGAAACCAGTAGTGGTATCGCGAATGTCGGCTTTTTTTTCAGGCTAGTCACCAGGTTTAAAATTCATCTTCACATTCATATCATTGTGAACTTGCCACCTTAGTAATAGAGCATCTAGGCTAGAAACCAGGAGGTTATCAAGGATTCGACTCCAACTGGGAGAACTCAACTTCAACTTTATTTTTTAAAAATGGTATTACAGTAGACTGGCCCGCAAAATAGCAATTGCTAATCTATGCGGCCCAGTTAAAAGGAAAAATATAATGAAAGTAAAGGAAGGAAAATATTTTAAGTTACAATAGTTCTCATTTCTATCATAATTTTATTTTAATTACCATTACATCTAAGGAAAAACGAAAAAGGAATTGACAGAGAGCGAAAACCTTATAAATTTAACACAGAAATTACTTAACTGTCAATCCAACTTTTTAAATTATCAATGGCGTCTCAATATAGTCCTTTTCTCTTTTTAAGATATCGTAAAGCAATCCGTGAGGTACTTTCGCAAATTCCTTTTTCGGAGCACTCTAATACCACAAGGTATCTCATTCCAAAGTTTTACGCTAAAGCGAGACAAGGAGTTTTGTGTAACTTGGATTTTCTTCTGATTCGTCTGTGTCACTGATTGAAAAAAGATCACGCATTTTCAAATCCATGAATTATCACCATTGACCTTGGCTAAATTATCTAGGCAAATGTGCAGCCTTTCAAGCCCTTTGCTAATGCCCCATCTCTTGTAAGTAATATTGTCTAAGGAATGTGATGTTCTATCCTAGTGAAAAGTGTTTGACAAGCAGTCAGCATCCTCTGCACACTGAGAGAGACGTCAACAAATACACCTGTCCTGTAGGAATCACAAGTGTCATCAATGGAACAGAGTTTACCAACTCTTCCTTTAACGAAGGTAACCGGGGGTGGGGGTGGGGGGGGGGGGGGGGACTGGGTGACGAAAATGTAAAAGTAGAAAGTGAGGAGTGGGGTAGGGGTAATAAATTTGGTTATGAGCGAAAACATTTTGGACACAGTCTTTCAAAATTATAAAAAGAGGGTCGCAATAGGATCACATGAACCCTTGACGTTCTCGTTGTTGTCGCGGCCATCGTCGCTATAGCTCCCTATTTTAAAAAGTTAAAAGTTGTCTCTGATAAAAAGGTTTATGTGCAACGGGACCCTGCCTTAAAACACTTTACGTTAAATGGACGTGCTGAGGTTCTGTTCAAATCGTTTTGGGGGCAAATAAGCGGTACATTTGCGTTGAAGAATCTAAAACAGGAATCGGACTGAGAAAAAGACCACATGCAAAAAGGAAGGGTAACTCATTGATGCCACTTTTCCATTCCCCACTTCACTCCCCTAATTACTAGTGGTAGCTCATGGACGTCAATCGTGGTTTCTAATCATTGTGGGATGTATTTCTTTTCTTTTTTTTTCCTTTAGTTGCCACGTTGCTATTTGTAACTGGAGAAAAAGCCATTCATCACTTGTTTTCCAGGGATACACCTTATGAGCTGGGATATGCGTATGTAGCAATGATAATTTGTCTTAACGCAACCTTAGAGAAGACAATTATAAGTGGCCTCCAAACTCTCAAACTTGTAAGATTTTGCAAAAAATAATTCTCCTAACGTTTAAGCGTTATAGAGCAATTATCTCTCTAGCTATAGCTGAACATAAGCTCTTCTCTTTTACCTCATTTTGTTGTTGTTTTTTTTTCGAAAACTCGAAAAGCTTTTGAAAATAATTTCTCCCGAAATTATAAGTAACTTCACAGCTGTTTTTCTCTTTTCAAGCAGTTAAACTACTATCGTTGTGAAGTTCCCAATATTTCTCAAGATTGAATTTGGAATGTGCTATTGAACATTTAGTACTAAGTGGTTTTCCTGAGGGTGGACTTTACTATTGTGTCTGATAAAAGGAAGACAAATCTCATATTACTGTTTTTAAAAATTCTGTAAAACAAATGGCATCATGTTAAAGTACTGTTACTAGTAAAGAGGTTTCATTTGCATAGTCTCAGTCGACACCATGCTTTTTTTGTCACTTACTGTTTGTATGACTTATCTTGATCATTAATTCTGTGATTGAAGTTTTTAATAATAAGCAAATATCGCGCCGAACGTTGTTAATGGATTTTGCCTCCTTTTTTCAGGTCGCTGTTTACAGTTTTAGTAATCTACTTTCTGCTAGCGTGTTGGTCAGCTGGAACTGCTATCTCTAGCGGTTTGGTCGTGCCTATGTTGTAAGTACAATTACTGTGCGTTCAGGATGCATGGGAAACCTGTTCTAAGATCAGGAAGGGTAGCCTGAAGCCTACATGCACGATAATTCAGTTTTTTAAAGAAATTTGTGGCATTTTCCCAAGTTTTCAAAAGTAAAAACTGGAACTACCTCTTGGTCACGTGTACTTTGCTTTGAATTCTTATTTATGCCCCATTCATACCATTAGACGCTTGTAAAAGTTGTTTTGTTCAACACGGTTGAAATTGTTTCCTCCATAAAAACTTCCTAATGATTTTTGTCAGTTACAAATTTGGCACAATTTAAAGGCTGGAAGGCATAAATCAAAACTGAACTTCAAATCTATGTAAAAGGCAGTCGTTAAGTTTTCTTTTCCTGATGTTCATTTGTAAAAACTGGTTTAACTAAACATGCTTTGTTGGTGTGAGTAAGGCTTTAATTACTAGCTGTGTTATCTTACTAATCAAGCCTTAGGCCAACTCGTGGATTGCACGCTCTTATTTCCCCGCGTTTGCATTGATCCGCAGCTAAATGTACTTTCATTTGAGTTCTGATTGGTTACTGGGACCGTTTGCAGCTGTTGTTATTGGTCAGGTTGTCTGTGAACTTGCTTTGATTCTGCCCAGCTCAGTTCCGTATTAGTATTGTAGTACTCTATCTTGTCACCAATTCACGTAGGGATCTAATCTTTTTAGATTTATAGGTGGGACTTATGGACGGATTATTGGAAGAGCTATGGTTGACATGTTCGGTTTTCACTCAACAGGTGTGTGGCCTTTAAACGAGCGTGCTTGTTCCCGCCTACTTGAGAAAACAAGAAAAGATATAGCCTGCGTATATAGTCGCCTCTCATCGCGTTGCAGCGATTTTTAACCCTTTAAACCGTACCACCAAAATTTGAATTCTCATTTGTTGCCCCCATTCATTTCTTACAGAAGTGGTTGGGAGAAATTGATAAAATATCAAGCAAATTCATTTCGGGATTTTTTTGGGTGGGAAAATTTTGGCAAGTATTTTATTGGTAGCTTGATTTAAGAAGAGGTTTTTTGGCTATTCGAAACTAATGTTTCCGTTTTTCGGGTTATATCATGTAATGCTTTCTGAAAATCTTTACGGCTTGGAAATTCGGCAGGGGATTTTTTTGGTGTTAAATTTTGCTCCAGGGATTTCTTGGGGGTTTTATTGGAAGCTTTAGGGATTTTTTGGGTTGTCACCAAAAATCCGGATTACACCCCCTCCCCCTGGGGGTGTTGATAAATTGGATAAGTTAAATGAACAGAACTGCACGAGGGACTCTCGTATGACGTACAATGCAAAGCGAATTTATTACGAACTAAAACTAGATATTCTTCTCTTCACTCTGATTGGTCAATAAGACGAGCCTTTTTGACTCGTTAAGTCATTTTTGATTGGAATTCGAGCAAAACTTGTTTTGATCGTTTTAACTTTCAAATGATGGCGGATGAAACTATTCATGAACGCGCTAGGGAAACAAAAATCGTACTTTTGTAAATTAACATGACATTCCATTCGTTGCCTATGACCTTCGGGACAGCAGTTTGCACTTACAAGAAGTCCCCTGTGCAACCCCTAAAGAAGCGGATTTGAAAGTAATCGTATGTTCCGGCTGACTTTGTATTTTTACGTCAGGTTACTGGGCGTGGATGGATCCAGGGGCCTTTGCGCTTATCGGTGCGGCATCATTTTTTGGTGGAGTGTCAAGACTAACCATGTCGTTAACAGTGATTATGGTAGGTTAAAATATCAACAAGGACGGTTTAAAAGAACTAGAACAGTCAAAAACAGAAAAGAATCAGCTCTTAATGGGCGATTCGTTTTCTTTCAGTATTATTCATTTAGTATATTTCTTCGTTTCTGATTGGCTCAAATCCCTCGGCTAATTCTTCATGACAAGTTGTCGTTGACCAAATTTGGAAGAGTTTGTGATAACCAGGAAAATGACATCAGCAGTACAGGATATGGGGACGAGGTTACGTTTGCTTAGGCTCAGTTCAAACGTCGATCTTTTCATGTAGCGAACCTAATCCCTTCAATTTAGAACATGAGGAGATCGACGTTTGAATCATATCCGATCTACGTTTGAATCATGTTCGACCTATCATGAATTTCTTGTCGACCCATCAATTAAAATCGAGTGGCCCACATGGGAATTTCGACTGTGGAGTGATTTCGTTTCAAACGTCGAACTTCTCATATTCCGAACCTAATGCGTAAATTACTAAAATTTGTTTTCACTAGTTAGCAGTTTAGACCATTGTACATCGTGGAAATGAATTGTTTCCGACCACTTAAGTTCGACGGTTGATCATGTGAGTCGACCTAATTAGGTATTAAGTTCGGTACATGAAAAGATCGACTTTTAAAGTAATCCTTAGCTGCTTTGGTAGAGCTGGAGAAAATGGCGGAAATGTTGACACGTTTTTCGAACAACAAAATAGCCAACCTGCGGCTAAATATTTTTAAACTTTCGTGACCAGTGCTAGGGCATTTCAAAACTAAATTTAGGGTTATTTCGTGAAGCTACCATCAAGCTACTATTAGGAATTGTATTTCTTACAAATTCATTGGACTTTCAGATGGAGATCACAAATGACATCCAGTTCTTGTTACCGATCATGGTCGCCATTATGGTAGCGAAGTGGGTTGGTGACTTTGCCACTCATCCTCTTTATCATGCATTGCTGGAATTGAAGTGCATTCCCTTCCTTGATTCGGAACCTGTTATTCTTCACGAGGGATCACAAGCGTAAGTCGCTATAATTCATTAATCAAACGTAAGTGCAGCACCTTATAAGTCGCATGGCTCTCAGATTGTCCCCATTCTCTTTCCTCTCACGCATTGGTTGGTTTTCAGTAAAGTGATGTTACACTGGACGATTCGCATCGACGATTTTTATCGCAACACAAGGTTGCAACATTGTTGCGACATTGTTTCGAATAGTTATAACATTGTACCAATATTGCGACGCTGTGTTGCGTTAAAAATCGTCTTTGCGAATCGTCCCGTGTGTAGACTACGAGCAGTCTCTCTTTTTTCTTGGTCTGTCGAGCAAAACGCCCGAGACACGCAAATAACCACGCGCGTGACTGAAGGCGCGAGACGGGAGAGGCTGCCGCCCTCGTTTCTCGCGTCTCGCGGCGTTGCCACTCAACGCTCGCGCGCGCCTGCAGTCCCCTTGCTAAATCTGAAGAAAAAGAGAGGCTGCTCGCAGTCTATCCCGTGTGATATCACCTTTAGGGAGCTTAAGGAAAGGCGTTTTAAATAACGCACGTCCGTCCACCGGAAATGGACTTTTTACATTCATGAGCAGCGGTTTTTCCCAATACTTCGGACCAATCGTTTCTATAAGAGTGAAGAAACTTAGCAAGATAAGTTGGGTAGCGTCAGGGCATATTGAGAGGGAAAAGGGCTCACATTCGGTTGATGTGCGTGGCACAGTCAACGCCTTTGCTTAAGGCTGCGTGCAAACGGACGCAGCAACTCCCAACATTGTTGCGCAACAATGTTGGGAGTTGTTGCGTGCGCGGTGTTGGCAGTGATGTGCAAACGAATGCAACAACTCCCAACAATGTTGGGACCTGCAGTGCGTCGTGGGAAGGATACAACCCATAAGTCTTTGTTCCATGCGTAATTAGCATGCGTGGCCCCAGCAATGTTGGAAGAGCTGTGCAAACGGATCCAACATTGTTGCGCCACGCTTCGGCGATCACGGAACAAAAGAAATGTTGGGAGTTGTTGGCTGAAAAGTTTGACCGGTTTCAAACTCTGCGCAACAACACGCAACAACAACCAACAACATGTAACAGGGTGTGCAAGCGGACGCAACATGTAACATCCAACAATTTTGGGAGTTGTTGGCCAACAATGTTGCGTCCGTTTGCACGCAGCCTAAGCTGCCTGTTGGTGAACTTTCACCTTCAAACGACACATGATCGTACCAAGCTCTCTCAGTATTCTCATGTGTTTTCCCGTGCGTAATTATGACGCGACGACATTCAATGCTTTAAATTCTGATTGATTCCTCGAATTTTCTGAGTTTGCTGTACATGGCCGAAGTGGTGAATTCAGTTTTAGATTGGTTTTTAGAGATTTGGTTTCAGTTTTAGACATTCGGCGAGGTTTTATATTGACTATGAAGGCAACATTCAGAGAAATACCACTTATAAACGAGTCTCGTTCTCTCTAATCCCTCATTTCCGAGTTGCCTCAAGGCTCTGTTTCAAAGCGAAGCCTACTTCCAAGGCGTTAATATAAAAATGATTTTACATTCCCATGCAAATAAATCTCATTTCACAAGAAAGGCATTGCAAGTGAGAGTTTTTGGAACTCTTGTTAAAGTTTGTGATTCAAGGAAATTTCCGGGTTGCGAATTCGAGTTGCAAATTCAAGTTCATAACGGCAAATGAATATTAATAAATATTGTCATGCAGAGAGCGAGACATAAACGTAAAAACCAATACAAAGCAAGGCATGATCTACTCATCAATCACGTTTTTGTTTCCTTCTTCGCGCCGCTTTCCCTTTGTTATTATTAAAACGTGCTAACAGAAAAACTCCACCGACATTTTTCTTGTAAGCAACTTTCTTTGCTCTTTTAGGATTAATTTGGAGTTGTTTAAAGCTGGAGATGCCATGTCGTCGCCGGCCATTGTAAGTTTAACAGAATTAACTCATACTTTTTTCTTATTGGAAACCGGAAATTGCTGTAAAAACTTTTACATAACTTCATGCCTGAAAAAGGTTAAAAATACAGTAAACACCCGCATATAAGAACATATGATTTCGGGGTTCAGGCTGATCTAGTTCTTATTTATCTGGTGCTTAGTGAGAAATCAGCCTGAAGATGTTCTTAAACTTTGTTTATTAAAAATAATAATAATAAATTCAGATAATTTATTACATGTATTTGACATTGATATCCTTCAGCTAGTTGCAGCATAATATGATCCTCTGGAGCATAAAATTCTAAAGACACGCGGGCAACTGAACGTGTTGTAGTTGTGTAATTTTCTAGTAGCAACCATTATAGTTACATTGCTTTCTTGTTCGAACACCCTCCCCCTCATTGTATAAGAACATGTTTTATTTGCTAGGCTGAACTAGTTCTTATATATATGGTGCTTTTTGGGCCAAATTTCAGCCTAATGTTCTTAATACATTTGTTCTTATATGCGGGTGTTTACTGTACTAGAAAGATATGCAGAAATCCAACGGTCACGTGAGTTTTAAGACTTTCTTTGCATATTATTTCCAAAAGTAAACAAATCATTATACGTTTCTGGGAACCACCCCTAAGCCACCATTAACACTTACTTCTCACTAAGGTCAAAATGTTGGCTTTGAGGAGGGGTAGGTGGGGCATTTTCCCAGGGCATCCTGAAGTGATGCACTGATCAGCGACCATCCCAGGGGCACAGGCGGGTAGGGTGCGGGTTTTGTTAACTGTTGTCGCCAGTTTTAGTCCGGGATGGTCGGGAGTCAATCACTTAATTGCACTTTTCATAGTGTTTAAGAAACTTGAGGAGACTTTTGGAACTATATACTTACACAGGGTCCTCTTCTTCGCTGCATATCTGAAGGATTCAATTCCTCACACGTTCAGGAACTAATTCCTTGAAGTTTGCATTTTCTTTCAGGTTGTTCACAAAATCGAGTCAGTGTCTCGACTCACTCAGCTTTTGCAAGATACCCCTCACGGTGGGTACCCTGTGGTGGTGAAAACTGACAGAGAGGATGAGGTGTTCTCGGGTTTAATATCCCGGTAAGTATTTCCCTATCCAGTCCTCCTTCCCGGTAATTTCCTCTAACCCCACCCCCCTGCCCAAATTCTCCCTTCTCACTACTCCCTCCTCACTTGTGTTACGTACTAACATCTCTCTTTCCGCGCGCGCTGCATGTGAACTGTCCCCGGAGGACTATAGCCTTGTCGTGAGCTGCTTTTTTTCCCTGTAACTATGGGTGAGAGGAACTGAGTTTAATGTACACAAATTTGGGTAACCTATGCTAGCGAATAATGCACTTACAGGCACAGCGCGTTACATGTCTGGCAACGCAAAGAAGAGGTTTCACCTCCTTCCTTTGAGGGGTACACATGTATCTTGTTGGTCAAAAATGAAATTGAGGTTAAAAAAAATTTGACCAGGTTGATTTTCGTTATTCTTTTTTTCTAACCCAAATTATTGCAAATTATGAAAGGGAGACAAAGGAAGCTGATAATTAAATTACGACAAAAAAGTTAATTCAAATTTGATTTTGACTTTAAACATTTATACTCTGTTAGTTATTTATGGTCGCTTTATGCATCACAAAATTTATTTCGTTTCTAAGGTGGATTAATATTGCCAATGTCCACTTCTGTTGTTGCCTTTTAGAAACGACATCACGGTTCTCCTGTCTAGGGAAGATATATTTTCCTCTCGAGAGAATCTATCTGTGTACGAAGAGGAGTTGGACGTAAACAGACTTGACTACTATCAAGTGAGTACGGCTGTTAAAAAATTTGTTGCTTTCGTTGTTTGAGGTGAAGAGTCGAAGTTTTTACGAAACTGTAGTCTGCACAGTGGATGTCATTAACGTTTTAGGGCCTGTTTTAAAGGAGGTGGGGGACCCCAGGTAGGTGAGGTTACCCGCTTAGGTGGGGTAACCCGCCTGTTCGTATAATCTCTCATTGTAATTTGATCACGTTTACGTGATAGGTGGGGTGACCATATGAAAGATTGTACGGACCTTCATGTAAACAGGCCCTTACACTAAAATCCCAAACGTTGATCCACCCTTTTTAGCGTGGGGTTTATCTTTTTAATCTGGAATTAGGAAAATCACACGGCATCAGTTTAGTAAAATTGGTGACTAATGGAAGAGGTCTCCATCTCTTTCTCTAAACGTCTGACACGATTTCACCTGTGCATGTGCATCCAGGGTTAAAGTGCGAAAAAACGGGCACCAAAAACGTGCAACTTGTTTTGCAACATTGCTGCAAAACGAATTGAAAAGCGATGTTGCGCGTTTTACCACCCACTAATCAAACCTGTCTTGCAACAATTCAAGTTGTTGCAGGTTAGGAAAAAAGTTGTTAAGGAAAGCAGAGAGTAGTATACTTTTTGCAACAAAACCTTTATATGTTGCGCGTTTTACCGGCAAGGCAAACGTGTTTTGCAGCGAGTGACCCACGTCCTGTGTATGGCCTAACTCCCGCGTAATTTTGTCCAATCAGTAGTCAGTATTCACGCTATTTGCGACAGCCTGATTTGTTGCAAGACAGGTTTGAACTTGGGTGATAAAACGCGCAACATCGAGTTCAACACCTTCTGTAGTGATGTTCCATAACAAGTTGCCCGTTCTTGTTGCCCCTTTTACCGTAGCTTTATTTACCTTGACAACTCATATGCTTTCTTCGCTGTGAACTCGGAATTATAGCTGAATGGACTTGGAAAAACGTGACCTTGAGTGGAATTCTGACGGAAGTTTTGTGTGAACTCCTGTTTATTAGCTGCCTCCTTACGCTATACAAGAGAGAATGATCTGAACGAAAAACATTCCCGGAAAAAGAGAAAAATGTCTTGCACATTTGCATAAACAATTGAAGCCAGCCACTGTTAAAGGTTTCGTGTTTCGCGCGGGATAACCTTTGCCTTTGGCTTTCACGGTGTGTCAGAATTCAACGTTCGTTACTTTAAATGGCTACCAGCCGTTAGAAAATCTCAATCTTTAATCTCATAGTGAAATTCTGAGTCCAATATTGCAATCCCTTTGTAAATGAAATTCATTCCTAAATTATCAGCGGAACGTCCAGTTCAAAAACATGTCAACAACAGGAGCCGATTAGTATCGGCTTCTAACGCTAATTACTATAATGGCTGTCAAACTTCAAATGTTTGGCGGCGAAACGTGTCACGTTCACGTGAAAGTAGACCACGCGGGTCACGGAAACAACAGACAAAAATAACCTTCGCAGCACGCACTTTAAATAGATTTAAAAAAATCATTATGGGGCACAGGGATTCGCTCTCTTAGCTCATTCTCTCTTTCTCTATATGAAAGTCTATAGCGTTTATTTCTTTGCACTTGGTGGTTTAGTGATAATATGAGCGAAATCCTATTGATTAAGTATTGATCTCTGCTTCTGCATGGTTGTTATTTAGTTACCTGTTAAAAAAGAATTCTTACTTATGATATGTATGCTCTTGTACGCCAAACACTGAGGTTTCTCTTTTTTTTTTAGATGCACCAAGGATACCACAAGGATGCTGATCGATTGAACTCTCAGTTAGATCTTTATGCAGAAAATCCGCGTTACCAGAATTTATTCATCGATCTGGTAAGAAGCGATACTGGAAAAAAAAAAATACACAGTATTTTCCCCATGTAGCAATATCAAAAGTTGGGGAGGGGTGAGTTAGTGCCAGGTTTACACGTCTCTCATATTCAGGCCACACAGTAAAGTAAAGTTCAAGCTGGTCAAAACAAGAACGCTCTTAAGAGTGGCAAGTCCCGCTTGCTTGGACCTTAGATACGAAATGTGGAGGCGATTAATTCTACACGAAACAGGATTTCCCCGCGTAAAGTTTTTCACTTCCTACTTCATCGACGGTCGAGTATTCTTCAGGTTATTTGCTTTTTATATGGTATTCGACGATTTATACGCGTGTATAAATACACGAAAATCAATTCGAGAGAAATTACATCATTGCTAGAGAGCAAAAACGTGATGAACATGGCGCGTCATTTCAATCATCCCCCAAAATAAACCCCATGCTCATCACAAGACTCATCTGCATTCAACTAGTATATTTGTAATAGTTGACGTGTAGATGTTTGTCACGTTTCTGCTCTTTGGCAATGATGTAATTTCTCTCGAATCGAGACCCTTGATTCTCGTGTATTTACACACGCGGACTTAATCAAATGACCCTTCCACGGTTTTTTTCAACTTTTTACATAGACCAGTTGGGGACGGAAAAGCCGTTGACACCACCCCGGATAGAGCGTCTTAGAATTAATAAAATTGCCAAATTTGAAAGTGATAGGTCTTAAAGGGACAGGTTCACAGTTCAGCGCATGCTCAACCATCAAAATGCTGTTTTTCCGTCGGGACATGCTGTATCGTCGATGCAAGCAATATGATCATGTCATAACGTTGTCAAAGAACCAATCTGCACACTCCCCTGGCAGTCACTTGCACTTGATCAACTTAAATATTTACAAATAGCTGTAAATTAATCAACCATGGAATAAAATCTTCGGGTCAACAATAAATTCAACTTTGGTAGTGTTGGCATAATCCACTAATTTTTTCTGCGATTTTAGTACTCCTCCATCCTACTTCAGGTTACTCTGAAATACAATTCTACTTTGAAATACACTCTGAGATTGCTGAGATAGATGTGAGTGGGATTTTTAACCGATAGAATTAATAAATTGGAAAGAAGTAATTTAATTAATGAGCATACTCTTAACCGTGAACCTGTCCCTTTAAGTGAGCGTATATGTACGAATATTTATTAAAAGACAAAGGAACAAATTCTCCTGGGAGCTTCATTGGGAAAAAAACTTATAAGCTATAGAGAGGTCTATTAAGAGATTCGATTAATCGACAAACAGAGAGCAGACCTGGTGCTGTAGATGTCCGGTGTAATTCCTTCACTGATTCCTTTTTCAGATTTGTATAGGTAATAGCATGATTTGTAGTGATATTTGGCATAAATATCACTAGTGATATTTTCAAATTGTTGTACGTAAATTTGAGACAATTTTGAAATACCGCGAGCTGTATTTATGCCAAATATCACGTACAAATTATGCTATAATTTGTTTATACTACTACCCGCGAAAGGTTTGTAATTTTCACGTGTAGTTAATTTTCACATGTAGGTATTTCAGATTAAGCTGAAATACTAAGCCAATCAAATTGCAGAAATTTCTCACGTAGTAGTATAAGAATTGAAATTGACCTGTATGTAACTTCTTGTATTGTTTGCAGTCACCTTACGTGAATCATTCCGCTCCCTCGGTACAAGAGACGTTCTCTCTTCACAGGACCTACATCATATTCAGGACACTGGGTTTGAGGTATGTCTGTCTACTGAGGATACTAACACTGATAATGAGATGAGCGAATTTTAAGGACGATACCTTCGGATACAGAGCTATTACCGTATATTTGTCATCGTGGCCAGGAAAATTGGTATTGGTTTGGGGTTGGAGGCCGGGGCCGGACTGTCAAAATAATTAAGATGACACCCAAACAAGGGAGGACCCAAGTTATTTAACAGATATACCAATGATGGTATATTCACAAAGATTTTGCTAAGTTATTTCTAAAAACTGTTTTCTCCTTTAGTAACAAATTTCGTTAAACATAAACTAAATTCTGTTAATGACCACGCCTCTCGGCAAGAACACTGCGTGGGCTGATAAGCTGTTGTTGACTATCACTTGAGACATAGACTGTTCACAGTCCTTTTTAAGATCGTCGAGATCGAACGCTTTGCGTTACGGGCGGCCATCTTGGGTGAGTGTCAAATATACTTTGGGGGAGTGGGACCGCCACCCCTTTAAACCCCGACGCCCGCCCCCTTGGTACATATGAAACCAAGATGGCTGTCGGACCGGTAGGCGCTCGTCTACTTGAGTCAGTGTAAACAGAGACGGGTTTGACCCACTTTTTCAACCTTTCTTTTTTACCAACAGGCATTTAACAGTCGTTGACGAGAGAAACAGGTGTGTTATAGTTTCTTTTATGGCTTTCTTCCGTCATGCTTGTTTGCTTTAATGAAGACGTCGCTGCTCGCTCATGAGATCAAACTAACGTGACGAGAACAGCAGTAATAGCGTCACTAGTAAACGAAGTTCTGCTCCTTAAGACTTCTTCGCGAATCCTCTCTTGAACTCGCTCAGTTTGTCAAAGTAGGCGAATTTCGCTGGAATTGCATAGTAAGGGATCGTTCCAACTTCAAAAGGAAGAGTCCACCTCTCTTTAGTTTCTGAGCTTTTGTGAGAATTGCTGTGTGTGAAAAATACATAAGTTCTTGATTAATAATTCCTTTACTCCAGGGTCAGGGGAATAATAACCCGCAAAGATCTCATGGGATTCCAAATGGAGGAACGTATCCACAAATTCCTTCACTCGTCCCGGGACCATGAAATGCAGTCACCGAGTTCGTTACTAGGGCACCGGCCAAGCATGGACGCTTAAAGTGAGTTCGAACCTGTCACCTCTTTTGCTTATTTGTCGAGCGGTGTTACGTGGCCTTGCTTACTTCCAGCGTACCTATCTCAGTTAGAAAATTCTTCACTTTTTATGAGGAAAATCATGCGTTGAATACAAATGCACTTGTATCTAATATACAGTGGTGATAGACGTCGCAAGTAGTTTTGGTATTATATGGTACTTATGACATACCTATATAAAATCGTAATAGAAAAACATTTATAAGGTATAATATTATATAAATTATTAGTGGAATTAATCAAATTTAGATTTTGGTGAAAATACAGTCGACTCCCGATAACTCGAACCCTTGCTAACTCGAACCAAAATCGATTTTCCCTGTATTTCCATTGTACATTTACTGTAATTTTACCCTCGGTAACTCGAAACTCCCGCTAACTTTTATTTCCCTTCAGATCATTTTTACGTAACTTTACCCTCCCTCGATAACTCGAACCATACTTTAACGCCTGACAAGTCGAAAAAAGTGTACTGCAGTCCGAAACATTGAAATTATTTTGACATCCATATATTCTTTGTCTTTTCTTTTTGTCAGTTCAGTTTAAATACAGTGTCCAGCACTGTGTATTAATCAAGTTTTGAAGTCTGCATGTTACTTGCTTTCATTCCTCATCCCATTTCTTTTTTTTCCGGTTATTTGCTTCGAACTCCCGCTAACTCAAACCTTTTTCGATTTCCCTGAAGGTTCGGGTTATCAGGAGTTGACTGTACTTGTATTCTTGTGTTGTTCAAAATTTTTCTTTAAAGTGATGTTAAATTCCTACAAGTATGACGCACCAATTAAAATAGAAATCAGAATTGCTTATTGAAAAGAAAGAATGAACAGAAAAATCAATTTAGTTGTTATCTTATCTGATTAATTTTAGTTTATTTTAAACGATTAGTCCATAAATTTCAAAAATATTTTCCATAGATCGTTTTTTAATGTATAGGATTCTACAAATGTCCAGTAAATAAGAAAGAAATTGAAAATATAATTTAAATTTTGCCCAATCATAGGCTTGTTTTATTCGTTTATAATTGGTCCGTTATGCAGCCATGAGGTCGTTCAGTTTCGCAGTGTGTCCCACCATATGTACTAAAATATCACTGCGCTTATAACCCTTTTATCTTTTCGATGCAGCGTTGTTTGGGAGCAATGCGTATTATCGATCTTAGGCAGCGTTAAACAGATGATGCTTTGACCCGCTTTTTGCTTAGGCGCGGAGTTTTAACGAGTTTTTCCTCAAGGTATTTACTTAAGCGGTGGTTAGTATTTTGTTTGCCAGCACTGTCATCGGCCATCCGGTAAAACAACTGATGAGATCTGCCGAAATAAGTATTTACCGCCACTTTGATTCTCGCAACCGCACAAGCTACGAAAAAGCAGCAAAGAAGTACCATTTTTGGGTGAGAGTTGGTCAATGGTTTTCGAAGGCGGTTTTAACGTGATGTTTAGATACTTACCACCTCTAAACTTGAGAGAGCCACGTTCTCATTGCGGTTAACATTTCAGTGGTTAGTCCGGTGCTTATTTGATGAACGCGCTTTTTTCGAGTAAAATCTAAATACGTTTTTGTACTCAGGCTCTCTTTCATTTTACTTATGGAGCGGTTTGCGTCGCGTGTTGCCTACCACTCTTGCCTCACACTTCAGAGAACTGAAGTAACAAACGCGTCGCGCGACAATGTTGCTACTGAAGAGGGTGATCTTGTTATTATGAGAAAAATGGTTTTAAGGCGGGTTGTTATCTTTTGCTTTGCTAACCAAAACAATGGTGTCTTCTGTTATCGTTGGATTTTGGATTCTGTGGTATATTTTTTGACAACAATGTATATCTGATCCAATTCTCCCCTTTCAAAAATTTCAAACTGAATTCTACATTGTTTCTTTTATTATTTATTTTGACTTTCCTTGAAATTGTACATCCTTTATCCGCTGGCGATACTAAATTTATGCTTTTACTCTTTAAACTTATAAACGAAGTAGCTTCCCTCCCTTCCAACCCCACTCCAGCAGTTCTTGGAAGGTCCGTATTTGTCGTATGTCTTCCAGGCGTCCACTCCACTCCAACATTCCCCATAAAACTGGATACCAAATATGGCAAGACCACGCCTCTGGACTAGTTCCGCGCATGCTCTCACTGTTTTAGTCATGTCGTTCCAGTCAATGTATTTCCGAAGGTTTTCAACGAGCAAAGGAAGAGAGCGAGGCCTGCTGTCTTTGAAGCATCCAAGCGACTCGAACTCAACTGAAAATGATAAAAAGGGAAAGAAAAGAAAGTGGTGTGGTGGAGGGGGGTGGGGGTGGGGTGTTGAGAAAGACGGGTGACGGGACCTCCCATTTTTCACTTGTGTTCAAAACCTCATAAAAAAATCACAATCATAGCGTGACATTCGGTACGTGATTTGCGCGATATTCGTGTGCGAGATTCCTCATTTGATTTGACTTTTGAAAGGTCAGCTGTTTTTTCATCAAGTATTCTGTAGCGTTCCTCTAACTTCTGTTCTCTACGAGCCGCTTCTGTGATACATTAGCCTTTCTCACTAGTAGGGTGTATTTTGTTCTAAATTAGACTTGATTTGTATCATAACGTGAATTTTACTTTAGATTTCCCTTTAATCTCATTCCCAAATCTCTTCTGGGGTCGACGAACAAAACGAAGGCCTTCACTGTCACGCGCAAGTTTGAGTCCCTTTAATCACATTCCATCCAAAACTGACATCCTTCTGGGGTCGAAATGTTCGAAATTTAAAGAATGAGTAGGATTCGTACTCGAAGGCCTTCAATATATCACCCTAACCCACGCCCAACCCTACCTTGTGTACGAATCAACCAGTTTGAGGAATCAAGTGTAGTTGTTATAAAAGAAAGTAAAATAATAGAATTTAAACTGTGCGTCTTCGCTAGCGCAGAACATTTTAACGACATCACAAAAGTATACAAGCGGAATACCTGAACAGTCTTTCGGGTTGCAAGCTCTAGTCTCCACACTCGGCCCATTGCACGCTCCACCACATGCAGACGCGTTGGACTGTATTGACCCAATACACATGCGCATGCGCTCTTGTACACCGGAACCGCACGACTTGCTGCATTTGCTCCAGTCTCCCCACCTGCTCCACCCCAAAAATTCTACAAGGGAATCGACAAATTAACCTCTATGCATGACAAATAAACAGGAAAGGATCGTCCTTTTTGCTACTTAAATTATATCAAATATCAGTTTAAAGAACATCTGCGTTCCCCTTTTTTCTTATTGCCAATAGAATGTTCCATCCTTAGGTTATTAATTTGTGGGAAGTCAGACAGTGAAGTTGACAACCTGACCATTTAATTATATAGGTCCTGGTTAAATGTTAATATTGACCTGTTGTAGACAATTTTTGAGTCTGTTGGCAAAACCCTACCATGCGACATTTAAACGAAGACTCCAATCTTTGAAAGGACTCGCTTGATACTTTTTTACGTTCATTATTATTTTAGAGGGTAAAAAGATGTTTTGTTGAAGCGTGTCTTTGGTTATTGCTAGGATGTGGCAGAGAAGTTGTGAAGGGGAGGGTGCTATATGGTCGGTCGAGTAAGTCTGATCAAACACAAAAATCTGGTCGATAAAGTAAGTTCAGAATCACCTAGAAGGCCTTGGAAAAGTTATATCCTGAGTTACTCCCTTGTCTTAATAGTTGATCTGATGGCAAGCAACTAGCTTTGGTGATTCACTACGCTCTATGTAACTTAAGGTTGAACTAAAATATACTCTCTTCGCCTCCATCGCTGTTTTGTTTTTTTTCGTGTGACACTCAATTTGCTTTCACCATTTCAACTAGAATTTTGGAATTGTAAAGAATATTGAAATCAGTTTAACTGGATTTGATATTTGAAATTATAATGATTGAAGTCGATCGATGTCAGTTCTTAACACAAACTAACAAACCTGTTTCACAGCAATCGCCAATGTAATTTAACGGACACGAGCAAAACCATCGATTCGGTATCCCTCCATTGCGACAAAATCTGTTGCATGGCCGCCATTCCTTTGGTAACACATGTGTGCACGATCCATTTGGACAAGATGACGGATGATGGACGAGCCTAGTTCTCGACTGGTATCCTTTTTTTCCGCAAGGAGACGAGCATGAACCCCATTGAGTCCACTGGCTTGTTAAACATTCTTTACACTTTGGTACTTCACACAACCAACAAGGTGTTTTAAATGACTGCGAGGAGCTTTCAGCGTAGTTAGCGTCGAGACTTCCTCCTTCGCAGAAATGCGGCGAAGCGATGGTGAGCAAAACTGTTAGAACCAGACAAGGAATCATTTTTTTTAAATCAAGGTTTCGGTGGGAAACCCTCTTTGTTTTTTAATATGAGAGAGATGAAAATATCTTCAATTTGTTCAAAGCTCTTTCTTTCCTAGACCACTTAAAGAATTGTTTATTTTTTGGACATTTCTTTCAATGTAACAATTAATTTTTTCATCATTATTAGATATTTGGCAAGATCAAACAAATCATACATTTTGGAACATTAGTGACCTGGGTTTTCCCTGGAGTCGGAAATGACCTGTCGGAGTCTGGCAGTTCTCTGAGTCTTTTGCCTTCGCCCTGAGCAAATATAAACCTCCGAACGCAACGGTTGTTTAGTACAAAAAATAATATTTCCATACCCGGGTCAAGATCCCGTTTCAAACGACAGTTTTTATTGTCTCTCTACTAATATAAAATACGTGTTTATTTCTACTTTAATTTATAAAATGCGCGTATGTCTAAATGGATGTATACGTGTTTCTGAAACTAAATAATGTAGTAACGGTATTTGAAACAAGCTGTGAATAGTAAATTCAGTGCAAAACCTATATTGCTTATTTAATGAAAAGTTGTAAATTAGTCAGACGATCTAAGTAAAATTGATTCTCCCTGTTCCTGAACTGGCCTCAATGGAATTTCTTAGCTTAACCTAAAGAGAAGAAGAGAAAAAAAGAATACATTTAATGTAAAAACTAGTGAAATTCGCCGTGGTGAATCAACACGATGACAGGGGATAAAACAGGTGGACTTTCCTCCCAATTGATATCAAACTCTTCATTACCCACCCAGCCCATGAGATGTTGATCACTTCACCGGGTTCTAGGTCCCCTGCTCTTTACGAACAGCAGTGTGGATTCTTTTACGTCATACCAGTGAAAGTGCTGTGAAACGGGACCCTTGGATTTGAAATAAAGGCAGCACATTCTTCTCAGTTATTTTAAGACGGTGAGGGTGGGTCCGAGAGGGACTGGAACACGGGCCCACTGCTTGGAAGTCTGGCCCTGGTTGTTCAAAGGCTGGATAGCGCTATCCACCGGATAAAAATCTATTTAGTGGATAACACAATTGGTTTCCCTAATACGTATCCGCTGGATAGTAATTTCTCCGATGGACAGCGCTATCCAACGTTTGAACAACCAGGGCCTGGGCGTGGTGTACAACGGTACACAGCACGGATTGAGCTTCCAGTCGGCGGTTTAATAATGTACTTGATTAAAGTTTACTTTGTAACACAGCTACCCTGTTTGGACCCTTAGTTAAGTGCTGCAAAGGATGTTTGGTTGGTTGTTATTCAAATGTGTAGCGAGTAAAACGAAAGAATCTTGTTTCAAGAACGAATGCGCTTCTTGTTGGCACATGAAATATCAATATGTGACGTAAGTGCGATTATCGCTTGGCCAGTGGTCTAGTTTGTGTAAGTTTTTTATGTGTTTTACATTACTACCCTTGAATCTGAATTGAAATACTTTCAACTAGACAAAATTGAGGTAGAAAATTTTAGAGAGCACAGTGGTTGTTTTGCCCACTGCGCAGAGAAAAGGTGGAAATTTTGAGTGATGTAGCAGCCATCTTAAGGTCTCCTCTGATTGGCTAACAGCTTATTCCTTTGTTATATTAATTTTTATATGTCCCTTTATAATTTTTCAACCTGAGATGATGTTTGATAGTTGATTGTAATCAAACTAGAAGGTTAATTTAAATTTCATACTAGAGATTGTCATTCTAAGACTTAAATGGAAAGCAAGCATTTCGTGCAGAGAGCTTGACACATAAAGAGACGTATTCAACGTATTTATAAGATAGCCTGCCTAGCAGGCGTCGTCCAAAACTGAGAAGAGGAAAGGCATAGGGAGAAAGGGGGGAAAGAGAGCCTTTCTTCCTACTCTCTCATTCTCCCCTTTTTTCGCCTGTCACAGAGACCAGCATTCTACAGGATTTTCATGGATTTTAAGGGTTCAAGGATTTCACGTTGCGAGGGTTTCAAGCGTTTCAAGGGTTTCAAGCGTGACAAGGGTTGTTGTAAAGCGTTACAAGGTGTTGTTGTAAAAGGAAAGGAAAGTAAGAAATAATGATGCTCCCTGTGTAACACCAGAGATAAAAAGGATGATGTTTGAGAGGGACAAACTGAAAAGGGCTGCAATTATCAACAATTCAGATGCTCATTGGACCGAGTTTAAGATTGCTCGAAACAATGTAGATGCTAATATCAGGAAAGCAAAAACTAACTACTATAAAAGGTATTTCGAAACAAATCTAGAGGATATTAAGAAATCATGGAAAGGAGTAAATTCAATATTGAGCCGAAATTTACCAACAACTGAAATAAATAGAATAGATGTTGGAGATAACTCAAGTACTAACCCATTAGAAATCTCTAATGCTCTTAATTACCACTTTACTCACATTGGGCCTAGGTAAGCCGATAATATTCCCAAAGCTAGTGTTTGTTTCGAGGACTACATTACACCATGAGATTCTAGTTTTACCCTAAACGAAACTCACTGCGGTGTTGTTCACCGTCTAGTGAGTTCCCTCCGAGTCTACAAGGCTACGGGCCTAGATGGTATTTTTTCGAGGCTTTTGAAAGAAGCTTGTCCTGAAATCGTGCCCTGTCTCACCCCATATGATTAACCTATCCATTAGGTGTGGGTATTTTCCAGACGAATGGAAAATTTCCAAAGTATTACCTTTATATAAGGAGGATATTAAGTCTGATCCTAACAACTATAGACCTATATCTATTCTACCAGTTGTTAGTAAAATAATCGAAAAGGTTATTTTCAGACAACTTTATGAGTACCTAACTCACAATAATTTGCTGACAGTTTCTCAGCATGGTTTCAGACCGATGCATTCTACTTTCACTGCCTTGCTTGAAGCTACTAACAACTGGTACTTAAATATTGATGATGGCCTAATTGAACAGTGTACTCTTTCTGGATCTTAAGAAAGCCTTTGATACGGTTGACCACAGCATATTGTTAAAAAAAAACTGCAACTTTATGGTCTTGACCCACATGCAGTTCAGTGGTTCAAATCATACCTATCAAATCGCTTTCAGAGTACTTATGTAAATGGAACTCTATCACTCTATCTTCCCGTTAGTTGTGGGGTGCCACAAGGTTCTGTACTTGGACCCTTGTTGCTTCTCATTTATATAAATGACATTCAAGAATGCGAGCTGTCATCATCTGCACTCATGTATGCTGATGACACCTCGCTTACCCTTTCCGCTTATAACCCCGCAACTCTTGAAGAAAAGTTAAACAAAGACTTGGATGAGGTTCAAAAGTGGCTGAAATCCAATAAACTCACATTAAATGTCAAAAAACAAAATATGTGATAATTGAAAGCCACTACCGACTAAGGCATTTAAATGGTGACTTAAACGTTACTGTTAATAGTCAACAATTGACTCGGGTGACTAATTATAGATATCTGAGAATAGAGGTTGACGAGGCCTTGGGGTGGCAATCCCATGTAGATACCGTCTGTAAAAAGGTATCTGCAGGTATAGGGGCCTTAAAATGTATTCGTTCCCTGGTGCCTCGCCAAACCCTACTGAAAATGTATGATGCTTTAGTCGCTCCTTATTTTGATTATTGCTCCGAAGTTTGGGGATGTATGGGAAAAGGCCTGTGTGACAGACTCCAGAGACTGCAAAATACGGCTGGGAGAATTATAAGATATAGTGATTATAATACAAGATCTGCGGATATCCTCCAAGACTTGAGATGGGATACCCTTGAGCAAAGACGCTCTAAACAGCTTGCAATAAGTATTTTTAAATCTCTAAATAACCTTTACCCTGAGAGTTTCAAGAACATGTTTAAACCTACCTCCGGGGTTCATTCCTACAACGTGCGAGGTGCCTCGAACAACATTTTTGTACCAAGGCCCCGCACTGAAGCTGCTAAGAGGGCTTTTAGCTATAGGGGAGCAGTCATGTGGAATGGCCTAGAAAATGTGCTTAAAGACGAGATAAATCTCAACTCTTTCAAGTCTGCCCTGTCTTTGTCTTAAACCAGGGATTACCTTGAGGGGGTTAAGATAGAATTTATTTTAGTTATTTAATGTACTTTTAAGGTTGATTGATTTTTGTGTAATTGATTATAGGATAGATTTTCGTAATATATAGATATATTTTAGCATTAATGTAGTTTCTCTGAAAATTTTGTCATGTAAACGGCTCACTGGAAGAGCATGTTTAATGAAGTGATACCGTTAATAAAGCGTGATTGATTTGATTTGATTGATTGATTGCCAGGGTTTCAAGAGTTTTGCGAGGGTTGCAAAGGTTTCAAGTGTTGCAGGTGTTTCAAGCGTTGCGAGGGTTGCAAGGGTGTTTAGTGTTGCAAGGCCGGTTTCAAGCATTGAGAGGGTTTCAAGCATTGCGAGGCTTGCAAGCGTTTCAAGTGTTGCAAGTGTTTCAAGCTTTGCGAGGGTTTCAGGCGTTTCAAGTGTTGCAAGGGTTTCAAGTGTTGCGAGGGTTTCAAGTGTTGCAAGGGTTTCAAGCGTTGCCCTCTTTTGTAGCTTAAAAACAAGGCTTAAATTTCCCTTATCATAACTAGTCCAGATTGAACTGACATAATGCAATACAGATCTTATCGTAATTTTATAATATATTACATTATATTATATATTACAGATCTTATCATAGTCACTGTCAACAACAACAGTCCTATTCAGGACTACGTTCACCCGGACGATCAAACTCAACCTTTTGAAATGACTCCTGGGTTCAAACCTTTCATAGTATTATAATGCAATAGCCTTTGTTTTCACGAAGTGTCAAGTTCGTCGTCCGCCCTTATCCGAGATATAGACCTCTAAAAAGGCGTGTGTTGCATTTTAAAAACCGAAGGAAAAATAAAATGCTGGGCTGAAATGGGAAGAAATCGAAACACGCAACGCCTTCTGGGTTAAACTGAGCGAACAATTAACAGTGCCCGTATGTAACTGTGCTCGAACGCAGTGGACCGAAGTCGTGCCTCACGTGCGTGCCCTGCGGCTCAGTGATTACAATGCCAGTTTGACATTTCGTAGCCGATATAGGTCGATATAGGTGAGTACCGCTATAGATTCTTTAGAAGCCCCCTTGATCGCGATAGTTCATTCTTGTAATATCCTTTGCCCTAGCTTATTTGGTTTGTCTTATTCTTTCTAACGCACGAAAGTTTAACATCCTCAGTCTTTTGACAACCCGACTTTCTAGATCTCCTTGACCAATTTGTTTGGGGGGGTTCAATTTCTATTGCCAGTTTTTTCCCGTGTTTCTATAAAAATCTGTATACCCCCATCCACTGAGTCTGTGATAGTAATTGAATGTTTTTATCGTAGATGTGTTAAACGAGTTAATTACTATGCTAGTTTCCGTAATGGATATCTCTAAAATGAATGTGTACGTGAGCAACTGTATGTGACGTAATTGATTCTTTAGGTGCCCACTTGTAGCGATAGTTCATTCTTGTAATATCCTTTGCCCTAGCAGGAGCAATACACAAGGACAGCAAGGACAGCTCAGTGTAGCATTGTGCGGGTACGTTCATCAAAGGTTCAGCAGGTTTGTCGAGCGGCCCTGCTTTGATTAACCGAACTTGTTAAGCTTGTGAACCTCTGATCCTTGCAAAACAACATGTCCTTGAGGAGGAATGCTGAATCGACCCATGAAGATATCCCCCTGCAGGCTACGGAAACCCATATAAGCTTCTTCCAAAAGGGCCGTGAATACGAAAGTCGCTATGTAAATCATCATTACACGGAAGAGGAGAGAGAACAGCTTGGAAAATTTGAGAGTGTGGACTATCTGCCACCTCACAGTACTGTTTACAAGGTATGTAGCGTATCTATAAAGTAAATATGGCTGCACCAACGGACCTAAGGTCCTGGATAACTTGCAATTAATTTAGCTTAGGCTTTAACCCAGGAGTGTTGCTTAAATTTAAGATAATTTCCAGCTGGTGGGCTGCTATTTCTTTGCTGTGCCTACTCAACAACTTTTTCTCGTGAATCGTTACCCTGTACCATTGAGAAACAGGAACCATTCTTTTAGGAACAATATATTTGGGGGGGGAGGGGTAATGAAGGGAGAGAATATATAGTTAACAAGAAGCCGCAAATGCTCAAATTGGCGGCTCCTTCAAATAAGTGCCCTGTTTGAATTAGTGTCTCTACAGGGCGGCAAAGCGGGGGAGGGGGGGGTACCTATCACACGCGTCATGGAAAAATAATTAGCAATTAATGAATGAGGCTGAGTAGGATACGAAGAATTAAGCAGATCGAGGGTGTTATTGACCAAGGCCGAAGGCCGAGGTGGATAACACCCTCTGAGATTTGCTTAATTCTTTACATCTTACGAAAGCTGAATTCATTAATTGCTTTATTATTCATTCAAAATAATTCTTACTTTAAAAACATAACTAGTACATGCTTACCTGCATCGATGTTAAGTTCATCTTCGATAGTGTATGTGCAGGTTTGTCCATCTCCGCAAATATTCTCCAAATAGCAGATGTCGCTTTCTGAGTTGTCTTTTTGCTGTTTTTGCTATGTTTTTAGCTATTATTTTGCCTAGTTCCAGCTGTAGTTCTTAAGGTGGCCCACAACTGTCACGGCAAAACCAAAAAACTCACGGCAAAAACAAAAACATCACGGCAAAACCAAAAACCTGACGGCAAATACAAAATACCTCACGGCAAAAACAAAAACCTCACAGCAAAACCAAAAACCTCACGGCAAAACCAAATACTTCACAGCGAAAGCAAAATAGCTTTGGTTTTGCCGTGGGTATTTGCTTTTGCCGTAAGGTATTTGGTTTTTGCTGTGAAGTATTTGGTTTTGCCGTGAGGTCTTTGGTTTTGCCATCAGATTTTTGGTTTTGTCATGAGGTATTTTGTTTTTGCCGTGAGGTTTTTGGTTTTGCTGTGAGGTTTTTGTTATTGACGTGAGGTTTTCGGTTTTGCCATGATCATGAGGTATTTTGTTTTTGCCGTGAGGTTTTTGGTTTTGGCGTGAGGTATTTTGTTTTTGCCGTGAGGTTTTCGGTTTTGCCGTGAGGTATTTTGTTTTTGCCGTGAGGTTTTTGGTTTTGCTGTGATAGTTGTGGGCCACCGTAAGTTCTTGCCCTTGAAACGAGTGAAGTGTCCGCCATTTTTTTGCCACAACCAAAACAACTCAACCTCGTCCCCAGGTCTTCTCGGTTAAGGGTGCATTAACCTGTAGCGGGCTGCATTTTTGACGTAGTTTCCTCGTTAAACACAAAATTCTTCCAAATTTGGTTATCAGTAATTGGTTATGGTGAATTATGCGTGTGCTTTTAGCCAATCAGAATTGGGGAAATATTTTGAATAAATAATAAAATAAATTATTATTGATTCAAAATATTCCCCCGTTTCTGATTGGTTAAAACCACACGCATAATTCACCATATTGAACTGATGATGTCAAAATGATGTCAAAAGTGCAGCCAGTTGTAGGTTATTGAACTAACTGTTGACTGAGAAAACCTGGGGATGAGGTTGAGTTGTTTTGGTTGTTTGAACAAAATGGTGGAACTGTCACGTCTTTACACGCGCGTGGTCATTTGCATGTCTTGCGCATTTTGCTCAATAGACCAAGAAAAAAGAGAGACTGCTCGTAGTCTAGGCTTTCGTAGGATATGAAGAATTTTGCAAATCTCAGAGGGTGTTATCCATGGAGGCTGAAAACTCCCCCCTTGATCTGCAGAATTCTCCATATCCTACGAAAGCCGAATTCAATAATTGCTAAATATTAACTTCATTAACAAGTATCCTATTATCATTTTGATCTGAGTAAATCAGAGATTTTTCCGGGTGTCTAATCTTTCTCCTTACACGGCATTTGTATAAAGTTCATTTAAATCCTCAACAGATATTCTCAGAAAAGTTTCTGTTTCTTTATCTCAAATGTTATTTCTGTTCGTCAGATGCACTTGCAAGTCATTTTTCAAAGTGTTGTTGCAGAAAGTATAAAATGACATGATCAACCATGGTTGAAAAATTTAGCCATGCATGAGTTGTTAAAAAAAGAGTAAAGAATGCCGATTTATTGGATAAATTTAGTCCTTGAAAACTGTACTTTGTCTTTGAAAAATCCTTGAATAGTCCTTGTTTTTTGTTTGTCTAAAGTTCTACGAACCTAAAATGTATATGTCAGATGTTACGCATAACACTTTTTTTTAAATTTAATTTTATACTAAAAGATACCTTCTGATTCCCTATTTACTCTGACAGTTTCATTCATTTGAAGCAAAAACAATGTAATCGTGAAGCCAAAATATCAAAATCAACTTTCTGTTTTTTCTTCCTTTATTTTACCATGGTTGTGTCACTACAAAATTACAAAATCACTACTAAGCAAGGAGCTGCCGTTGTTACTAGCACAATTAAAGCATTTACCATTTTATTTAATTAGCATAAAAATTATAAGATGTAATTCCACACATTTACAACTTACTGTAACTTTTTTGTCTATGCTTCATTTTAGAACTGGCTAGAACAGCAGCCATCACGGCTGGACTGGGATCGCTGGCTTATGATGGGAATGATTGGCTTCTCTGTTGGAGTCATTGGGTTTCTGATGCATCAACTGATTGATGTCATATCAAAGTAAGAACAGAGGCTTACAGATTTTTTACATAATTACAGTTTCCTTAAATCTGTCTCAATCTTAGCTTTCCTTCCCTGAACAACTTACCTGTTTTTATCCGCACAGTAGCTGTCCCGGGGGACTCCCATATAAAAGCGACTGGAATGCTTGTTTGAAAATTAAAACTATACCCCTCAGGGAGACAAATGTGGGTGTGGCTCAAGCTTATCCTGACTGCTAAAGCAGACCATGCTGAAACAGACATCTAAATAAGAGCTGAGAAAAAGAGGAAAATAAGAGAGATATTGTGTTCTTTTTTAAACTTTATATTTCTGTGTGGTCAGCGTCACCACACTTTTTGTAAATTTCTTTTTGCACAACCCTAAGCAATCCCTGAATGGGAAAATATAGTGACTTTCTATCCCAAACAGCCCAATAAGTGAGACAAACATCTTCAATTTGCTTCCCTACGCAAGACGACACGCATCCCGGTCACTATTATATGGCTAGTCTCCTCAGTATCTGGCACGGGGTCAGTTTCTCAAGTTTGTATAATCTAGGGATGGAAAAACCATTACTGGCAGTTGTTGTGCTCTTTACATTTGAAGTCAAATTATTGAAGTCACAGAAGTTTTAAAAGCTAATAGAATAGAACCATTAAAAGCAAAATGAATGGTTTGTGAGCTAAAAGACCTAACTAATTTAATTTAGGTCTTGATTTTAGAATATGGATTCAGCTCTGAAAAATTATCAGGACTATTGAGAAGCAGGATCCAAATCATTATTATCTTTCCGCATATTCTATACCATTTCAAGGCCGTGCTCTAAGAAAAACTGAAGGGAGCCCATTGCTCTGAACCTGTGAAATTCAATGTGTCCAGCATATGATTTTTCTAAAGAAGCTTAGCTTTTCCAGTCGCCCAAGAGCAACAGGAAGGCGCCAGGGCCCACTCAGGGTGCTGCTAGAACATGCTAACCCTGCAATTTCCAAACAATATTGTTTTATTCAGTTAGCTAGTGCAGCAATTGTTGTACTAAAAACATTTGTTCCTTTTGTAACAGGTTGAAGTGGGATAAGGCTTCTGAGTTTATAAAGGTACTGTTAAAGGCTTGTTTATGTTTTTCTTCATCAATCACTGACATCTTGAAGCTGTCCTTGGGATGAGTAAAGAACACATAGTAGGTTACCCTGAGGTGGTATGTAGCATTGATTGGAGTGGTGGGGGGAGATTTGTTGGCAGGTGGAATGTAGAGGCCTTGCCAGGGTAAATTCCAACAAGTGACATGGCCCAAAAAGTAGCGACAACGCATAAAATGAAATCGCGACAAGAGACAACCTCCCTCAGCCAAATTGCGACAGTGACGACAAAGCTGACAATAAGTGACAAGCATTTATAAACACTGACACGAGACATTTTAAAATTCAGATGGGCGACGTGGGACCCCCCCTGGCAGGGCCTCAATGTAATACTGAGAGAAGAAAGGGATCCACCAACAAGATGCTATCCTATATCCAGTGATTGTACTATTTAGTCACCAATGCACACAAGTGCCATGTTAGACTCAAAGATTTGATATATGGATCAGTGATTTTACATGAGCATGTGCAAAACTAACGTATGCTAAATCATTCTAATTAACATAATCATGACAGTGATTTTGTTACTTCTTCATCCTGCATCCCTGCTGCATAAAAAGCCTTAAAGATACAAAATAATTCATGTTACAGGATGCTTAAGATCAGTTGATCGATCTGAACATGTGTTCTTTGTAGAAATATCTAATTTGTGTCATTTCTGTGGCAGTTATTATGCATGGCTGTTGTTTAATGATGAATATTTCTATTTAGCCTTTGTTGTGCTTGAAAATAGAAAGACTATGATTTTAATTTCAGTATACGTAAAAATACAGAGTTTTGGAGTCTGTCTTCAGATTAACTGTCTGGTAATACATAAAGGCCTAAGCATTTTCAATTTTGGACTCATTTTTTTTAATTGGGACTCGATCACAGGTTCTGGACTGGGACTGGTGATTTTGCACAAGATGAGTCCCAGGACTCACCATATAAACTATTTCTAACAAAATCACTTTATATCATGAAGAAACAGAAAGAACACAAAAATGTAGACATGCATACAGCTATTCCTGTACTATGCAGCTTCAACTATCCTATTCTGTTTAGTTTGAACAATGTCCTTGATGATTTCTCTTTTAAACTTTAAGTACCAACTAATACTACACCTAAATAGTGGTTCCATTATGAGGTTCCCTACAGCTAACTGAACTGTGACCCACGACCAAGTTTAACGTGACTCTCTGGTACCATACTGTCTTCGATTCTTTATTTCATGAAACTGTGTCTTGAAGTGGAGTAAAGTTTTGTTTCAATGGAGTGAATACAATCAAATTTTCTGAATCAGACACCTGAATTTAACAGCAATCACAGAGCCATAGTGAATCTAGAGAATTGCTTTACATTCCTATTCTATTCTTAACTTCAGTAGTTTATCTTTTTTTTAGGATAGGGACTTTGGCTTGGCTTGGATATGGGTCATTGGATATAGTGTTTTTTTTGTCTTGGCAAGTTCTATTCCAGTTGTGGTAAGTGCGAACTTGTTTGTCTTAATTTCAGATTTTGACCCCGAAGTGCAAAGTGCACAATACGATTTTTAAAAACCCCTTAATGGTCCCTTAATTCAGATCCTAATTCTTAAAATCAGTGCAAGACTTTCTAAATGCACGACACCACAAACGTTATTTCATAAGTTATGGTTAGATAAATTTTATACATAATGTTGTCAATTAATATAATAGTATGACTTCATTAAATGAAGAATGATCATAGCAGTTATGTATGCAAAAAATCTCTTCAAATTACTGACAAAAATGTAATACATTGACTGTGGTTTTTGATTGTCGTCTTTTAGTATTTCCGTCCTAATTCTGCTGAAGGGTCCGGTATACCTGAATTAATTGGGTTCTTGAATGGTACAGTCGTGAAACATATTTTCAGTATCAAGACAATGCTTATCAAGTTCTTCTCCTGTGTATGCGCAGTTGGTGCAGGCCTTCCTGTTGGTCCAGAAGGACCTATGATTCATTTGGGGTATGTAAATCAAAGAAATCTAGGATAGCTACATTTTGCATGATCCAAAAATTAAATTACAGGGTGCAAAGAAAGTCATCAAAGAAATCTAGGATAGCTACAAGTCATTTGCAAAATCCAAAATTGAATTTCTGAAATTTAGATTTCTCCCATTCCACAAAAATTCAATTAGGCTATCGGACATGATTTTCTTTGCATGCTAAATTAATATTCCACAAATTCAATTGGTCAAGTAATATTGAATGGTACTGCTAAAAGAATTGGGTCTTGTCTGTGACGAGGCGTCTCTGTGTTGTGTTTCTTTTTATCCCAGAGTTAATAATGTTTTGATGTATGGTCTGGGATTTTCAGGCTACAAGGTCTTAGCATCTAGGGGAGCTTTAGATTTTACCATGTTGCCATCCCTAAAAATTAATTAGAACCTCCCTTCTTATTTTCTATCAAACCTAATTAACACCCCACACTGTTTCCATAGTAAATAAAAGCAAATGTAGAGGCAGATGTCTAAGAAGTTGTTCCAACACTGCGGACCTGTATCCTCTCTCTAATTCTGTTTTCATTGACAATAATACATACATACATGTAATGTGTAACCCATTGCATGGAGGTATGTTCTTTTATTTAAACCATCCCATACATTTGGCATTATCATATGGGTATGTGTTGACTCACTTAAATTACAGTTTATATATGTTTGTTTGCAGGAGTTTGGTTGGTGCAGGCCTGAGCCAGTTCAAGTCAGACACCCTTAAATTTCAGTTGCCATTCTTTGAAAGATTTCGCAACACAGAAGACAGGTAAGGGGCTGCTGCACACCTTTGAATAATGTTATAACATTTTGTCATTTGATACAAATTTTTCTTTCTTTTCATTGGCCAAGAGCCCACCACGCAGTGCTGTCAACTCTCCCAGATAATCTGGGAGACTCCAGATTTTGGACCCTATCTCCCCAGCTCCAGATTAGAGTGCGATATCTGCCGGATAATCGCCAAAGTTGCTATTTCTTGTAGACTCGACTTTCTGACTATAAAATTTCAAATATTTGCATTGTTTGAGCTGCTGTTAGCATGGAACGTTTCCTCATAAATTCTGGTATGCCACTGTGATTTAAGCAATAATGTGGCTAAATATGAAATGTTTATGTGCTATACATGTTGATCGGAATCAACAAACATTTTTGGAACAAATGACGTCATTTGTCATGCGATATGATGTCATCTATCATTCCTTACCCATCATTTCTCAATATTTGATGATGTTGGGGGGGTTGACAGCTCTGACCATGTGACCTGCAAATGACTGCCTACAAGAAACGTCTGATCATGCATGATGTCGTCCAACTGACGTGTTTGGCTGCAAATGGTATTATCCTCATGCAAAAATGAAACCATGCTTTTTTCCTCCTTGGGATCGCTCATGCGTGAAAATGGCAGATCGCTTTGCTTCTCAAAGAAATTTTGATTAAAAAACAAACTCAGTGATCGAATGTGTCTTGCAGATCGGTGTCTGGCAGATCAATTATTTTTGTGCTCCCCACTGAAACATCAGGATATTTTTCGATTACCAAGTTCAATAATAATTGTTAATTGTTTAAGTGTAAAAGATTAGGTAAGTTTTAGTGATGTTAAGTGTATCAAATCCCTTTTACCAGGCGTAACTTTATTTCTGCTGGTGCAGCAGCAGGTGTGGCCTCAGCGTTTGGGGCTCCTGTTGGTGGTCTGCTCTTTTCTATGGAAGAAGTGTCTTCTTTTTGGAACATGAAATTATCCTGGCAAACATTCTTTGCCTGCATGGTGTCAACATTTACTACAGTAAGTATAATAAATTTTCAAATTATGTTATTTTCTTTCGTACATTAGAATGCAGCATAGTTTGCTTGTCATCTCTGTTGGGTGGAAAAGTTGCGTGTACACTCAACCTTAGGTTTAGCATTGATGATTTAATTGACAGTACCCGGAAAGCTCTCCTAATAAGGAGACTCTTGTAGTTGGACAGCTCTTCTTTTTCGGCCACCTTCACAAATCCCTGGTTCAAATCCTATAAAAACTCTGTATTTTTACATTCCTTCTGTAAGAAACCGCAGACATATATGTCAAGGGTTTATTAGTTAGATTTTGGCTGTGTTTTTAAGCGGCTTAAGAGAACACCCGAAATAAAATCCTAGTCTCCTCTGAATCTTGTACTTTCATAAATTAACTCTAAATCACTGTTATAAATCACTTTTACTTTAAAATAAATGTATCAGTTTCTTTGATTGGTTGGTTACACTTTGAAAACCCACTTGAATTTTGTGGTGGTATATATCTTGCAAAATTGTCAGAACAACAGTATTGCCAGACTGTAACAAACAGTTTTGTTGCATTTCCAATGTTTATTTGTAGCTGGGTGGGCTCCCAAAAGTACGTGGCCATTTAACTCCTTCACCTCTAGTGGCCGCTTTGAGAACCATTCTCATACGACAGGTGGCCAGCGTTAGTTATGGGCACCTTTTTTGTTGTCCCAAGGGTGTCCACTTATGAGAGCTTCCACTGTATGTATTTAATTTTAAGGTCCAAGAGGGGCGTTTAACATGATGTGTGTTTTAATGACCAGAGAGGCAATTATTTTCTTAACTGTAAAAAGCTTAAGAAAAATTAAATGTTAATTGCTTTCCATGAAAGTATCAACAGTGCACATAAATGCAGAATATCCTGTCTATCCATTGAAGAGCCAAAATAAGTTTAATTAACTCAAAGTTGCCAAAAACAAAACAGGCTATCATAGATTACTTTAAAAAGGATCAAATGAACATGTTGCGATCTTACAAAAAATTGCATTTCTATTCCACTTTTACAAGAGCCATAATATTATGGCTCTTGACTTTTACAAGAGCCATAATATTATGGCTCTTGACTTTTAAGAATGATGTAAGTAGTTCAGAATATTTAGACCAATTTTGTTAGTATAGTTAATAGCATAGTTTAATCAAAAGTAGGTTGAGTTTGATCGTCCGGGTGAACATAGTCCTGAATAGGACTGTTGCTGACAGTACCTGACGTTTCGACAACCTGTGCAGTAGTCATCTTCGGAGTCAAAGTGAGTTGTATCACTTCAGCTGATGGTATTATACCCTGGTTATTGATCTGATTGGTCAATTACTTCGCGATGTTATTGGTCGTCTGTAAGTTAAGCCGTGAGGTTATTGGCTATAAAACTCATAATCAGTAATTGGTGCGTTTCAATCCGTCTTTTGTCACAGTTAAACAGTCGACTATTGTTAGTCAAATTGTCAGTTCTCCAGTCGTTCTCTCGTAGTTAGTTTTGCTTGATCTCGTCAATAAGTCGTTTGTAAGGCGCTGGTAACTGTTGGCTACAATTCAGTAGCGTTTGTTCTAAGTTAGTAAAGCAGCTTTCTAAAGTAAGATGTTGATAGTAGTCTGTAGAATATGTTATACAAGTCGCAGAGTCCCAGTCAATTTGATGTTTTGACTGGAGAACTGATGTTTCGATACAAATCTTATGCTCAAAGATAGGGGGACAGTGCGAAGCAAACTTTATTAAGTAAAAATAAAAACTTCCCTTAAGTTGTTGATCACGCTGAAAGAGTGAGATATTAAAATAAATGTCTTATTTAATTTTGCTGTTATATAGGTTTTGTTGAATTCAGCTTTGAAAGGATTCACGTATCAAGGAGACTTTGGATTGTTCAAAGCTGAAAAGAACATAATATTTCAGGCAAGTATCTTGGCAAAGTATTTGTGGCTGTATTAGTGTAGTGTATTTTGATATACAAGTTCAAACAGGAGCACATGCCTTCTGTTTGCATCTGAGTCTGGGTGGAATTTGCTGCATGATCTGTATTTTTAAACATCTCCATCCCTCTAATGGTCCCCAGCTTTAAGTGTGCCCCAATCTGATATATTTGTTTCATTGCAGGTTAGCTACGACATTGGTGTAAACATTCTGGCATTCATACCCACTGTTATTCTCGGCATTATTGGTGGACTGTTGGGTGCTGCGTTTACATTTATTTATTTAAAGGTACAATATGTATGTATGATAATGATTGGTTGCTGAGAACGCTGTATCCCTTTTAGCTTCTGTAAATGCACCATCTTTTGGGTACAACTGATTCAATAAAGGTTGCTTTGGGAATTGGGAATTGCACATTGGGAAGGTATTGTTTGGTGTTCACTCAAGTAAAGGATTAAAAAAATCATTGCATTGTTTCCTATGCCCAAATGGCCAATGCCCCATTGCCCGGGAAGGGGGTGGGCGCACTTTAGGAATTTCTGGGTGGGGATGTGCCGCTGGGACCCTTGGACCCTGGAACCCTTAACCTATACCAGACCTAGTTCAGCTGAATTTTGCTACCATATACTAGAGTAAACTCCCCAAATCCCCCCTATCCTAGAGTAGCTGTTTTCCAGAAACTACTGAGGTCACTAGCATAGTCTAGCCAAAACAAAACCTCATACCACAATCCCTAGTCTAGATAAAATCTTCAACCAACTGATCAGTTTCCTGAAAAATGATACTCTATTCTAGACCCAAACACTCTGATTTATAAACCCTATCCTAGAGTAAACTTCTTGAAAACCATACCCTTCACAGCGGCACATACCTATATAGCCCATATATGGCAGTACCCTCCCCCTCTGGGTCCAATTGTCAATGACCAAGTACTAAAGCAGCGTTTTTTGATTTAACTGTGTACCAAGGACAAATTTGAACTACAACTACCTGATTGAAAAAACGTTGTTGCTTTAAAAGTATCAACCATGAATGATGAAGCTTCAAGGTATACGTTCATTAACACTTGGCATATATAAAGTTCTTTCAACAAAAGTTGACATTGTCATGAGCTGCTCGTGCAGATGCAAATCCCTAGAATACTTTGTTTAAGGCATGCCTTGTCTTTTTATGTCTTCTAAGAAAGCTTTTAGGTCCTATTTCATGATTTTCAAGTGTGGCCACATTCTTTAACTGTAGAGATCTCTGATGTTCCCTGCACAGGTGTAGTTGTGAACTTATCATTAAGAAAGCCGGAAACTGTTTGATCTTTTTGGAATGCATTGTCGGGAAAAGCTGCGATAATGTAAACTATTCTGGAAAGACCATAATCGATTACGTCCCATCGATCATGGCTTTTTATACCTTTTCAAAGCAACAACGTTTCTTCAATCAGTTGTATATAACATGCTTGAAGTTTACAGTGGTTGACATTACCTTCATTTTCAGTTGTTGGTTTTTATCAGTTCAGTATGTTCATATGGGTTGATTGCATTGATTGTTCTTGAAGATTGTAAGGTTTAGACGATCACAAATTGGCAAAATAAAATCCGTGCGGTGGAAGAACGTAGCCAAGATATCTGAACCAGTTCTTATAATGGTATGTGCTTAATATAACCTGCATTAAAATCTATTAAAATATAAAGTTTTAATCAGCACTTCAATCAAAAGAGTATGTAGCTTCTCTTCTTTCTTCCTATGGGTGTCTTGTATAAAGAAGAGTGGGAGGCATCTCAATAAGTCTCGGATCAATTCAGGTTTGTGGGAAACTGTCCACCTACCCCTCCCCTAAGCTATCATTAATACTTACTTCTCACTTAGGGCAAAATGTTGGCTTAGGGAAGGGTAGGTGGACAGTCTCTCAGAAACTTAAATTGATCCAGAGTCTCTTAGGTGCTACACCAAATGCATTGGAGAATTTCTAAGTATTCTCTGTAATGAAAATTGTGTATTGTATCAGCATAGAAAGTGGTCTTTTTCAAGTTCAAATAAGAAGCCCATTAGTGCAGGCTAGAAAAAAGGTTGTTTGTCCTTACTGCTGGTACTGTGTGCTGCACAGCTCCACTTGCATTAAACGTGGATAAACTTAAGTAATCCCAGGTTGTTTATTGTACTGCAGATTATAATCGGTACAGCTTCTGTATTTTTGCCTGCTGCATTCCCTTGCACCTCGTTTCAGAGCAATTTTACCTCTGAAGGGTAAGTAAGTAAGTAAGTAAGTAAGCAAGAGACTTTATTTTATGAGGGTGACACGTAACAGTAACTAAACATTACTGATCAACTTGTGGCCCTCTAAAAATATAAAAATGCAATTTATAAAAATACTTAAGCAATAAATTATTATTTACGATAAACAATTCCTAGGATTCGATAAAAATAAAAATAAAAAACTATTAAAAACGAAGAGCATCCAATATCCAGCTATTGTCATTAATTTAGGTCCTCGAAATATAAAATTTAAAACTATTTTCCATAATTCATAAAAGTGATCGGGGATTCCAGTCCTTTAGTTCTTACAGCAAAGGTGATGTTAAATAATTCACGTCATAATTTCTCGACTTGAGTGAACATCGGAGTTTTTTCTCAGAGATGCGCTTAAATAGTCGGGTAACTGACTACCATTTATCCTTTTAAAGGCCAGTTCACAACGTTTAATATACGCTTCATTATAAAAGAGGATCCAGCTTAGGTTGTTAAATAATGTTACTGTTCGACTTGTGCGTTGTGCTTCAAGAATAATACGTGCGGCCCGTTTCTGCTTACGGCGGAGAACTCTCTCAAGTACCTCTTTGTTGCACGAAGTTCATACTGTGCTTGCATACATCATAAGAGGTTTAATTACTGCGTTAAAATAGATTATCCTCTGGTTTTTCTTTAAGTAGGGGCTAATGTGGCGCAAAAGGCCCAGTCGCTTCGAAAGTTTGATGCATAGTTTATCGACGTGCATTTCGTAGGTTAGATGTTCATCAATGCTAACTTCATATAGTTTAAGTAGAACTCAAACAAAAAGGAGCAAACACAGAAAGACCTTCAGGATAAAGTTACTCATGTTATGGAAGAACTGAAAAAGACATAGAGTCAAGGCTCTTTTTGGCAGTGAATGGAGTCCTTGAAAAATAGGAAATGTGTCCTTGAAAAGTCCTTGAATTTTTTGTTCAAAAAAGAATACGAACCCTGTTGTAAGAAAAAGTGAGACCAGAAAGTAGAGTGCAGAAAAACAAATAAAGTGCTTGGTTAAGGAAACAAAGCGATAGCAGAGTCAGCACCAGGCCTCTCTACCAGGTCTCTATTAAAGAACCCACGCACTCTTCGTAAAGAGTAGGGCACGTAGTGCCCGGTGTAGTGGTCTATCTCACTTTCACACTCATGTATGGGGGCATCATCACTCATTCCTTCAGATGAAACATCGTCTGGCAAAGTCCCCAACCAGTGTTAAATTTTATCAACCCTGTGGGAGGGATAATAAGATATTTACGTTTCTGCTTGTCACTGCCTGAGGAAACATCGTTCTCTTTAATTTTATTAACAAGGCTGACATTTTACAACGCCCCCACTGGTTTCCCCGTGAAATGACGTCTGAGAAACAAGTTCAGAAATTGTATACTGATGACGTCACTATCCAGATCCGGGTAGTGCTTCTGATTGGCCGTGCCACGCGGGGAATTTGCGTCAGCCAATCAGAAGCACTACCCAAAGGATCTCCAGTATGGATTCTCAGATGTCATTTCGCGGGGAAACCAGTGGTGGCATCGCGAATGTCGGCTGTTTTCTCAGGCTAGTCACTAGGCTTAAAATTCATCTTCACATTCATATCCGCATCGTCAGCTTGTCACCTAGCAGTATTCAGAATGTTTGAAACATGAACCTGAGCTGCCAACAGGTTTCTTATAGCTCAGCAATAGAGTATCTGGACTAGAAACGAGGTTATCAAGGATTCGACTCCAGCCGGGAGAACTCAACTTCAACTTCAACGTAATTCATTAAAAATGGTATTATAATAGACTGGCCGCAAGATAGCAATTGCTAATGTAGAAGGCCCAGTTAAAAGAAAAAAAATAGATCAAATGAAAGAAAGGAAAATATTTGAAGTTACAATAATTCTTATTTCTATCATAGTTTTATTTTCATTGCCACTACATCCAAGGAAAACGAAAAAGGAGACGGAGAGCGGAAAACATATAATTTTAGACAGAAATTACTCAACCTTTAGTTCAGCTTTTTTAATTATCAACGGCGTAATCGATATGGTCATTTTGTCTTTTTAAGGTATCGGAAAGCAATCTGTGAAGTACTTTCGTAAATTCCTTTTTAGGAAGATCTCTAATATCACAAGTTATCTCATTCCAAAGTTTTACGCCAAAACGAGACAAGGAGTTTTTGTGTAACTCAGATTTTCTTCTGATTCCTCTCTGTCACTGCCTGAAGAAAGATCATTTTCAAATCCATCACTGATCACCATTGACCTTGGCTAAATTATCTAGGCAAATGTGCACCCTCACAAGCCCGTTGCTAATGCTCCATCTCTTGTAAATAATATTGTCCAAGGAACATGACGTTAAATCCTGGTGAAAAGTGTTTGACAGGCAGTCAGCGTCCTATGCTCACTGAGAGAGACGTCAAGAACTACACCTGTCCTGTAGGAATCACTAGAGTCATCAATGGAACAGAGTTTACCAACTCTTCCTTTAATGAAGGTAACCAGGGAATGGGGGAAGGGGTAGAAGTAATGAATTTGGTTATGAGTGGAAACATTTTCAGCAATTGAAGTTTTTCAAACGTTTTCAATATTTTCTAGTATAGTAAATTTCTGGGCGTGGCGTTTGAGCACAGTCTTTCAAAGCGATAGGAAGACTGTCGCAGTAGGATCACATGAGCCCTTGACGTTCTCGTAGCCGTTGCCGTCGCCGCCATCGTTGCTATAGCTCCAGACGTTAAAAGCTGCGTCTGATATAAGATTTTGTGTGCAACGGTACCCTACCTTAAAACACTTTACGTTAAATGGACGTACCGAGGCTCTGTTAAAATCATTTTGGGGACGGATAAGCGGTACATTTGCGTTCGAGAATCCAAAAAAGGAATCAACGCAAAGACCAAAATGTAAAAAGGAAGAGTAACTCTCAGACATTGATGGCACTTTTCCATTCCCCACTCCACTCCCCTAATTACTAGTGGTAGCTCATGGATGTATATCGTGGTTTCTAATCATTGTGGGATGTATTTCTTTTCTTTTCTTTTTCTTTAGTTGCCACATTGTTATTTGCAACTGGAGAAAAAGCCATTCATCGCTTGTTCTCCAGGAATACGCCTGATAAGCTGGGATATGCGTATGTAGCAATAATTCTCTTAACGCAACCTTAGACAAGACAATTATAAGTGGCCTCCAAAATCTCAAACTTGTTTGATTTTCCAAAAAATAAATTTCCCAACGTTAAAGCTTTATAGAACAATTTTCTCTCTAGCTATAGCGGAACAGAAGCTCTTCTCTTTTATCTCATTTTGTAGTTGTTTTTTTTTTTTTTCAACACTTAAAAAACTTTTGAAAATTAGTTCTCCGTTAATTATAGTAACTTCACAGCTGTTTTTCTTTCAAGCAGTTAAATTACTTTCGTTGTGAATTTCCAAGTGTTCCTCGAGATTGAATTTGGAATGCGCCATTCTTGGTTTTCAAATGACGTCACCAAAATTCAAACTAAGAAACTATCGCTTCTTCTGAGCTTCTACTTTCATTTGGTACTAGAGCACCCTAAAGCCTTTATACAAACAAATTCTCGGTGTAAAAGGGTTCTTCGTGTTGCGATACAGGACGCTTTAATTTCCAGGCTTTTGCGTGACGCGGCGTTTAGCTGGCGGCCGGGAAAGTTCTTATGTGGGTTAAAAACCTTCCGGATTTTGGGAGATTTCGCCATCTAAACATAAATATTAGTTTAATCTTTATGAGTTCCTCAACCGAAGAGTTCACGCATTAGTAAGGAAACTAAAAAACAGATGTTTCTGTTGGTTTCCGGCGGCCATATTTGTGCCCCTAAAAGGGGCACAAGCAAGGGACACAAGCATGGCGTCTCTAAACAAAGCTTTATAAATTTCGGTAAAACGTTTTTCCAAATATCTCGCATATGAAATATGGCACAGACCTGATTCTTGGCTCTGAAGGCTTTTTGTATATTTAAGAGTGGACTTAGCTATTGTGTCTGATGAAAGGAAGACAAACAGGGGCACCCAACGACTGTTTTCTGTAAAATATCTGTTCGGAGAAGCAAATTTTGCCTAGAATTTTCTATTGCCTGGATAGGGCCAGAAATTTCTAGATGAGCGTTCCATTCAGGTACAATTTTCGAAGCTTATCTAAAAAATTCCCTACGATTTTCTGAAGATTAATTTTTCATATTTTACTCCTTGTGTTAGGCTAATTTTCGTAGAAAAAGGAAACCTAAAAGTTTCGGATTCAAAAATGTGATGGAGAGTGGAATAACACAAATTCTCACTTCCGTAAAACGTTCAATTGCATCTAACATTTCCGGAAAAATAACACTGAAGCCCTTGTAATTTCGAAAAGCCTCAAGCTAAGGTCCCCTAGGATGACCGAACAGATACAAATTTTATAGCGCCGCTTAGAATGCATTTCTAGGGATCTAAAAGTACTCTGGATAGCCTAAAAAGACTTTTCGATGGATTTAGGAGGAAACCGTCGTTGGGTGCCCCTGAAGATAAATCTGTTATCTGATTTTGAAAAATTCTGTTAAACAAATGGCACCATCATGATGGTAAAGTACCGTTAAAGAGGTTTCACTTTCATAGTCACAGTCGACACCATGATTTTTTCGCCACTTACTAAAAAGGTATATTTATATCACATATCTTGATCATTAAATCTAGTGTGATTGACGTTTTTAATAATAAGCAAATATCGAACCTTGTAGATGGATTTTGTCTCTTTTTTTCAGGTCGCTGTTTACAGTTTTAGTAATCTACTTTCTACTAGCGTGTTGGTCAGCTGGAACTGCTATCTCTAGCGGTTTGTCGTCGTGTTGCCTATTCAGGATGCTTGGGAAACCTGTACAAAGATCTGTGCGTCCAGGATGCTTGTCTAAAGGAAACCTGTTGCTTTTCCCATGATCAAAAAGGAAAACAGTAACCTGAAGCCTGGAACTGTTGGTCACGATTTGCAGTTGTCTCAAATAAACTCAGCCAAACTTAAACACGTGTAAAAGCTGTTTTGTTAAACACGGTTTAATGTTTTCCTTCATAAAAACTTCCTAATGTTTTGTGGCACAATTGAAAGGCTGGAAAGCATAAGTCAAAACTTACTTCAAATCTATGTAACGGCAGTCGTTATTAAGTTTTCTTTTCCTGATATTCGTTTTGTTTTAGCTTGACTAAACATGTTTTGTTGGTGTTAGTAGGGCTTTTTAAGTGTTACTAGATGTGTTATCTTACTAATCAAGCCTTTGGCCAACTCTAAGAACTCGTGGATTGCATACACTTATTTTCCCGCGCTTGGCATTGATCCGCAGCTAAATGTTCTTTTTTTTGAGTTCTGATTGGTTAATGGGACCGTTTGCAGCTGTTGTGATTGGTCATGAAGAATTATGCAGATGGAGGGCCGATGTGGATAACATCTTCCGAGATCTGCATAATTCTTTGTATCCTACGAAAGCCGAATTCATTAATTGCTTTATTATTCATTCAAAATAATTCCTAGTTTAAAAACAAGCTAAAACATGCTTAGCTTCGTCGATGTTATGTTCACCTCGATAGTGCATGAACATAGACAGGAACGTAAATTTCTTAATTGGAATAATTATTCACGAAAACCTTTCATGGAAACCGCGCATCACTTCCATCTGTGATAAAGTCGCTAAGGTCGCTAAGTCGAGACGATACTTACCCTCGGTCACTCTGAAAACCTTATATTATTCCTTCTTTCTACCTTATATCAACTATTGTAATCTCATGTGGGCATCTACATATGCCTCCTACCTTGAACCCCTCTATCTACTCGAAAAGAAAGCCATTCGAATTATCACCTTTTCTTTTCCATGAACACGCTCTAAGCCTCTTTTGTCGAAGCTTAATATTTTTTGTCTCCATTCACTCTACAAATTCCATGTTTCTAGTTTTGTATTCTCACACTTTAATCGCCTTCTACCTGCCTCTCTTTCCTCGCTTTTCCACTGTAATCGTGATTTTCAAGGTTTTCTAACTCGTTCTCGTTTCAACTTGCATAAAATGTCCGTCAGGTATCAATTTGTTATTAGTTCTCAAGCCCCGATTATTTGGAACGATATTCCCTTGACTGTCCTTGACAGCCTTACCACTACTAACTTTAAAAAGAAACTAAAACTTCACTTTTCAAGCCTGAATTGAACTAGCGCAGGATTCTCATAGTTTATTGTTAGTTTATTTGTCACTAGTTTTTTCTCAGTTATCGGACTGCATGCGTGTAAACGTACTTAATTTCAGTTTTGTATCTTGTTTTAGTTTTGTAATTTAGCCTACAGTCTTCATTTCTACATAAAGTAATTTCTGTCACGCTGACTACAGGCCGCATAAGCCCCCGGTTTTGGCTTTACTGAGTTTGTACTATAGAGCCTGTGCGAGGCGACCATGTTGGAAGAGTAGACAATAAATGAAATATTTACATAAAAATGAATTTTTTGCCCAAAGGAAAATCGTGTGATTGTTTTACTCCTCCAACATAGCCGCAGCCCACACACTCTATGTGAACGATGGAATAATCAAGTTAAAGTTAAGGTTTAGACAATAGTTCGTCGTGAAACAAGTCATATGTTCCGCCGACTGTTCGGCCATTTTTCTTTTCAAGAACAACTCAACCTCGTCCCCAGGTCTGCTCGGTTAACAGTGCATTAGGCTGCAACAGTGTTCTGCACTTTTGACGTCATCGGTTGATTAATCGCAAAATTCTTCCAAATTTGGTCAACAGTAGCTTGTTATGGTGAATTAGGCGTGTGCTTTTAGCCTATCAGAAACGAAGAAATATTTGGAATGAATAATGAAGTACTTTATCTGGTCACTAATTCACGTAGAGATCTAATCTTTTTAGATTTATAGGTGCGACGTATGGACGGATTATTGGAAGAGCTATGGTTGACTTGTTCGGTTTTCACTCAACAGGTGTGTGGCTTTTAAACGAGTGTGCTTGTTCGCGCCAACTTGAGAAAACAAGAAAATGCATAGCCTGCGAACACAGTCGCCTTCCCTCTCATCCCGTTGCAGCGATTTTTAATGCAACTAAAACAATAGATGAATCAGACTGCCGACAGAGCTTGCCTGCGTCGCAGACCCTCTAAACCTTCTGTATAGGTTTAGACGAGTGCGTGGGCCGGCTACAACGTAGACTACGACAGAGCCTTCGTTTGTCTTTTTTGCCCTGCTGGCAGGATGTAGATAAATTGGATGAATTAAATGGATCGTGATACGTTTCTGGGAAACTGCCCGCCTACCCCTCCCCTAAGCCAATATTAAGACTTACTTCTCACTTACGGCAAAATGTTGGCTTGGGGGAGGGGTAGGTGGGCAACTTATAATGATCGAGTTAAATGAATTTTACGCGAGCGACTCTCGTATGACGTACAAAGCAAAGCCAGTTTATTACGAACTAGAACTAGTTAGTAAAATCCAACTAGTGGTCTATTATCAATGCTGCGTTCTGATTGGTTGAGCTGCTACTAGGTTATATGTTATAGCCCCCTAGTAGCGAAAAGCGTGGGCTTTTTGGCGGCAAGAAAGGATTAAAGAGTAGCTTTTAACTAGCTAACATTTTTTTATTTTCGATATCTTTGACCAACTAGTTGGATTTTACTAAAACAATTATTCCTCTCGCCCTCATGGCCTTCGAGTCAATAGCCCATGAGGCCGAATGACTCAGAGCCCATTCGGGCTCGAGGAATAATTGTTAAATATTCTCTTCATTCTGGCTGGTCAAGAGGACGAGCCTTTTTGACTCGTTGGGTTACACTTGATTGGAAATCTAGCGACGCTTGTTTTGATCGTTTTATTTTTTCATAAACGGGTTAGGGAAAAAAAAATATTACTTTTGTCAATTAACAGGACATTCCATTCGTTGACTATGACCTTCGGAACAGCAGTTTGCATTAACAAGAAGTCCCCTGTGCAACCCCTAGAGAAGTAGTTTTGAAAGTAATCGTATGTTCCGGCTGACTTTGTATTTTTACATCAGGTTACTGGGCGTGGATGGATCCAGGAGCCTTTGCGCTTATCGGTGCAGCATCATTTTGTGGTGGAGTGTCAAGACTAACCGTTTCATTAACAGTGATTATGGTAAGTCAAAATATCGGGTTAAAATAACTAGAACAGTCAAAACTGAAAAGAATCGGCTCTTAATGAGCGATTCGTTATCTTTTATTATTATTTGTTTAGTATATTTCTCCGTTTCTGATTGACTCAAATCCCTCGGCTAATTCTTCATGACAAGTTGGCGTTGTCCAAATTTGGAAGAGTTTGTGATAATTGGGAAAATGACATCAGCAGTACAGAGGATATGGGAACGAGGTTGCGTTTGCTTAGGTCCAGTTCAAACGTCGATCTTTTCATGTAGCGAACGTAATCCCTTCAATTTAGAACATGAAGAGATCGACGTTTGAATCAGTGGTCCAACATATCCTGAATTTGCGTCGACCTATTAATTAAAATCGAGTGGCCCACCACAGGGTCCAGAGGAGATGTGTTTGTCGTTAGAACATCAAAAGCCGTCGAAAACCTCTGAAAAAATGGGTTATTTTGATCGCGTTACAGTTTCGTTACACATTCTATAGACCGCAAACCAAGAGACTGAGGGCTCGTAAGATCGCCAGTGAGGATATGGCTTGCGGTTATTGATTTTCAAAATGGCGAACAACAAAGTGGATCTGGTCAGGTAAGAAGCGAAGAAATCGTTTACAGTAGATTCAGTAAGATCCCATTGGGCTAATTAATCGTGCTAAGCGACAGGTATAGACATTTTTCAAGCTGAGACTTTAAACAAGTAATTCATTTATTCACACGAAACTCCTCTGGACCCTGTGGCCCACATGGGAATTTCGACCGTAGAGTGATTTCGCTTCAAACGTCTAACTTCTCATATGCCGAACCTAATGCATAAATTACTAAAATTTATTTTCATTAGTAAGCATTTTAGACCAGTGTACATTGTGAAAATGAATTTAGTCCAACTAAGTAAGTTCGACGTCTGAATTAACCGTCGAAGTTGTATCATTTGGGTCGATCTAAATAGGTATTAACCCTTTAAACCCTAAGATCAGAATTTGAATTCTCATTTATTGCCCCTATTCATTTCCAGCAGACGTAGTGGGGAGAAGTTGATAAAATATCACACAAATACGTCTTGTGTGATCATGTCCTTAATTCTCATGACCACTCTGTTTTACAAAGCATTGCTATTACAAGGGGAAATTTGATGCTGATCACTCTTAGGGCTTAAAGGGTTAAGTTCGGTACATGAAAAGATCAACGTTTAAACTGGGCATTAGCTGCTTTGGTAGAGCTGGAGAAAATGGCGGAAATGTTGACGCGTTTTTCGAACAAGAAATAGCCAACCTACTGCTAAATGTTTTTAATCCTGCGGAACAGTGCTAGCATCAAACTACTGTTAGGAATTATATCTCTTACAAATTCATTGGACTTTCAGATGGAGATCACAAATGACGTCCAGTTCTTGTTACCGATCATGGTCGCCATTATGGTAGCGAAGTGGGTTGGTGACTTTGTCACTCATCCTCTTTATTTTGCACTGCTGGAATTAAACTGCATTCCCTTCCTTGCTGAACCTGTTATTCTCCACAAGGGATCACGAGCGTAAGTCGTTATAGGTGAATGGCTCTCAGATTGTCCCAGTTTTTTTCCTCCCACGCATTGGCTGGTTTTCATTCGGGAGCTTAGGTTATAAAGACATTTTAAACAACGCATGTTTGTACACCGGAAATGGACTATTTGGATTCATGAGCAGTGGTTTTGTCCAATATTTCGGACCAATCGTATGTGTAAGAGTAATAAAACTTGGCAATAAAAGTTGAATAGGGTCAAGGCATATTAAAAGGAAACTTAAGGCCTCGCATTCGGTTGACGTGCGTGGCTCAGGCAACGCCTTTGCTTTAGTTCCCTGTTAGTGAACTTTCACCTTCAAACGACACATGATCGTACTCAGGTCGCTCAAAATTCTCGTGTGTTTCCCGCGCGTAGCTATGACGACATTTATTGCTTTAAGTTCAGGCCGCAGTTGTTCAAAAGCTGGTCAGCACTATCCACTGGATAAATCACTATCCAGTGGGTAAATATTAGGGAAACCACTTGCGTTCTCCAATGGACAGAGATTTCTCCAGTTTATAGCTTTATCCACCTTTTGAACTATTGGGACCTGATTGATTCCTTGAATTTTCTGAGTTTGCTGTACATGGATGAAGTCGTGAATTCAATTTTAGATTGATCTTTAGAGATTTGGTTTCAGTTTTAGACATTCGGCGAGGTTTTAAATTGACTATTAAGGCAACACTAAGGGGAATACCAGTTATAAACGAGTCTCGTTCTCTCAAATCCATCTGAAATTGGCCATTCGCGAGTCACCCAAAGGCTCTTGTTTCAAAGCTCTTAATATGAAAATGAGGTTACATTCCCATGCAAATAAATCTCATTTTCACAAAAAAAGGCATTGCAAGTGAGACTTTTTGGAACTCTTGTTAAGGTTTGTGATTCACGTAAATTTCCGGGTTGAGAATTTGAGTTGCGAATTTAAGTTCATAAAGGCAAAGGAATATCAACAAATGTTGTCATGCAGAGAGTGGGACATAAATGTAAAAACCAACACAAGGCAACGCATTGATTTACTCATCAATCACGTTTTTGTTTCCTTCTTCGCGCCGTGTTTCCCTTTGTTATTATTAACGCCTGCTAATCAAAAATCTTCATCGACTTTTTTTCTTCTAAGCAACTTTCTTTGCTCTTTTAGGATTAACTTGGAGTTGTTAAAAGCTGGAGATGCCATGTCGTCGCCGGCCATTGTAAGTTTAACAGAATTAACACATACTTTTTTATTATTTGAAACCGAAAGTTGCTGTAAAAAATTTTTAGGGAGTTTCATGTCTGAAAAAGGGGATTAAAAATACCAGAAGGTTATGCAGAAATCCAAGGGTCACGTTTGTTTTTGAGACTTTCTTTGCATTTTATTTCCAAAAGCAAACGGATCATTTTAACGTTTCTGGGAAACTGCCCACCTACCTCACCCCTAAGCCACCATTAACACTTACTTCTCACTAAGGTCAAAATGTTGGCTTAGGGGAGGGGTAGGTGGGCAGTTTCGGCGTCCTGAAGTGATGCACTGATCAGCGACCATCCCAGGGACACACGCGGTTAGAGTGCGGCTTTGGTCCAGTATGGTTGGGAGCGAATCACTTAATTGCATTTTTCATAGTGTTTAAGAAACTCGAGGAGACGTTTGGAAGTATAGACGTACAGCTGGGTCCTCTTCTTCGGTGCATGCCTGAAGAATTCAATTCCTCGCACGCTCAGGAACTAAATCCTTGAAGTTTGCATTTTCATCTTTCAGGTTGTTCACAAAATCGAGTCAGTGTCTCGACTCACTCAGCTTTTGCAAGATACCCGTCACTGTGGGTACCCTGTGGTGGTAAAAACCGACAGAGGGGATGAAGTGTTCTCAGGTTTAATATCTCGGTAAGTATTTCCTGTCTAGGGTAAGTGTACTCCTTCCCTGTAATTTCCTCTAACCTTCCCACCTGCCCAAATTCTCCCCTCTCACTGTTCCCTCCTCACTTGCGTTACCTACTGACATCTCTCTTTCCGCGCGCGTTACGTGCCGGTTGTCCTCCAAGGACCATAGCCTTGTCGTGAGCCACTTTTTTTCCTGTAACTATGGGTGAGAGGGACTGAGTTTGACGCACACAAATTTGGGTAACCTGTGCTAGCGAATAATGCACGTATAGGCACAGCGCGGTACTTGTCTGACACCGCAAAGAAGAGGTTTTACCACAGGTAGCCCAAGCTCGAAATATGAGCATCGGCAAACATCGGCATTGTTGCGTAACAATCTAAATATAAGGGTTTTTACGTCCTTCCCTTGAGGGGTGCATAGGTATGTTGTAGGTAAAAAAGAAAATTCAGGTGAAAAAATTGTGACCTAGGTTGATTCTCGATATTCTTTTTTTCTAACCTAAATTATTGCAAATAATGAAAGGGAGACAAAGGAAGCTGATAATTGAATTACCACGAAAAAATTAATCAAAATTTGATTTTGACTTTCAACACTTACACTCTATTAGTTATTTATAGTCCCTTTATGTAACGCAAAATTTATTTCGTTTCTAAGGCCCAGTTCAGACGTCGTGCTTCTGCCGTGCCGAACTAAATTCAGGAATTAAGTTCGACAAAAGCACGGCAGAAGCACGGCGTCTGAATCAAACTTTTGAATGAAGTTCGGCAAGCAATTAAGTTCAACAAGCGCTGCCGTGCTACACGGCTCTGGCACGGCAGCGATTCAAACGTCGTGCTTCTGCCGCGCTAAACAAAATTCATAAATTATATTATTGTATTTTGGCGAGATTGCGTTCCCACGGGGAGTTGGGAGAAGAGTTGTTACGAGGCATCAGTAAATCCTGAATTTGGTTCGACTCTGGCACGACATCTGAATCAAAGTTGTTTTCCTGCCGTGCTATAGTCGAACCAAATTACAATTAAGTTCGGCACGGCAGAAGCACGACGTCTGAACTGGGCCTAAGGTGGCATAATATCGCCAATGTCCACTTCTGTTGTTGCCTTTTAGAAACGACATCATGGTTCTTCTGTCTCGCGAAGATATATTTTGTTCTCGAGAGAAACTATCACTGTACCAAGAGGAGTCGGACATAAACAGGCTTGACTACAAACAGGTGAGTGCGGCTGTTTAAACATTTGTTGCTGTCGTTGTTTGAGGTAAAGAAGAGAAGCTTTTATGAAAGTGTAGTCTGCACAGTGGATGCTAATTAAAGTTGTAAGGCCTGTTTTCATGGAGGTGGGGACCCCAGGTAGGTGAAGTAACCCGCTTAGATGGGCTAACCCGCCTGTTCATATAATCTCTCATTTTAATGCGTTCACGTTTACGTGATAGGTAGGGCGACCGTCTGAAAGATTATACAGACAGGCTGGTTACCCCACTTAGGTGGGTTACTTCACTTACCTGGGATCCCCCTCATGCATGTAAACAGCACCTTAGAGTAAAATCCCAAACGTTAATCCAACCTTTTTAGCGTGTGGTTTATCTTTTCAATATGAAATTAGGAAAATCACACGGCATCAGTTGAGTAAAATTTGTGTCTAATGGAAGAGTTCTCCTGGTCGTCTTTTAAATGTTGCCTAACACGATTTCGCCTGTGCATGTGCATCCAGGGTTAAGGTACGGAAGAATGGGTACCAAAAACGTTCAACTTGTTTTGCACATTTCCGCAAAACAAGGTAAAAGGGATGTTGCGCGTTTTACCACTTGTTGCAGGTTGCGAAAACAGTTGTTAAAGAAAGCAGAGAGTAGTTGCCCGTTTTTGCTGCCCCTTTTACCTTAGCTTTAGTCACCTTGACAACTCATATGCTTTCTTCGTCGTCAACTCAGGATTATAGCTGACTGGACTTGGAAAAACTTGACCCTGAATGGAATTCTGGTTGAAGTTTTGTGTGAACTCCTGTTTATTAGCTGTTCCCTTAGTCTGTGTATGAAAGTCTTTAGTGTGACCATTGAAATTAAGACTGGGTGCTGTTTATTTCTTTGCACATGGTGGTTCAGTGATTCTGTGTGGGAAATCCTATCGACTAGTATCGAACTCTGCTTCTGCGTGGTTGGTATTTAATTACCAGTTAAAAAAGAAATCGTACCTGTTGTATCCTATTAATATATAAATTGAAGGATTGCCAGTTGTGAAACTACAACTGAAACTAGCATGAAAGAAAGCGCACAACTAGTCGATCAAGTGCTTCTTTATTCATTACCTGTGATGTAAGTCTACACGGAGTGTATCTCGCTTACCACTTCTTTTAATACACGACAGCGCCTATCATATGTATGCTCTTGTACGCAAAAATACTGAGCTTTCTCTTTTTTTGTAGATGGACCAAGGATACCACAAGGATCATGCTGCTCGATTGAACACTCAGTTAGATCTTTACGCAGAAAATCCGCGTTACCAGAATTTGTTCATCAATCTGGTAAGAAGCGACACTGGTAAAAAGAAATATTGTATTTTCCCGATGTAGCAATATCAAAAGTTGGGGAGGGGTGAGTTAGTGCCGGGTTTACACCTCTCTCATATTCAGGCCACGCAGCAAAGTAAAGCTCAAGAAAGTCAAAACAAGAACGCGTTTAAAAACGTTAAGTCTGGCTTGGGTGGAGATTATGAGATAAGAACTGAGGAGGCGATTAATTTACACGAAACAGGATTTCCTTGCCTAAGGTTTTTTATTTCCTACTTTATTTTTTTATTTTGAACAACATTTATTCAGGGTTGTCCAATACTGTCGACTAGAATCCAGTCGTATCCTCTTTCTTCTCATGGAAAAACCGAAAGTCTAGTGGTGTGAAGTCCTACCAAGTGTATTGGATCCATTGGACACGAATAGATTCCGATGGAAAAGTTAATTTTCTATTCGTGAGAGACTTAGAATAATTCCACTCATGTTGGATGAAGGGGTGGAAAGTCGTTCCGATGGAGTCCATCGGATCCATTGGAAACGAGTAGATTCCAATAGAAAAGTTCATTTCTGTTGGTGAGAGACTTCCACTCATGTTGGATGAGGGGGTGGAAAGTCGTCCGATGGAGTCCATCGGATCCACTGGGCATGCAATAGATTACGATGGAAAAGTTCATTTTCTATTCGTGAGAGATCTTGAAAGATTCCACTCATGTTGGATGAGGGGGTAGAAAGTCGTTCCGATGGAGTCCATCGAATCCATTGGAAACGAATAGATTGCAGTGGAAAAGTACATTTTTCTATTCGTCAGAGATTTAGAAAATTCCACTCCTGTTGTATGAGGGGGTGAAAAGCCGTTCCAATGGAATCCATTGTATCCATTATATTCGAATAGATTCCAATGCCTGGAGAGATACATTTTCTATTCGTAACGGCAGGTCAAAAATTGTCATCATGTTGAACGAGGTGGAAAAGATGCAGGTGCAGGCATCTAGTACAGCAGGAGTGTCCAAAGGTTTTATCCTCATATTTTGAATGAGGCTCTTGTTCTCTGCCTTAGTCTCTTTTAAAAATGTGCTTGGGCAACAGAGAATAGATCTCTTTAACTGGTATGTTGTGGGTGCGTTCCTTTGGGATGATGCGGATCGGAATCAGTGATACAAGAAACCCGGATCATAGTACATTAAAGCCTGGTTTCCATATGATCGCTACGATAGCTGCGATCGCTGAGAAAAAAAAGTTCAGCGATCGAAGCGATCATAGCGATCATGAAAATGAAAATGATTTTCATACGATCGCTGAACTTTTTTTTCTCAGCGATCGTAGCGATCATATGGAAACCAGGCTTTTATGAATCGATGAATCCTATCACAGGGTGAATTAGTCGGTTCCTTTGATGTACTATGATCTGGGATCACTGGGATCACTGGGATCACTGATCCTGATCCTGATTATCTCAGAGGAACGCACGACAGTGTACGTCATGTGATAATACTCAAGGAACAAATTCCCCTGGGAAAAAAATTGGGAAAAAAACATAAGCCAAAGCGGTCTATTAAGAGATTCGATTAATCGACAAACAAAGAGTAGATAGGTGCGGTAGATGTATAGTGTACTCCTTTTTTCTCATTTGGATTCAAACTGATTTATATGCAACTTTTTTGTATCGTTTGCAGTCACCTTACGTGAATCATTCCGCTCCCACGGTACAAGAGACGTTCTCTCTTCACAGAACCTACATCATATTCAGGACACTGGGTTTGAGGTATGTCTGTCTACTGATGATACTGACACTGACAATGACTTGAGCGAATTTTAAGGACGACACCTTCGGATACAAAGCTATTACCGTTTAGTATTATTCAACTAGTGGTCTATTATCAATGCTGCGTTCTGATTGGTTGAGCTACTACTAGGCTATCTGTTATAGCCCACTACCAAAACAATGGCGGTTGAATCGCGTTTTGCTTGCTAAAGTTGTTTTGTCTCAATATTTTTGACCAACTAGTTGGATTTTACTAAAACAATAGACCTTTGTCACGCGGCGGCCCTTTTGTCTAAGGAGAGTTAAAAAGCTTTGTTTAGGCACGGCTAGCCTCGTTCTCTCTACTAGGCTAGCCGTGGGTAAACAAAGCTTTTTAAATCTCCTGAGACAAAATGGCCGCCGCTTGACAAATGTCTAGTATTCCTCTCGCTCTCATGGCTTCAGAGTCAATAGCCAATTCGGCCTTCGGCCTCGGTCAACACTTATTTCCATCCGCCAAACTGACGTTGACAGATTAATCATTCGTACCCAAAGTAAAGGTTAGGGTGGGGCTGGAGTGCGGAAGGGACTGAAAATAATTAAGATGATACCCAAACAAGAAAGGACCTAAGTTATTTGACATATATACCAATAAATGGTATCTTCAAAAAGATGGAGCTAAGTTATTTCTGAAAACTGTTTTCTCCTTTAGTAATAAATTTCGTTCAATATAAAGTAAATTCTGTTAATGACCACGCCTGTCGGCAAGAACACTGCGGGGGCAGATAAGCTGTTGTTGACTATCACTTGAGCCATAGACTGTGAACAGTCTATTGTAAGATCGTCGAGATCGAGCGCTTTGCGTTACGGGCGGCCATCTTGGATGAGTGTCCAATATACTTAGGGAGAGTGGGAGCGCCACCGCTTTAAACCCCGACGCCCGCCCCCTTGGTACATATAAAACCAAGATGGCCGCCGGACCGGTAGGCGCTCGATCCGGACGATCTTACGAAAAAATAGGGGACTGTAAACAGTCTACTTGAGCCAGTGAAAACAGAGACGGGTTTGACCCACTCTTTTCAACCTTCTTTTTTACCAACAGGCATTTAACAGTCGTTGACGAGAGAAACAGGTATGTTGTAGTTTCTTTGGGGCTTTTTTCCGTCGTGCTTGTTTGATTTCATGAAAAAAAAGTCGCTGCTCGCTCAGGAGATGAAACTACCGTAACGAGAACGGCAGTAACAGCGGAGCTCTCTCGCGCGCTAGCGGAGCACCATGGGTAAGAAAATTTGGTAAACTATCCATCCGAGAAAATTTGGTTGTGACGTAGCGTACGAACGCCGACCGTCCGTACACCCACTTCATGTAAGCCGGTGCTAAATGTCAGGTTATTTTATTTGTCTTGTGAAGCAGAGACAGCTAAAGAGTCAAACACGGAAAGCGGAAAATGTTTTTGTATCCTGTTGTTTAAAGTGTTAAGTGTAGATTAATTGTCATGTTACAAATTTGGAAAATAGAAAAAGAGAAAGTAAGGCGAAAGGCCACCGAAGCTCAACGAGAAAAAGAGCCAGAGCGAGATAGAAAAAAGAAAGGAGACATTTTTTGTCGGAGGAACAACATGAAATTTTGTAGCGGCGGTGAGAAAATAAGAAATGCTAGCGGCCACCTGGGTGAATAAGAGCAACAGTGCAAAAAAAGTGGACAAGAACACGTACGACATTTCCTATCCCTTACTATGCAATTCCAGCGAAATTCGCCTACTTTGACAAATTGAGCGAGTTCAAGAGAGGATTCGCGAAGAAGTCTAAAGGAGCAAAAATTCACTTTACTAGTGACACTAATATATAGATTTAGCCAGGACTAAAAGCGTAGCTCTCGATAAGATTTATAGTTTGCTCAAACAAAATGTAAAATCGCGAAATGCTAAGCGGCGAAGGCAACGAGAACGGTGAAAAAACAACAATAGGGCCATTTATACGAGGAAAAATAAGACGCGTCTTACATAGGACGCGTCTTAAATAAGACGCGAACTTTCTGTATAAACGGCACATTTCGTCTAAAATAAGACGCGACTTAGCTGAGACGCGTCTTTTTTTAGAACAGCCCTTAACACTTGTTCTTAGATAAGACGCGTCTTAGCTAAGACGTATAAATGACCTTCGCGTCTTACATAAGACGAGAAGGCATGGTACGCATGCGTTAATCTTTGGCGGGAAAATTTTTGCGCCTTGTTGGTTGCCGTTGCTACGGGCAACACTCACATGAAAGCGAGTCAAGAACAGAAATAAGACGCGAACCATTTATACGAGCTGTTCTTGTCTTAGATAAGACATGGTCGTATAAATGGTACAATTCGCGTCTTATGTAAGACGCGTCTTATTTTTCCTCGTATAAATGGCCCTAATATGTCTAATTAGCAAAAATGCAACTCTGCACGTGCAGCACACTTTTTTTGTACATTTTTTTGCCGTTGTCTTGCACGCCTACAACGAGAAAATTCCAGAAACTTCCTGGCTACACGTTTTATGGATCCACCTCTCTTTAGTTTCTGAGCTTTTGTCAGAATTGCTGTGTGTTAAAAATACATAAGTTCTTGATTAATAATTTCTTTACTCCAGGGTCAGGGGAATAATAACCCGCAAAGATCTCATGGGATTCCAAATGGAGAAACGTATCCGCAAATCCCTTCATTCGTCCCGAAACCGCGAAATGCAGCCACAGAGTTCGTCACAAGGGCACCGGCGAAGCATGGACGCTTAAAGTGAGTTCGAACCTCTCACCTCTCTTGCTTATAGGTGGTTTTCATGCAATCTCGGGAGACACAAAAACAATGGTGAAATGAACAAATGCTGGTAGACAAACAAAGAGAGCTAATGAGCGATCTTTTGTTTACCGTCCACCAGCATGGCGCCGATGAAGTAACGTGAAAACCACCTATTTGTCGAGCGGTGTTATGTGACCTAACTTACTTCCAACGTACCTATCTCAGTCATAGAATTCTTCACTTTTTATGAGGAAAATAATGCGTTGAATACGGCGTTGAATTCTGACAGATAAACGTGTATCTAATATACATCAGTGATAGACGTCGCAAATAGTTTTGGTATTATATGGTACTTATGATATACCTATAAGCAATCGTAACAGAAAAACATTTATAAGGTATAATATGATATTAATTACTAGTGGAATTAATCAAATTTAGATTCTGGTAGAAATATACAGTCCACTCCCGATAACTCGAACCCTCGCTACAGCTGTAGCTCGAACCTTGCGCTACAACCAGTTGCAAAAATACTTGAGACACTGTACCGTATTTTGGCATAAATGGACTGTCCATGATCTTATGCTTGTGATCCCCCCTCCACCCTTTATCAAAGTTGCTAGCAATACAAGATCGTGCTCAAATCTTGGAGGAACAACTTTGAATGGGAGGGAGGAGGGACGTCAGTATTATATCTCGTAGACCTGTGACTAGCAGCGATTTGAAGCAAGAAAGGTCGTTTTTTTCCCTAGAAGGTTTCAGTTATCGGGAGTAGACTGTACTTGTATTCTTGTGTTGTCAAAAATTTGTACGTATCAAAATTTGTAAAATCAGAATGCTTAAAAGAAAGAATGAACAGAATTATCTATTTAAATGTTATCTTCTGATTAATTTTAGTTTATAAATTTCCATAAATTTCAAATTCTACAAATGTCCAGTAAATAAGAAATAGTTCATAAATTTCCATAAATTTCAAATGATTTTCCATAGGTCGATTTTTAATATATTGGATTCTACAAGTGTCCAGTAAATAAGAAATAAATTAAAAATATGATGTACATTTTGCCTAATCATAGGCTTGTTTTATTCGTTTTTTTCTGTTCCATTATTCAGCCATTAGGTCGTTCCGTTTTGCTGTTTGGCACACCATATACGTGTATACTAAAAAATCACTGCGCTTTTAATCCTCTTATCCTTTCGATGCCGCGTTTTCGTGGAGCAGGGCGTATTATCGACCTTAGGCAGCCATAAAAAGATGATGCTTTGACTCGCTTTGCGTTTAGGCGTGGGGTTCCTTTTCGTTAACTTGGGTTTTTAAGAGCTCTTCGCTGTGAAAGGTATTTGCTTAAACGGTGGTTTACATTTTGTTTGCCAGTACTTTCATTAGCTTCCCACGCAGACGGCGTTCTTAGGGGCTCGTCATGCATTCCTGTAGCAGGAACGCACGACGAACCCTTAAGAACGTCTGCATGGGAGACTATACTGTCATCGGCCATCCGGTAACACAACTGATGACATTTTACCGAAATAATTATTTACCGCCACTTTGATTCTCCCGACCGCGCAAGCTACAAAAAAGCCACAAAGAAGTGCGACCTTTGAGTGAGAGTTGGTTGATGGTTTTCGGAGGCGGTTTTAACGTGATTCTTTAGGTACTCGCCACCCCTAAACTTGAGAGAGCCACGTTCTCATCGCGGTTAAAATTTCAGCGGTTAGTGCGGCGCTTATTTGTTGAAAGCGCCTTTTTGATTAAAATCTAAATACGTTTTTGTACTCAGGCGTCTCTCGTATTGTGCGAATAAAATGGAAGAAAAAGAAGAAAGATATCTCTTCTCTTTCATTTTACCCGTGATGCGGTTTGCCTGGCGTCTTGCTTCACGCTTCAGATAATTGAAGTAACAAACGCGTCGCGCGACAATGTTGCTACTGAGGAGGATGATTTCGATATTATGAGAAAAATGTTTTTAGGGCGGGTTGTCATCTTTTGCTTTGCTAACCAAAACAATGGTGTCTTCTATTATCGTTGGATTTTGGAATGTGCCGGATATATTTAGAGGACAACTTATATCTGATCCAATTCTCCCCTTTCAAAAATTTCAATCTGCAAACTGAATTCTACATTGTTTCTTTTATTATTTATTTAGACTTTCCTTGAAACTGTACATCCTTTCTCCGCTAGAGTTACTGAATTTATTTAATATGCTTTTACTTCGTAAAACCTGGGAGTCGGAAATGACCCGTGGGAGTGTGGCAGTTCTGTGAGTATTTTGCCTGCGCCTTGAGCAAATATAAACCTCCCAACGCAACAGCTGTTTAGTACAAGAAATTATTTCCATACACGGGTGAAGATCCCGTTTCAAACGACAGTTTTTATTGTCTCTCTAGTAATATAAAATACATGTTTATTTGTACTTTAGTTCTTGGAATGCACGTATGTCTGCATAGATGTATACGTGTTTCTGAAACTAAATATTGGAGTAAAGATATTTGAAACAAGCTGTGAATAGTAAATTCAGTTCAAAACCTTTATTACTTATTAAATACAGAGTTTTAAACTAGTCAGTCGATCTAAGTAAGATTGAATGTCCCTTTCCCTGGACCTCAGTGGCATTTCTTGGCTTAACCTAAAAGAGAAAAAATGATACATTTAATGCAAAAACTAGTGAAATTCGCCATGTGAATCAACACGATGACAGGGGATAAAACAGGTGGATTTGCCTTCCAACTGATATCAAACTATAAATCATCCCCTCAGCCCATGAGATGTTGACCACTTCACTTGGTTCTAGGTCCCCTGCTCTTTATGAACAGCTGTGTGGATTCTTTTACGTCATACAAGGGTTAGCAGTGAAAGTGCTGTGAAACGAACGGGACCCTTTGATTTGAAACAAAGGAAGCACATTCTTCTCAGTTTTTTTAAGACCCTGAGGGTGAGTCCGAGAGGGACTGGAACCCAGGCCCACCGCTTAGAAGTCTGATGTACAACGGTACACATTATATTGAGCTACCAGTAGGCGGTTCAATAATGTACTTGATTAACGTTTGTTTTGTAACCCAGCTACCCTGTTTGGACACTTAGTTAAGTGCTGCAAAGGATGTTTGGCTGGTTGTTATTCAAATGTGTAACGAGTGAAACGAAAGAATCTTGTTTCAAGAAGCAATGCGCTTCTGGTTGGCACATGAAATGTCAATAGGTGACTTTAGTTCGATTATCGCTTGGCCAGTGATGTAGTTTGGTTAAGTATTTCACGTGTTTTACATTGCTACGATAGAATTAGAATTGAAATAAACTAGATAGAATTGAGGTAAAGAAATTTTCGAGAGCACAGTGGTTGTTTTGCTCTCTGCGCAGAGAAAAGGTGGAAATTTTTGAACCTTAACCGAGACTTCAAGATTTCCAGAACAAAGTAACTGCTGCAACATTGGGAGAAAGACGTTCAGTCACCAGCTGTACGTTACACCGCGAGAAAACAAACGTGGTAAAATATAACTCATAGAACCACTGGAGCACCAAACAGTGTTTCTCGTTATACCTTTAAATACGTCATCAAAAAGGGGGGCCATTCGGGCACGCATTGCAGTTGCACGTTTGTGAGCTCTCTCCGGGCCCCTGGCACTGGCTATGCCCTTGGCCGTACGCGCAGTTGCAAAATCGGACCCTGAATTGTTTCCCACAGCCACAGGCCTTAGTGCATTGGCTCCAGTCACTCCAGTCACTCCAGTCACTCCAGCAATCTGCAGGTTCAAGGACAAGCGTAAGCGAACAACAAACAATGAAGTTTTCCTGAAGGGAAAACGAGAAAGTACCACAAGGGGCTCATCATTGGGACACTTACTTACCCTCCACACTTCCGCTGAGTCGACCTTTTAGGTCGGGTCTTAGAAAGACAGGAAAGTCTCAAGAAGCCAACTAGAATGTCTGTCACTCTTTGTGTTTGCACACCCACAAATGAAAAGGAATTCACGATGACAATCGAATTGTCTTACGATGTGTCGGTCTGAATAGCGCTACCCATTGGATAAATCTCTTTCCAATGGATAAGTATTAGGGAAACCAATTGCACTATCAACTGAATAGAGATTTATATGGTGGATACCGCTATCCAATTTTTGAACAACTGGGGCCTTGTCTGGATAATTACTACTTTCGTAATAGTGGCCCCTTTTAATGGGGCATTGAAAATGAATGGGCACCAAGCACGGAACCGCGAAAGTGTGAGCAAAGGACCAAAGTACCAGAGAGAAAGAGTTCCTAATGATAGACATGCAGCGCAAAGTAAAGAGTTTAATGAAAAGGAAATAAGTGTTGACAAGGTTTCGAAATCCTCTCGTTTTAGCGCCTTCGCCCACTTAGATATTCCCGGAAGGATCTGTCTTCACCATAGGGAAATAGAAAATCCTCTTTCCTCCTAGGTTTGATGTGGTTACATCGTTCGAACACCGGAAAATATATTGTCTGTAAATAAGTGCGATACGCGAGGCACCCGCAATTTGTTTCTTTCAGACCGCAATTGTTTGCTTGAAACCTCCTGCCCTGTTTGCTACTTTACATTACTGGCCCTACTAGTTCAAAAGATGGATAGCGTTATCCACTGGACAAATTTTTTAAAGCAATGGGTAACGCAATAGGATTGCCTAACACTTACCGCTGGATAGTGATTTATCCGGTGGATAGCGCTATCCAACCGTTGAGCAACCGGGACCTGTTCTTTGTCCAGCCTAGGATTAGATGGGATAGTTGGTATAAATGTTGACTTGTAACGCAATACACTCACCTCCTGGACATGGTCCCAGATCACATGGCTTATTACCCACGGGAAGTCCCACACAAGATTTACCTCCGGGACTCGGAGGGGGATTATCACATCGCCGGGTTCTGATACTAGTCCCAGGCCCACATGATGTACTACAGGCACTCCACTCGCTCCAGTTCCCCCATCCGCCGTTGACAACTGCAACTAAAAGAATAAAGGTATGAAAGTCTACATGTGTTTGTACTTCTTGGACGAGTTTGGTGCCGGCTCGTCCGTATTTTTCAGAAATTAGTTACTCAGCAGCGTACGAAATAAGGTTTCACACGTTAATAATGGAAATTGTAACCTTATCATGGAATTTCAATTGAATTTTTTGCAAAATTATCTTGTTTATTTCTGTCATCTTACCAAATAATTACAGCGTCAAGTCATTACCTATCGCGTTCCTGTCACCTTTATTTATTCTTTCGTCCGCCGTTAATTTGTTTCTTTCTTTGTTTTGTCAGTCCTTCCTCCTCCATTCATTTGTCAGACTCGGTCGTAAATAAGTTTCTTTACGAACCGAATTCTAATCGGCTCTTGTTTAGGTTCTGGGTAACTGACCACCTATCCCTCCCCTAAGTTAACATTAACACTTACTTCTCCCTTAAGGTAAAATTGTGACTTTGGGGAGGGATAGGTGATCAGTTACTTAGGAACCTCAATTGATCTTGGTTACATACTTCAATTCCCGCCTTCGTTTACTCGCATTTATACATGTGCTCGTCCTGCTCTGTATATTTACCTGTAGGACATGGTCTTAAATTGCAAGGCTTGTTCTCCAAACGAAGTCCCACACAAGGGTTTCCCCCGGAACCCGGTGGAGGACTGTCGCATCGCCGTGTCCTGATGCTGTTCCCAGGCCCACATGATGCACTACATGCGCTCCAGTCGCTCCAGTTTCCCCATCCGCCATTAACAACAACTTCAAAAAAATTTAATCAAATTCAAGGATTATTCTTGTTCTTAAATAGACCTCCTCTCCCCGCTCCTGGATCTCCTCTCCTGAACTTTTTTATGCTGATTGATAGAGCGATTTTCGTTTGACCTTGAAATGAAAACGCGCGAACAAAACCGAACCAAGAAACGAACGGAAATAGAGCGATATGATTGGTTCATCGAGCGGACACAAACGCGCGTGTCTACTTCATGCCCGAGAACTTTCTAGAAATCAATCCATTCTTCGCTTTGACGTCATACTGCAACACGATTGGCCAATCGAACAATGCCTTCTCCATATTAGGGTTTTCTTTGGCATGTTTTGATCTTTTCATCCATTGGCTGATAAAACAAATAACGAACACTTACCGAAACCATTTTTCAAGGTCATACGAAAATCGCTCTAACAGCAATAGTCTCTTTGCAGCTGGTCAGTCACGTGGTATATAAGCGCTCAGCTGGGATGCAAGAAACGCTCTGGGACAAGACAAACATGAACCTCACAGAAATTTATAATGCGCCTTTTCCATTCAAATATGATAAAAGGCAGGTGGATATATATCCGCCTCTAATTAGCGTCACTAGAACGAACAACAGTTAACTTTACCTCTTAGGAATCTAGTTATTCAATTGTGTGTGTATGCAAAAATTTTACTGTTGGCGTGCAGAGTTTAGGGTGAGTTGAACTTACTGGGACATGCCTTCAGCAAACAGGACTTCGTTTGTTTGTCAATTCCTTTGCATCCCTTTCCTCCGTTCTGAGGCGGAGGATTGGTACACGATCGCTTCCGAGTCTTGGTTCCAGTCTCACACGTCTTAGAACACGCGGACCATGTTGCCCATAATGACCAGCGACCGTTGACTAAGGGAGATTCCCGATAAAAGCGTCAGTCCGAAACGGTTGCGATAAAAATTTTTTTTAGCGAAAACTGATGGGGAGAAACACTTGGAGAGTCAAGTGAGTATATGAGGCAAGACACCCCAGATTTCAAAATTATCTATCTTCCTTAATGTTTGCTTCTATAAAAACTGACATGTCGCCTTTTTTTCACTGGCCGAGTCTTTCAACTCTAAGCACCATTCCAGTAAAAATGTCCTAGAATGCACTGATAATTAACTGCGGTTTATAAGAGAGTTATAAGAGCTTTATTTTACTTGAAATAATTAAAAATTACTTGTCTTGAAATATTTCTTAGCTTATTTAGGCTCTAGTGTAAAGACTATCAGTATTTTCAGGTGCGAAAATAAAGATGAAGAGGCGGCGCGGGAGGAGACGTCACTTTAATGGAGCTGAATCACGGATTTCATCCAAATTCTGAAAGTAGAAACTGTCACCAAATTGAGTGAAACAAAAATAGTCGCTAAAAACGTTGCAACAAGGTATTAATAACAGAGCAAATACAAAACTGAAAAGTAGGTTAAGATGGAAAAACTCGAGAAACTGAAAACAATGCTTATGTGGCTTCATAGCTTAGTTGGTAGAGCAACGCACCGGTAACGCGGAGGTCACGGGTTCGAATCCCGTTGAAGCACTAATTTTTTTTTTTTTTTCAGGCTTCTTCTTTCCAATTGCTTAAATTGGAAAATTTACTACGATGATCATTCTCCACTTTCAAAAAATGTATTGTCGGCACGTAGAGTGGAGGGGGGGGGTGAACTTACTGGGACATGCCTTCAGCAAACAGGACTTCGTTTGTTTATCAATTCCTTTGCAGTCTTTTCCTCCGTTCTGAGGCGGGGGATTGGTGCACGATCGCTTCCGAGTCTTGGTTCCAGTCCCACACGTCTTAGAACACGCGGACCATGTTGCCCATAATGACCAGCGGCCGTTGACTGAAAAGGGTTTAAAATAAAACAGTCACGTGTTTAGTCAGATCGTCACCGGAGCAGCAGCTTGTTGTTTAGAGAGCGTTACTTCATTCATTAGATCGTTTGCTCGTTCATGCTGAAAATCTCTGCGTTTTATTTATTTCATTTTACTTTTGCGGTGTTCATCTTTCCTTTAATGACTGTTTCCCTGTTCAAGATAACTAAAACGTGACTTACCGGGGCACATTTGAGTGTTACAGTCACGCGTCTCCTCATGTGATCCAGGACATTTGTCATATCCAGAGTTGTAACCAAAACAAGTTCTTTTCCGGCTTTGAGATCCAGTTCCACAGGTTTTTGAACATGCTGACCATGTTCCCCAGGAACCCCAGCCACCATAACCTAAGAAGCATCAGAAAAGCAGGAAGCACAAGTGTCAAGAAAGAACCAGCCTGCCGCAAATGGTAAGTTCAGCTATATCAGATTTTACCTGGTTTTCACGTAAAATAAAGCTAGCTTTAGTGTAAAGCGACCCTTCAATCGACGGATAGTATCGAGTGAGGTGGGGGGGAGACGGATAGTATCGAGTGAGGGGGTGGGAGAGGGGGGTGTTAGATTGATAGGGACGACAATTTTACGAATTTGATGTTTCTTAACGCTGTTTTCAGTTATTAGTCAAGATATGGGCGGTTTTAAGCAATGGCTGGAATTTCGACAGCCGCTGATTACTAAAAAGTTACAAGAACAGAAATCACTTTCCTTTATTTTAGCCAATGATATTGCATGGGAGTAGTTGAATAAAGTAAGGTTAAAATCGAACAATGGAAAGCCAATTGTACGACAGACAAAAGAAAACGCAAATCGGATTGAACGTGAGTTTTTATTTGTTGTTGTTTTTCAGGCGCCCCCAGCCACGGACTCGGTAGAGCAATGGTCAGTGCAATGGCCGAACGACATCACGATACTTAACAGAGCCGGAGTGCAATGGCTCTGCCGATCAACGCCTGAAGGACTGTACACCAGTACGCCAAAATCGCCCAGGAATCGAACCTGGCCCCTGGAAACGTTCCCCGCCCAACGGGGCACCTGAGCAGTCGGGCGTGCTAGGACTGCTATAAGGTAACGAGTCCCACAGTGCAGAGAACTACATACAGCAGAACCCTTAGCCGCGTCAGATTGATGAGGCTGCTGTGTTCACACTGTACGGGATAGCTTTAAATGCCGGCGCAAAAGCTATCCCGTATGGTGTGAACATAGCCTTACTGTGAGCGTTTTTTGGTTAAAGAGCATGTGCACCTGGGCAAGAATTTGTGTTACAGTTCCTGGTCTCCGTGTTTTCTCCAAGGCACTGTCTCCCTCCATACGCAGGCCTTGGATTCGTGCAGGTCCGACTGCGGTGCTGTGTTCCAGTGCCACACGTTTTAGAGCATGCGCACCATTTTCCCCATGCGCTCCAACCACCGTCCGCTAAAAAATTAATCATTCGTAACGCTCAATAATTGTCAGAAAAACGTACAAAGCAGTTTTGTTTTTTGAAAGTGTCTATTGTTATCGTTAGTTCAGTGCCACGCAGAGAAAACAACTGAACAACTAAATACAGTCAGTAATAACGGGAGACAAAGAGGAGGTTATTAATAACGTAATTGTGATGTTATTAAGAAAAAGAATAATCCTATTTTTAAACTTGAGTTGAACTTACTGGGACATGTCTTCAGCAAACAGGACTTTGTTTGTTTATCAATTCCTTTGCATCCCTTTCCTCCGTTCTGAGGCGGGGGATTGGTACACGATCGCTTCCGAGTCTTGGTTCCAGTCCCACACGTCTTAGAACACGCGGACCATGTTGCCCATAATGACCAGCGACCGTTGACTAAGGGAGATTCCCGATAAAAGCGTCAGTGCGAAACGGTTGCGATAAAAAATTTTTTTAGCGAAAACTGATGGGGAGAAACACTTGGAGAGTCAAGTGAGTATATGAGGCAAGACACCCCAGATTTCAAAATTATCTATCTTCCTTAATGTTTGCTTCTATAAAAACTGACATGTCGCCTTTTTTTCACTGGCCGAGTCTTTCAACTCTAAGCACCATTCCAGTAAAAATGTCCTAGAATGCACTGATAATTAACTGCGGTTTATAAGAGAGTTATAAGGGCTTTATTTTACTTGAAATAATTAAAAATTACTTGTCTTGAAATATTTCTTAGCTTATTTAGGCTCTAGTGTAAAGACTATCAGTATTTTCAGGTGCGAAAATAAAGATGAAGAGGCGGCGCGGGAGGAGACGTCACTTTAATGGAGCTGAATCACGGATTTCATCCAAATTCTGAAAGTAGAAACTGTCACCAAATTGAGTGAAACAAAAATAGTCGCTAAAAACATTGCAACAAGGTATTAATAACAGAGCAAATACAAAACTGAATAGTAGGTAAAGATGGAAAAACTCGAGAAACTGAAAACAATGCTTATGTGGCTTCATAGCTTAGTTGGTAGAGCAACGCACCGGTAACGCGGAGGTCACGGGTTCGAATCCCGTTGAAGCCCTAATTTTTTTTTCAGGCTTCTTCTTTCCAATTGCTTAAATTGGAAAATTTACTACGATGATCATTCTCCACTTTCAAAAAATGTATTGTCGGCACGTAGAGTTGAGGGGGAACTTACTGGGACATGCCTTCAGCAAACAGGACTTCGTTTGTTTATCAATTCCTTTGCAGTCTTTTCCTCCGTTCTGAGGCGGGGGATTGGTGCACGATCGCTTCCGAGTCTTGGTTCCAGTCCCACACGTCTTAGAACACGCGGACCATGTTGCCCATAATGACCAGCGGCCGTTGACTGAAAAGGGTTAAAAATAAAACAGTCACGTGTTTAGTCAGATCGTCATCGGAGCAGCAGCTTGTTGTTTAGAGAGCGTTACTTCATTCATTAGATCGTTTGCTCGTTCATGCTGAAAACCTCTCCGTTTTATTTATTACTTCGGCGGAGCGCGAAGTAAAGGATTCGCGACGCTCAGGAATGTATCAAAGTTACAATTTGGGCAAGCAAAGTCTGTAGGTTTTCGGTTCTATTCGGCTATTTGACGAAGTGCCAGCCGAATTAGTTCGAGATATCTCGAGATCACTTCGATTTCTTTAACTTTTTCGAGGAAGAAAGAATTATTATTTTGGCTTTCCCGGGGTTTGAACCGACTCACCTGTGTGACTTGTCAGATCAGAGGAGACTCTAAGTTGAGGGATTAGCCGATTGCGCTACTGCGACCCAAGGTTGTTTGGGATATGAAAAATAGTTATGAAATGATGCACGTTTCGGGACAAGATTGGGCGTGCAAGTTCGCGACTTTTCGGCTTGTTTCAACTATTTCCCGAAATGAGACCGGACTACTTCGTGATTTCTCGAGATCACTTCGAGTTTAGTCTTTAATTACTCGAGGAATAAATAGAGGATATTTCGTGGCCGCGCAGAGACACGAAATTTCTCTTTGAGTGTTGAAAAACATTTCACGAGTGAGCCCTCCTTTCGAACTGTTTTATGATGAATTTAAAGTTACAAAATGCTGCACAAAGACATTTTGTCTTTGTTGAGTGTTACGTAGTAAAATTGCTTTCATGCGTTGCGTGACTTTCTCTAACGTTCTCTACGTTTTTGGATTATTCATGAATAATTAATTAGGGCATGTTTACATTTCAGCATGACTCAGCAGATTTGCATCAGTTACTGAAATCATAAAATATGTCGAAAAGCTACTACTATTCGCCTGTTTGGTATTTTCTAGAACCTTATGTCAAACGGTATACAAGTTCCAAGCGAGTTCTTTTGACGAACTAAGTTTTTTCCCACGAGCTGGACTGCTGTGTTTAGTCAAGTGTGACGAAGGTCGATTTTCAGGTTCTGTGTTTACAAGTTCGCGGAAGCCGCAAGATATCTGAAGTTCAAGTGAGAGTTTGTTATTATTGGTAGAGGCTGTTTAGTTTTACTCAAAGTTCAAGTCAAGTTTGTGTTGGCGGATGCTGTGTTTTAAAGCTCTGTAAAGGCTATGTTCCTTTGGTGTTAAACTTCCTTGTGTTAATCCGACATCCCTGCGTGCTGATAGTCAGTGAATAATTATTTTCAAAACATTCGAACTCGTGACTTTGAGTTTTAGCCAATTCCGTGCTCAACGTAATTGACTCCTTACCCATGCCTTACATATCTTTAATCAGTACATGAGACTGCTATGCTGTTTTTGAAGCCTGATGTGACTAAGAAAAATAGAGAATTGTTTTTTCAGAACGATTTGTATGGAGTCATCAGAGCATAACTGGGCTAATATCTCGGAGACAATTTGTCCCGAAATTCTAGTTTTTGGCAAGTAGGCCTCTTGGATGATGCTCTTTTCAGAATATCCTGACAAATCCCATAATTTCACAAATTAACACCTTACTCTTACCATATTTGATTTCTTACTATTCCTCCGCATTTACAATTAATTAGTTCCACAACCACGACGCCGAAGTGTACGCTCCGTAGCGTCTTGTTTTATTTTACTTTTGCGGTGTTCATCTTTCCTTTAATGACTGTTTCCCTGTTCAAGATAACTAAAACGTGACTTACCGGGGCACATTTGAGTGTTACAGTCACGCGTCTCCTCATGTGATCCAGGACATTTGTCATATCCAGAGTTGTAACCAAAACAAGTTCTTTTCCGGCTTTGAGATCCAGTTCCACAGGTTTTTGAACATGCTGACCATGTTCCCCAGGAACCCCAGCCACCATAACCTAAGAAGCATCAGACAAACAGGAAGCACAAGTGTCAAGAAAGAACCAGCCTGCCGCAAATGGTAAGTTCAGCTATATCAGATTTTACCTGGTTTTCACGTAAAATAAAGCTAGCTTTAGTGTAAAGCGACCCTTCAATCGACGGATAGTATCGAGGGAGGTGGGGGGGAGACGGATAGTATCGAGTGAGGGGGTGGGAGAGGGGGGTGTTAGATTGATAGGGACGACAATTTTACGAGTTTGATATTTCTTAACGCTGTTTTCAGTTTTTAGTCAATATATGAGCGGTTTTAAGCCATGGCTGGAATTTCGACAGCCGCTGATTACTAAAAAGTTACAGAACAGAAATCATTTTCCTTTATTTTAGCCAATGATATTGCATGGCAGTAGTTGAATAAAGTAAGGTTAAACTAGGTTAAAATCGAACAATGGAAAGCTAATTGTGCGACAGACAAAAGAAAGGTCGGATTAAGTGTGAGTATTAGGCTGCTGTGTTCACACTGCACGGGACAGCCCTCAAGTGCTGGCGCAAAAGCTATCCCGTATGGTGTGAACATAGCCTTACTGTGAGCGTTTTTTGGTTAAAGAGCATGCGCACCTGGGCAAGAATTTGTGTTACAGTTCCTGGTCTCCGTGTTTTCTCCAAGGCACTGTCTCCCTCCATACGCAGGCCTTGGATTCGTGCAGGTCCGACCGCGGTGCTGTGTTCCAGTGCCACAGGTCTTAGAGCAGGCGCACCATTTTCCCCATGCGCTCCAACCACCGTCCGCTAAAAAATTAATCATTCGTAGCCCTCAATAATTGTCAGAAAAACGCACAAAGCAGTTTTCTTTTTAGAAAGTGTGAACAACTAAATACAGTCAGTAATAACGGGAGACAAAGAGGAGGTTATTAATAACGTAATTGTGATGTTATTGAGAAAAAGAATAATCCTATTTTTAAACTTGAGTTGAACTTACTGGGACATGTCTTCAGCAAACAGGACTTTGTTTGTTTATCAATTCCTTTGCATCCCTTTCCTCCGTTCTGAGGCGGGGGATTGGTACACGATCGCTTTCGAGTCTTGGTTCCAGTCCCACACGTCTTAGAACACGCGGACCATCTTGCCCATAATGACCAGCGACCGTTGACTAAGGAAGATTCCGAATAAAAGGGTCAGTGCGAAACGGTTGCGATAAAAATTTTTTTTAGCGAAAACTGATGGGGAGAAACACTTGGAGAGTCAAGTGAGTATATGAGGCAAGACACCCAAGATTTCAAAATTATCTATCTTCCATGTTTGCTTGTATAAAAACTGAAATGTCGCCTGTTTTTTCACTGGCTGAGTCGTTCAACTATAAGCGCTATTCCAGTAAAAATGTCCTAGAATGCACTGATGATAACTTTGCGGTTTATTACTCTGATATAGAGTGAATAAGTGCTTAAATTGTCGGGCGTAGGTCGATTCTCCGAGTGTGTTATTGAACGAGACATTGCCTCGCAGGAGTTCAAGATACAACGCACGTAATCGTGTGAAGTAATTTAAAAAGAAGATACTGAAACGAATCCCCTCGTTCCCAGGGTCTCTCTTCTTCCTGTTCCCTCTTGCTCTGGTTTGCTCCTTTTAGCTCCTTTCGCCCATTTCGACTGAGCCTTTTATGTTTTCAAGATTTTTTCTTTGTATTTAATGATTGGTGATTATTGTCGGAATGAAAAAGAGGGCCACCTAAGAGTTTTCATGTCCTTATTCTCTTTAAGAAAAATTTATAAAAGCGAAAAGTGAGCCTACCTGGACAGGTCTTGGTGTTACATTTTCGTGTCTCTTTGGTTGGCCCTGAACATTGCTTTCCTCCATGTGCTGGACTTGGTTTATTGCAGAAGCGACTGCGGTACTGTGTGCCGTTGCCACACGTTTTAGAGCATGCATGCCATTTACTCCAAGTACCCCAGCCACCGTTGACTGCAAATTAACGAGACCATAAACTACGTGAAACATTAGTTCGAGACAAACAAGACCAAACAAAACAGGCGTCGGTGAAAATGGACCTTAAGTTGATAAAAGAAAAACTGATACAGTGACTACAGCTATTTAATCAGAACTTTATTTGTTTGTTTGGTTTTTTTTGTTCTGCAAAGTGCGCGTAGAACTTACTATACAGTTCCCCCTTGACACAACCAGTAGCCTGTTCCAGACTCTCCCCTTCTCTCCCCCTGCCGTTTTTCGCGCGCCCGCCCACTTTTTCATTGTTCGCCCGCTTTTTCTGACTGAGAGCCTGGCACAGGCTACCCAACCAGTGGATCTGTGAAAAGAACAATGGCCTAAACAACCCATTGCTGCGGCAATAAGTACAGGTTGACTTTCTCAAAGCTTTGTAGTTTCTAACGGATTTAAATAAATAATGAATAATTGAGAAAACACTTGAGGTTCCACAAACCAGGGCATTTCTTTACGAGACAGGACTTCGTTTGAGTAGCCGGACCCACGCACGTGCCTCCATATTTTGGCGGGGGATTGGTACAGGTTCGGTTTCGGGTTTGCTTTCCCTGCCCACAAGTCCTAGAGCACTTGGACCAAGCTGCCCATTTTGACCAGCGGCCGTTTACTGAAAGAAAATTATTGGACATTGAGAGGTGTTTCGTGACGTGGAGCTGCGAACACCATTGTTGGTTCGCTTTGTGCTGTGGGGTATTGCGTCATTTGGTGATTCCACCCGTCTGCAACATTTGGAAACTACGATACAAAACAACACGATTAAACAGTTTATTGACATTCATTTGGTTAACATGACAATCGAATCGATGAATCCGTACATGTGCACTTGTTTTTTTCAAAATAATTGGTCTGTTCAAACAGTCTGCTAACACTGACTATTGACCATTTTGAAAGTCAAAAGTCCAGAGTTAATGTTTTTGAGAATTAACCTAGTTACCTGGACAAGGTTTGACTTTACAATCCCTAGTCTTTACAGCTGCCCCATAGCATTTCTTGCCTCCATATTTTGGCACGGGATTATTACAGTACCGTCTGCTGTACTGCTTTCCATTTCCACATGTTTTAGAGCATGCACCCCACTGAGTCCAGCTAGACCAACCACCATGTACTAAGAACAACAACAAAAAACAAATGACAGATTTGATGTTAAGAGAATAAAATGAAGGCGGAAATTCAGGGGAAAGTCAACCTTGTCCCCAGGACTTTCCCTTAGAAAATGGAAAAAGCCCTGGAGACGAGGTTGAGGGAAAATGAAACTGAAGAAAATGAAAATTTCCAGTAACACGAGCACTGTGGGGCGATCGAGTTTCTACTGGCATGTGGTTCGTGGCTGGCACGCGCAAGAGTGCTTTATTTAGATAATGAATACTTTCTTTTTATCCAAATTTTATTTTAGGGTGATTCCTACGCTAAAAGAATATCGTTAAGTCAAAAGAATATCTCAAAGATTTTCTTGAGCGTTCCAAATGAAAGCTGACAATGACTTTTAACTCCAGTGTTCGTCACGGTGTTTCGAAGGTTACAAGCATAACACATACCGGGGCAAAGCTTCTGGTTACAAGCTCTTGTCTGTTTAGCTTGTCCCTCGCATGGTTTTCCTCCATATGCCGGAGGGGGCCTAGTACAGGATCGTTTGCGGTACTGTGATCCAGTGCCACACGTTTTAGAGCATGCGCACCAGTTACCCCATGGACTCCAGCCACCATTCACTGAAACGAAATACCTGAGTTACACAACATGCTTCGTTCATTGCTTATTGCATGTGATCCAAGCAAGGATGCACAAGTCAATATAGACTCCCGCACCACCCCTCCTCCCACCCCCGCTCTGGGCTCGGACATAGTGGGGAATTTGCAGGGAGTTTTTTGCGAAAGGGCCCAGGTAAAAGGGACTGTTCAAATCACGGCAGCCAAGATAGCCGAGGTATTTTCTGCCGTGGTGGACTTACTCAAAAATCCGCGCATTGAAGCAGGAGCGCAAGATAACAACTTCTGGCTCTAAGCGAGGTTATTAGTTCTAATCAGAAGAATCAGTTAACCTTGGATTGTGGGGCATATTACAAATTTATCAGTGAGCGCTGGTTAAATGTCTCGGCCGGGAGGGTGTGGCGGTTGACACTGACTAATGCATCATTTTACCCCAAAAGTCATAGTCTGTGAACAGGTTGGAGTAAGGCAAGTAACAGTGAGTCATTTTTAGAACTGCAATACTTTCATTATATAGTATACAGAGCACAAAAACGGTTGTTCTTTCATCCGTGACATATTACATTACATATTTCTTTGAGAAGACTGTTCTACGACAAGTTATTTTTTTCTGAAATCGAAAAGAGTACTTTTCAGTTAATTGACCGTTGAAAAACACCATTTAGGACACGTTGTCCTTACTAGAAAAAAATTATCAACAACAAATCAAGTCTTCTTTTTGGTCCTTCAGTGATAAACTACTTCGGAGCCCCAGGATTATTAGAGTCTTCTTAGCCTGTCCACAGATGTTTTTGACGCTAGTGGTCAAGAAATCCCCCACGGTTTTTATTTTCATACTCGCACTTGATTATCTCTAAAGAGAAAATAGAGATTTTCTGAACAGGCTAAAGGATTCTGTATACGAGGCTGAATTCGAAGAGACTCAATACCTGAACACGATTTAATGGAACACGATCGTGTCTTCTTGTCTGATCCAACACAGTGTTTGCCTCCATATTTCGGAGTTGGATTGTTGCAGTATCTGTGGCTGAACTGGTGTCCTTGTCCGCAAGTCCTCGAGCATTTGCTCCAAGAATGCCAACCTGACCATCCACCATCCACTAAATAACAGCGAAATATTTTGAACAGTTATTCCATGAGCCTGCGTTGCATAAGCCCCCAGTCTTGTATCCAAGAAGGAAAATGGAAATTAAATTAGCTAAATTTTACCCAGTTTCATTAAATATTACAAAACGTCGTCTGTAATTGCGTAGGATTTCAAGCTGTTGTCCTCTCCAAATTCGCCGTTGTTGTTGTCGCACTTCTTTTCCATTTAAGGTCATACTTAGGAATAATGGCTGAAAATCGATATCCAGTGAGCCAATGATCATGATAAGGCTAGAGATGCCTTATCCGAGGTTGAGAAATAAATAAAATGCAATAACTATAATTGAACAGAACAATCACGCTCCATGTCACTCGTTTCACCTCTAGCTATCTATCACTAAGAACACTCCATTGGCTCCAGTCATTATTGATTACATATGATGTTCTAGCACTTCGCCTTCTCGTTTTTCACGATGTGGTAGTTCACACTTATTGTACACTTAACTTTCTCACAGCTGATGATCGATATGCTAAAAGCCATTCACGCTTCCTCATTTCTAAAATTTGATGCCCACGTAATGACGCCAAACACATTCCTCCGCGTGAAACCAATATCATTCTTACATACTTGTCCGTTTGTTGCTTTCGTTTTGTTCCTGCGTAATCATTTTAAGTCAAATTAAGGAAAATCGCTCTTTCAATGAGTTTCAACTCAAATAAAAGATAACACACTCCTTATGTAGAATATCGTAAAATTAAAGTCACCAAACCTGGGCATTGGCGTTTTACAGAACATCCTCGTGTTTTTGTGCTGGCTCCAACACAGGGCTTTCCTCCATACCCCGGGGATGGATTGTTACAGTATCTTCTTTTGGATTGATATCCATACCCACAACTCTTGGAACAGGAAGCCCAAGAACTCCAGCTTGACCATCCGCCATTCACTAATGCAAAAAATGATGATTTGCCTCTGTGTTCTACACCCCGATGAGGCGCATTTAAAAACCGGTTTGAGGCATGCACACGTTAATCAGTCAAGTCCATGGTACACTCTATTAATCGCCGCTGGACTTTATAGCTCAGTTGGTAGAGCGCTTGACTGCAGAACGGGAAGGCCTGGGCTCGATCCCAGAGCCGGACCCTTACTCAGGATCTTAAAATAACTGAGAAATTAATTAAGGTATTGCCTTAGCCCTCATGAAAACTGCTAAATCTTTGCATGGCTCGGATGACCACGTAAAATGGCGGTCCCGTCTCAAGTAGGAAATATAGGCTGACTTAGCAACAGAACGAGAACGTCAGTTGACGACGGCGTGCGCAAATCAAACAACTGGCTTGACCAATGGCAGAGTGGCAAATTGGGCACCGGAAGTAGAGTTTAGTACTTTCCGCGCGCTTTCACATCGTCAAATGACGTTCCCGTTCTGTTGCTAAATCAGCCTAATATTATAACTAAAACGTTTGTGCTAAAAACATTGTAACTCAAAGAAAGTGCAATTTTTACTTTAGTTTACTTTAATTTACAAAAACCTAAACTGACCACCATCGAAAACGTCATGGCAGGACATTTAATTTGTGAAAAATGATATCAGTGCACTTCATGGCCTCCCGAAAAAGTCTTTCTACTAAAGTATTGAATATTTTAATCTTTCTTATGTCAGAAGTTAACAGGTTATAATTGATACATCACCTGGACACCGTTGCAAAAAACAGTTTTTATGCTGCTCTGCGGGTCCTGAACATTTTTTCCCGCCGTAGCCTGGAGGCGGGTTTGTACAGGATCTCTTACGGGTCTGTAGTCCCGAGCCACACGAACCTGTGCATTGTCCCCAGTGTGACCAGGCTGACCAGCCTCCATCTGGTGATGTGATCAGAGGGGAAGAGTCACGTTAATAACAGGGAGACTAATAGCTATGCAATGTCAGCTGCATGAGTTGTTGCTGCAGTTTTGAAAGTTTTTAGTGAATTATATCATCCACGTTTTTTTCCCGCCAACTTTGGTCTCGGACCCGTAAGAAAAAATACACTGACGCCCAGGAATAAAAGGCTAAAACTAAGTAAACTTGCCAAGTTTTAAAGTGATACGTTTCATTAAAAACGAGCGAAGATGTAGCTTAGCAATTTCTAGCCCCATGTAAGGGAATCCAGACTCCGGAATCCTACACATTTTAACTGGTGGAATCCGGAATCCTGGGCATTGGATTCCGGAACATACAGCTCAAGAAATTCGTAATCCCACCAACGACTGGAATCCAGAATCCAAGTTCAACTAACTAACAAAGAATCCGGATTGCAGTTTCTGGACTGGAATCCATGGCGTGGATTCCAGAATCCAAGATTGTCTTAGATTCCCTTACATTGGGCAAAAAATCACCAAATTTTACGGACGTTTTCATGGTGGTGATGAATTGCTGATAATGCAAATAGTTGTACAAAAGAGAAAGGGAATTACACCTCATTCTCTCTTGATGAAAGGTGCTCTCTACTTCACTTTAGTCCGGGGCGTAAAACGGTTGGCAGCCCACCTACCTTCCCCGTCTTGCGAGAACGACGCGTTTAAAGCCTCCCGGCACAATCTACGACTTGGTTGCACGATCCCCTGACTGAACCTGGTATGGGCTTGCGGAAAGGACGCTAGGCCAGAGAGATTCCGAAATCTTATAAAACCGTCTCACTACGGCTATTTTCCCATCTACTAACTTTCTCGTCGGTGGCCGTAGAATCACGATTAAGCCTCTTCGACAGCACATGCAAATTTCAAATTCGTTATGGAAACAAAATGAACTCTTTTGTAAATGAATGGCTACTTCGAAAGACGAGAGAAAGCCTCTGGCACTTGCAGTAGCCTCGGTTATTACATTCTTGAGATTAAAGAGCGATGAAATTACCAGTTAAACACTGAAATCAAACTCTTACCTAAGTTGCATGATTTCATCATACATGACCTGTATTCTTCAGAGTTCCCCAGACAACCATAACCACGGGGCTTGGTGCAGGAGCGCTTACGGTATTGTGTCCCTCTGCCGCAGGTCTTGGAACAAGCGCACCATGCTCCCCAATTGGTCCATGTTCCGCTCTCTACAGTAAATAACAGTGTTATTGTTGTAAACAGTTCCTGTTCTTTGCGAAGTTATTTTCATCTAATGAACTTTCTTTGGTTAGGCCAAAGACCTATTTAGCCACTCCTGGAGCCATTTGAGCACAACGTAAGCCAAAAACAGCCCCGTCAAAACTGAGCTCATTTCAGCCCATCTGGGACTCATTTCATTCAGCCATTAGGTCCTTATCAACCTTAGCTAATTAGACTGTATTGGCTCTGACCCAAAATAGGCTTGTATTTTACTCACCCATACGACCCCATTTTCAGGGCTAACACAGATCTTTCTGGTTCACAGCGTAGTGTTTAAGTTACCTTTGGAAAAAGTGGGGGCCTAAAACGCCGTTAAAGGTGAAAGGTCTAGCACTCGCCCCATGTAAGGGAATCCAATCTTTTGGGATGATCCTGATCAGGATCAGTGATGCGAGATCACTCGGATCATGGTAAATCAAATGAACTGATGAATCCTTGTCCACAGTGGATTCATCGGTTTATTTGATCTACAATATATGATCCAAGTGATCTCGGATCACATGTGATCCTGATCGGGATCATCCCAAAGGAACGCACCCCAAGACAATCTTGGATTCTGGATTCCATGCCATGGATTCCAGTCCAGAAACTGTATTCCGGATTCTTTGTCAGTGGAACTTGGATTCTGGATTCCAATTGTTAGTAGGATTCCGGAATCCAATGCCCAGGATTCCGGAGTCTGGATTCCCTTACATGGGGCGATCTAGCATGCATAGTATATTCATGATGCGATCAGAGTTTTGCTTTCTTCTCACTTGTGATAATCAGTGAACCTCGGTATATTTTCCCCATATTCATTCCTTAACATTATTGAACAATCAAGAAAGAAAACCAAGAGATCATATTATAATTACTTGCCTGTACCTAAATAAACAAAGTGAGTTATGTTTTCCTGTAAAAATTCATATCTTCATGGCAACTGTCCCATCCCAAGCTACAACCTAGTGCTTTTTCATCCATTTTATCGTACATTACGATACCGACTTTAACTTGGGAGTCTGTAGCTTTCAGACAATCCTAAAAAAGCTGTCTGAAATATTCAGCAGCGTTATTTATTGCAATATACAGGATTTTAGTATTCTTAGGCCTGGTTCAGACGCCGTACTTTTCATGTGCCGAACCTAACTGAATAAGTTCGACTTTGGCGCGACATCTGATTCAGACGGCGTACCGTGTGTCGAACCTAAGTTAAGTTCGACAAAAGTTCGACAGACTCTGTCGAACTTAACGCTTTTGCGGCACCAAACTAAAACTGCCGTACCAAATTGATTCAGACGCCGCTCTTTTGCCGTACTTAATTCATCAGTTAGGTTCGGCACATGAGTGAAGCGGCGCCTGAACCGGGCCTTAGTCAGCTCAGGCCGCTGATTACAGTTTTGTGACGATTCAAAAATAATGCAAACGAGATGCGCTATGCAGCGACTGACTGTTCAAAAAACGGATCACGAAACAGCTTTTGAAACTTTTTTAACTCACCCATTTCACCGCAGCATTCTCCCTTGTAGCCATTCTTGCAGTGACACGACGAACGTATAAGCGTTCCACCATTCAAGCAAAAGCGATTGCACGCCCTAGCACCGACAGTGGTCACCAGACATTTTCCCCCACATTGAGCAGGTTTGATGATCTTTCTTCTTGTAGTGGAATGACCGTTAGGGCCACAAGTGTGAGAACAATCACTCCATGGGCTCCACTCTCCAGGGATGCAGTCCACTGGCTTACAATACCTTCGACGACGACGTCTAGCAGCCCAACTAAATCTTGGCTCGGAAACCATTTCATTCACCAGACAGATTATAATTAACACTATTGAAGTTATTCGAGTGACATATTCACACCTCATTTTGTCTACGGCTCACTCCCCAGCCTACAATTTCCAATATGTCAAATGTGCCCTTCCAATTTGTGCTGGTTTTAACGCGTCTATAAGGGTAATGACAATTTTTTGCTGTTGGTTTTCTGCAAATTTCAGGTTTACTTACTCCTATATCAGACGTGGGCGAGTTTCATCTGCAACCCCGGAATGTTATAGCATGATTTTTCCATTTAAGTTGAGAAAATATTTACACAGTGGCGCTCTGCTTAAAAAGAAATTAGATTAAAACAGACTCCCCTTTCGTTTTTCAAGAATAGCAATTTTTTTGCGTTCTCGTGGGACGAAACAGAACATAGTTTTAGAAATATCAGAAATATATTAAATGACACTGAAGAGGCTTAAGCGTACGAACCTTAGAATTGTTCTTCATTTTCTCAGGAAAAGACCAAACGAAACGTAAACATGCTTTAAAGTTCTTTTAATTTATCAAAATTTATTAAAATAATT